TTCTTCACCCAAAGAGTGATTAACACTTGGAATTCACTGCCACAGGAAGTGGTGGGTGCTACAAGCATGGACGGCTTCAAAAGGGAATTAGATAAGCATATGGAGCAGAGGTCCATCAGTGACTATTAGTCACAAGGTATAGATAGGGGCTCTGGGGCAAGTGATGCTCTGTCTTCTTGGTGCTTGGGGGGGGGGTCAACAGTGGGAGGGCTTCTAATGTCCTGGCCCCACTGGCGGACCTCCTGATGGCACTGGTATTTCTGGCCACTGTGTGACACAGAGTGTGTTGGACTGGATGGGCCTTTGGCCTGATCCAACATTGGCATCTCTTGTGTTCTTATGTTCTTAACCATGGCCACATCTCATGCTGGTCTCCCCACGGCCGGTTTGTCTCATATCCAGCAAGAAGAGTAGACCCCGGGCAACCCTGGGGCACTTACAGGTCTTTGAATTTATTTGGGCCCTTCCATGGCATTTTAAAGACAACCCCTTATTTCCTTAAGATTTCCCTGTCCCTAAAAAATGTGTGTGTGTGCTGCTTTTGGGAGACTCCTGGCAAAGAACGTTTTCCTGCAAGGGAAAGGGGGGGAAGGGGCTCTCTCTCTCTGTCTGACAGCCTGTCAGTCTGTGATATTTCTCAGTGTTGAAAAAGCAAGAGCTGTCATTGGCCACCTTTGAACTGACAGTCTGCAATTGGCTGAATGAGTGTGTGGCCCTCCCTCCTCCTCCTCCCGGAAGGCTGTATGCAGCCGCTGTCTCTCTCACTCTGCCTGCTAGGAACATGCACAGTCTCTTACCGGCAGACAGTTTTTGCTTGTAAAACTCTCAATTGCGTGCTTTTTAGGGGGGCTGGGTTTGGAGGGGGGCCTCTGGTATGTTAAAACTCTTGTTTTTAAAGGGGGAATCTCTCTCTCTCTCTCTCTCTGTGATATAGCTTTTCATCTATTGCTAGAACTGGGGGGTGCTTGCTTGCGGTGTGTGTGTGTGTGCACGTTTCAAGTTTTCCCTCTGTGGGGCAGGGGAAACGTTTGCAGAAAGAGGGAGGACTCTGTTAAAGTTTTGGGCTCTGTTTCAGCTTTTTTCCTGTGTGTGTGGCTTTATTGGAACTAACTTTTAAACACTCACATATAAGCCTTGTCTATAAAATTTCCTAAAGATTTTTTCCTCTGTGGGGCATGGGGGGGGATCCCCTGTCTGTGGAACCAGAGACTGGAATTCTTTTCTGCTAAGGGAGGGGAGTTGCTTTCTCCCCCCTTGACTCTGTTTGTAGCATAGAAAGCCTCTGTTAAAGTTCTCGGCTCTCTGTTTCAAGTTTTTTCCTGTGTGTGTGTGGGGGGGGGAAGGGGCTCTCTCTCTCTCTCTCTGCCTGGCGCCTTATCAGCTCCTGGCAGAACAGGACCTCTCCCACAGGGGGCCAATGCTGCACAGTAGGACTTTTTAAAAGGACACTTTTTTTCCTTTGCCGCAAACCAGCTGCTTTTGCTCTGTGGGGCTTACAGAGGGTGGGGTGGGGTGGAGGTCCCCTGGCTCTGTCTGGAGGGGAGTCTGCACTAAAACTGCAGTAATGTTTGGCTCTGGGGCAAGGCTGTAAAGAGTTGAACTTTTTTTCCTTTTGGCTCTGTGTGAGGAGGGGGACATCTCTCGGGGGTGGGGGCTCCCAGGATCCACCCAAAAGACCCCCGGAGGGGCAGTCTGCACTAACCAACGTTAGCACAAGCATTGTACAGATCTCACACATTCACAGCAAAAAGCCTGCACTCTATTTCACACATGTCCCAGCCCCCCCCCAAGCCGGTTTCAAAGCATTCCCCAGTCACAAAAACACAATCACAAAAGCCCCCCTTTGCACCCCAAAAAAGATTCAAAACACCCAGGAACTCCATCTTCCCATCCCCCAACCCACAGCCAGGCACTACACCCTTGGGGGAAAGCCGACACGTGGTCGCCATGCTTCCCGGGGCTGCCAGCCGCAGCCATCTTGCCCTCCCCTTCGAGCAGGGCCCTCAGGGAGGCGGGACTTACTTCCGGTGGAGGGGGGGAGCACTCATCAAATCTTCGACTTGACAGAAGGGTGCCCTCAACTCCTCCTGCAGTACAACAAAGTTTGAGTCCATTGGACCAACAAAGTTTAATTCAGGGTATAAACCTCTGTGTGCGTGCATGACTAGCTTGGAATAGCTTCAAAAGGAAAAAAAATAACAATAATAATATTCCATCTGTGCTCCATACCCAGTAATTGTTTAGCTATCATAGATTTAATTTGTAAAATAAATAAAAACCTGAATTTGGAGGCAACATGTCTGGGACTGTGGCTGTAAATATTTTTTTTTTTTTGGTTGTTTATTTTTAAAATTTAAAAAACAGTCAGTAGCTATAAGTCGAAACAGCAGCAAAAAACTGTGGCTGTAAATATGGGAAATGTGGGCCAATTAATCCAACTTGCCACCAGCACTTATCATTGTACTGCAAAATTCCTAAGTAAGTGGCATTTTATTCACTCGCCACACCAGCTGACCTACCAATGCCCATGCAGAAAAGGGGGGGGGCTCCTCACTTGCCTTGATGAAAAGCAAGAGATGCATTACTATCACTGACTTTACTCTGCTGCACTGGCTATAGACTTCAAAGTTCATAACTCATAACAACTGAAATGACATCTTGTGTCGGGGTCTCCCCCCTCCTCCTCCACATGAAGCCAGCTGGGTGACCTTGGGTCAGTCACAGTTCTCTCAGAGCTCTCTCAGCTCCACCCACCTCACAACAAGGTGTCTGTTGTGGGGAGAGGAGGGGAAGGCGATTGTAAGCACGGTAGTGAAAAGTGGGGGTATAAAAACTCTCCTCCTCCATTGGGTTTGTAATGTTACAGTGAAAAACCCAAGCACTCAGTGTTCATTTAAAACCTGTGCAAAATCCCTGCACCCTTATGAGGCAAAGGTGCAGGTGAGCCAGCAACCAAAGGGAAGATCCGCTGGGCGGTGAAAGCAGCGCAGACGAAGCTCTGACTTTGCCACTGACATCTGCTGAAGCCTCCACTCCCGTTCCAGTCAGACGTTTCCCACACTAGCAGGCCTCCCCCCGTCCCCGCCCCTGCATTCATATCCCCAAAACCCCCCCGCCCCCCTCTTTCGCGCATTTCCAGGGAGGTTTCTGCAGTCCGAGGTGCAAAAACGCCGCCCTTCGTCCCCTCTTGCGGCGCAGCAGCAGCCTCAGCCTCCCCTGTTTCCGGGAAATCCCTCGCTGTGCCACCAGAGGGGGCAAATGCCCCTTGGGTATCTCAGCCGGCTCGACCGACCGACCGACCGACCTCCTTATTATCGCCAGAGTTGAAATACCACAGCTGAGGTGCAAAACAAAATTTTACCTTTGGTCAGAACGGAAAGAACAATAAAATGAATAGTGATAGATCGTATTTCTGCTGCGGAGGCACTACAGCTTGGCCACTTGATTTTGGTTCAGATTTGATAAGGAAGTGGGCTAAAGATGTTTAAAGAAACAAGTAGGGGGTGAAATGTGCACAAACAGCATCCCACCACCAGTACTTGAGGAAATCTCTCCAACCATCTGGAGGCCGCCAGATGCCAATTTTTATGTTTTAATATGGGGGTGATGTATAAGGAAGTTCGGCTTCAAGCAACTATAAGTGGACACATGATAGAGAAGATTTCCTTTTTAATGGTACATTATATAAGCAAGCCCTTGGCCACTCCACAATGCAGGCAAGGCAAGCTTACCTCAGAGGCACAGAGTCAGCTGTTGTGCTGTTTCTGCAGCTTGGCAGACTCCCAATCGATGCAATGTGGGGAGAGGTCAGTGACTGCATCGATCAAGGGCACTGGGAGGCACCCCGAACAAAGAAACAGGACTGGAGGAGAACCAGGGAGGAGGGGGAGGAGCTGGAGGCTGTTCCTGCCTCACAGCCAGGTTACTCTGGGTCAGGTTCTGGTGCTGTTGTGTAACAAGCACGCTCCTTTTTGCTCCTGTTCTGTTTCGCGGGAGAGACAAAGCAGGAGTCGCAAGGTCCAGCAGGGAAGCCAACCGGGTCTTGCTCCTTTGGCACCTCTTGGCACTGGACTCGCAGAGCACCCTTTCAGGCCTCCCAGAGGACGGGAGCATCCCTAAGACTCTTCTTTCCAGGTATGTAGAAAACCAACCAGCACCATCTGCCCAACTGCAAGGAGGGGGGTAGGACGCAGAGTGGTGCCCATCAGTTAAAGACGTTTTAATAATAACAGTTGGCTGACACCAAACTCTATCTAAGTTGTGGGGGGGGGGGTTGTTGTTGTCCAGTCGCACAGTCGAGTCTGACTCTTTGCGACCCCATGGACCACATCACGCCAGGCCCTCCTGTCTTCCGCCGTCCTCTGGAGTTTGCTCAACTTCATGTTCGTTGCATCGATAACACTGTCTAACTATCTCATCCTTTGCCGTCCCCTTCTTCTTTCTGGAATATACTGGGTTCGAGACGCGTGTAGTGATCAACTCATAGTTTATTAGTGAATCAGCTCAAACTAAGGACAACTCTAGCAGGGCCAGAGCCCTGCAAGTTATAAGCCCGTAAAACGGCACACCCATCGCGCACCCACTCCCAACAATAGGCTATTTACACAAGCATTGCATCCTAATTGGTGGCTGCCAGGATCCTGATGGTCTACTGTTTATCTCCCCAAGCTCACCCTTCCTCTGGCAGCACCGTGTTGCAGGGAAACAGTATCAGTACATACTACTTTCCCAGCATCAGGGTCTTCTTCTCCAGTGAGTGCTCCCTTCTCATTGGGTGGCCAAAGTACTTGAGCTTCAGCTTCATTATCTGGCCTTCCAGGGAACAGTCAGGGTTGATTTCTTTTAGGATTGACTGATTTGATCTCCTTGCAGTCCAAGGGACTCTCAAGAGTCTTCTCCAGCACCATAGTTCAAAATAACCTATTCTTCGGCGCTCGGCCTTCCTTATGGTCCAACTCTCGCAGCCACAAAGTTTTGTTGCTACAAGGTGTCAAGGAATGTGGTGAAGCATAGTTGGGGTTGCTAACTGCCTGGAGGGGGGGAAATGTCCTATTCCTCTAATGCAGGCTTAATGGGATGTCATTTACCACCACCACACGAGGAACAGCTTCTGTTGTCTATTTGCATACCGGAAGCCATCAGAAGGAGGCGGAGACTGCGAAGGGTGGCCCGGAGGCCCGGAGGGAGCGAGAAAAGATCTTTGAGTGCAGGGATGTGTCTCTCGGGACCAAGGTCAAATTAATTCATGCCATAGTATTCCCCACTACTATGTATGGGTGTGAATACTGGACAATTAAGAAAGCTGACAGGAAGAAAGTTGATTCCTTTGAAATGTGGTGGTGGGGGGAGAGTCTTATGGATACCCTGGACCGCCAAAAGCACAAATCAGGGGGTTCTAAATTGAATCAAGCCTGAACTCCTCCCAGATGCTAAAATGACTAAACGGAGGTGATCATACTTTGGTCACATCATGAGAAGTCACTGGAAAAGCTAATAAGGCTAGGAAAAGTGGAAGGCAGCAGGAAAAGTGGAAGGCCCGACCGGAGATGGATGGACTCAGTCAAGGGAACCTCAAAGACCTGAGCAAGGCTGTCAATGATAGGATGTTTTGGAGGCCATTCATTCACAGGGCCACCATAAATCGGAAGCAATTTGATGGCGCTTAATGCACGCACGTAGACACACACACAAGGCTACATTAAATGGACATTTTTCACCAGCTCTGTTGGCAGCCCTGAGTATAGTGCAGAGGTTCCCAGTGCTTTTTAGCCTCTGGGACCCTTGGGAATTCTGACACAGGGTGGTGAATACCACAAAGTGGCTGCCGCAGGGGGTGCAGCCAACCACAAAAGGGCTGCTGCAGGAAGCTGACTGAGCCACCCACAAAGTGTGAGTGAGTGAAGTTCAGACAGAAGCTCTGATTATCAAGAGGCCTTTTAAAATGGCCATATCCTGTCTTTTCTGGCACACACACCCAACTTATTTTTGGTCACGCAGTGAAGACCCTTGTGCTGTGGTAACAGCTTCAGCTTCAGCCAAAGCGGATTTTAAAAATTTGCCCAGCCCTTTTTCAAATACATTGGAATAGAAGGTAAGAGTTCAAACTCCTAGACAGAGGTTGAACAGCAAACTAACACGTAACACGATGAAGATGTTTTAAGATATGCAAAGACAAAATTAAATAACAAGCTAAGGTTATAAGGTCAACAGGTGTTTTGATTTAATTATGGGCAGATAGAACAATAAATAAATACGTCAAAATAGGGGATAAATGTGTAAAGGTATCTTTTCTAATTGTGCGAAGTAAACTGAGACTCTCCATTCATCTCCTCTTCTTAATAGAGTTAGACTTAGAAGGGTGTCGCTCTATTTAGGATAACACTCTTTGTCCAATGGGCTTACTCTTGAGTAAGACTGCACAGGCTTGCAGCATTGCTCGTTAGATTGCGTGTGCACTGGAAGACTGCAATTTTATGCCCCTTATAGCAAATCTATTTAACTCCATGCGGCGTATGGGTAAAAAGGAATAATTTGATTTTTTGATCCAGAGCACTGAGAAGAAAGTAAATAGTGCAGCTCTGGAAATGCTTGCATGAGTAGTAGTGGAAGAGTTTATGCAGTGCTGGAATAGGAAAGATCTATAGCAGTTCTTGGGGTTGTGCAAAGAGATTGCAGAAGCTCTTGTGCAGACAGTGGGATGCCCTCTGATTTAGCTTCCTTCGTTCATTGCATGAAGAAACAGCCCTTTGATGAGTAGAAGACAACTTCAGTGCCTAAGGCGGCCAACTTTGGCTCCAACCCTGTATGTTAGAGGATGCAGGAATGTGTCACAACTTTTAGAAGAGGCATTCCCTCCTGTGTACAAGGGAATGCAGAATGCCTCTTCAAAGATGACATCTACCACCTTTTTCTTTTGGTAAACCTTATAATTAAAAGTCAACTTTTTAATATCATCCTTTTTAATCAATTAATTCACTATACCATGTAGCCATAATCAAACCTCAAATCCTCTTCCTGGTACTTTAATGATTGGTGCAAATATGAGCACTTAAATCTGATACACAAAAGCATAGACCCCTTTTTATTATTCCTGGAAGTTGCTGATGTTATTAATATATTAACTGGGATTTAAAAAAAAATGTATGTATGTCTCCAGCTTTTTTCTATCTTTTGTGGATATGATTGGAAGCAAAACCTAGTATATGGCTGTCCGTATAGGACATGATATTTGCAAGATGGATTATAAAGTACTGGATGGATAATTAATACTTGAAGGAAATGCTGTTTCTCTTGGCAATGGAAGGCTTATGAATCATATTTGTTCTCCCCCCCTTTTTTGAAAATTGTAGTAATCCACAGCAGTATCATTACATACATTTACAATTGTTCAAAATATATACATTCATTTCTAACTAACAGATCACAGTTTTATGCATTACTCTACTACTAAATTTAAATATCTGATTAAAGGTTGCCAGCTCTCTTCTTCATACCTTGTATTTCCAAAGTGTTGCTGCACTGTTAATTTTACCATTATCATAAACTTTTAACAGCCATTCTTTCTTATAAGGAAGTATAAAGTCTTCCAGTGCCTAGCGAGAATCACTGTAGTGAAGGGCGGGGTATAAATCCAATCTCTTCTTCTTCTAATGACCAGGAGTTCAGGTACCACAGGCTACACCTTTGATAGTGAAAAGCTGATGCAGGGCTGAGATGGCTCAGTATTACTTGAAGCTTTAAGTTTTGAAGAAGAAGAAGAGGAGGAGGAGGAGGAGGAGGAGGAGGAGGAGATTGGATTTATATGCCGCCCTTCACTACCCAAAGGTGTCTCAGAGTGGCTTACAAACTCCTTTCCTTTCCCTTCCCCTCCCCACAACAGATACCCTGTGAGGTAGGTGGGACTGAGAGAGCTCTGACAGAAACTGCTCTTTTTCAAGAACAGCTGTGCCAGAACTATGGCTTGTCCAAAGTCATCCAGCAGCTGCAAGTGGAGGAGTGGGGAATCAAACCCGGTTCTCCCAGATTAGGAAATGGTGGCGCAAGCAGTAAAACGCTTGCCTTAACAACTAGGAACAACCTCTATGGCTGTTTGAGAATCACCGTGGCCGGGGTGAGCTCCCGGCCCTCGTCCCAGCTCCCGCCCACCCAGCAGCTCGAAAGCAAAGTACTTAAAAGCAAGTAGACAAATGGGTACCTACCCTTAGATGGGTAGGGGGCACCCTCCTCCAGCGAGGCGTGTGGTGGAGACATCGGTGGCAGCAAGAACAACGGCGGCAGCACAGCAATGGCGGAGGAGGCGATGTGTGATGCAGCGACAGCAACGGTGGTGGCGAGGTCGACAGAGCGACTCCTGGTGGTCAGTGGATGACGGCGGCGCGTGGTGATGTGGATTGCGGGCGCGGCGGAGCCTGAGGGACACAAGCCGAAGCCTGAAGCAGACATGAACCGTGCTCCGGGAACGGTCTGCTGAAGGAAGCCATCAGGACCCTCCCCTGACGCCAGCCGACTGAAGACCGCCTGGGAAGAACAGAGCCGAGCCAGAAAAAAAGAACAACAGCTCCACCACCTGGGTGCCGGTAGGCAGCCCCCTACCCTGTACATGTGGCCCTACTAAGGAGAAAAGCGTTCCTAGAACCCTCTATGTAAACCGCCCAGAGACCCTTCGGGGTTAGGGTGGTATAGTAAGTCGAATATATAAATAAATACAAATAAATAAATTAGAGTCCACATACTTAACCACTACACCAAACTGGCTCTCACACCAAACTGAGATTTTCTGACATATTTTTCAGGATTACGAAAAACCCGAGATTACATTCTGAGGTAATTTTAAATTGCAGATCTATGATCAAATCCTGAGGGAATTATTTTTTAAAATAAAGTGCAAAATCTAGCCATGATTTTTAGTCCGAATAAATTGGGCATTTTCTATTGCTTATTTTTTTAATGAGCTAGCATGAACCATGAAATCTAATTTTACATTCTAAGTGTGAAGAAATACTATGCAATCACATTATTTTACATGTCGTAACAAAATTACTGTCCAGTAATCACCAGCCTTTGTGCTCCTTGACCTACAAGTTGTGCTGTACTGGAATGTAAAAGTGATTAGTGAGAACCGCTTGATTAGACATGTTAGACGTGGGCCTCTGAGGCTAGGTTTTAAATATTCATCACTCATCCTTAATCTAGACTCACTGTGTAATCTTGATCAAGTAACTATAGCTTTTTCTCACCTACCTCTCAGGATTCTTTTGAGATAATTTGTTTATTTCCTTCATTTGTACCCTGTCTTGCTTCACAACTCCAAAAAGTTGGAACTGCCCCTAGGTACGATATTCTCCCACTGGGGTGATCTTTAATAAGCTTTTGCATTTTCTTAACATCTCTGTGCCTCTCATTTCCAAATACACAGATGGCAAACGAAGCAAACCCTTGCCCGTGCAATGCTGGAGATACTCTGGACTATGAAAGTCTTGGGCATGAAATTCCTGTTGAGCACATCAGTGCCTACCTTTGCAAACCTTCCTCCCCTACTGAGAAAGCCGTGATTGTGGTTCATGACATATATGGATGGCAGTTGCCCAATACCAGATATATTGTTGATATGCTTGCAGCCAATGGATACCTGTAAGATATTTTCCTTATTTTATCAGTCTTCCCATGTCCCACCGCCTGCTTTATGTGGCACATTCTGAATGCAAAATGCAAACTGTTACTTCCTTAAACATCTATATGTTTGAACATCCATTCCCCTTAAGCATCAAGTGACACACACTTAACTGAAGAATGAAATATGCAAAACAATATATTCTGAATAATTCATAATAGTACTTTACATGTTATTTACAGTTGGTTAATCTTTAGCCATTGTAAAATAAAAGCCTAGTAAGAAAGAAATGAACAGTAACTAAGGGTGTTAGTTAAGAACATAAGAACATAAGAGAAGCTAATGTTGGATCAGACCAATGGGCCATCCAGTCCAACACTCGGTCACACAGTGGCCAAAAATACCCGGTGCCATCTGGAGGTCCACCAGTGGGGCCAGGACACTAGAAGCCCCCTCCCACTGTTGCCCCCCTCCCAAGCACCAAGAAGACAGAGCATCACTGCCCCAGACTGAGTCCCTATCTATACCTTGTGGCTAATAGCCATGGATGGACCTCTGCTCCATATGCTTATCTGATTCCCTCTTATAAGATCATAAGAGACACCAATGTTGGATCAGGCCAAAGGCCCATCCAGTCCAACACTCTGTGTCACACAGTGGCCAGAAATACCAGGTGCCATCAGGAGGTCCACCAGTGGGGCCAGGACATTAGAAGCCCTCCCACTGTTGACCCCCCCCCCAAGCACCAAGAAGACAGAGCATCACTTGCCCCAGAGCCCCTATCTATACCTTGTGGCTAATAGTCACCGATGGACCTCCATATGCCTATCTAATTCCCTTTTGAAGCCGTCCATGCTTGTAGCCGCCACCACCTCCTGTGGCAGTGAATTCCAAGTGTTAATCACTCTTTGGGTGAAGAAGTACTTCCTTTTATCCATTGTAACCTGACCGCTCTGCAGTTTCATGGAGTGCCCACGAGTTCTTGTATTGTGAGAAAGGGAGAAAAGTGCCTCTTTCTCTACCTGCTCTGGCTTGATCAAATACGACCTGTACAGTGCATAGTTTTTGATGATGTTATAAATACGCAATCATACTGAGAATTAACAAATGAAGCAATCCACCTCCTGATTAAAATATTCTCCTTTATTTTCCACACACAGTTACATCTCAGGCAAGTTTGTGCACTGATGCTGTACTGGCCAAATGCCCCCCAATTGTTGGTGGGTCCCCCGTTCTCCAAGAGCAGCATGTGGGAGGAGGGAGGCAGTGAATGCTTTTCCCACATGGGTTGTACCCCCTAGGTTAGGTTCCACGCTGTTGGGAAGCTGGGTTTTCCTGCCTCCTCACAACATCATGATACATAATAATAATATGATATTCAGTAGGGGTGTGCAAAAAGGTTGGGTTTGGGGGGGGGTTGGGTATACTGAACCCAAAAAATATTGGTATTTTCAGATATTCCCAAATCCCACTACTGATTTCGGAAATCCTGGGTTTTTTTCTGACTCCATTATACATTATGGGGACCATTATACACTATGGGGACTCTGGGTGTCTGGGTGTCTGCTTTTTGAAGCAGAGGCACCAGATTTTTAGCATAGCTGCTGGTGCCTCTCCTAAAAAAAACCCCTAAGTTTCAAAAAGATTGGACCAGGGGGTCCAATTCTATGGGCCCCCAAAGAAGGTGCCCCCATTTTTCATTGTTTACAATGGAGGGAGAAAAGGCATTTAAAGGGATTGCAGTCCCTTTAAACACCTTCTGCATTGTGAATATTCACTCCAAAGGCATTTAAAGGGTTCACAACCCCTTTAAATGCCTTCTCCAAGTATTAATGTTCAGCTATATCAACAGCCATAGCAGCAACCATACAACCCCGTCCCCGGGTGGAAAACAGCAATGTTGTGCTTCAGCAGTGGAAATCTTTCAGTCTGCAGAAACGTAGCATTGGATCCAAGCCAATGTTACTGTGCATTAACTGAGGAAACATCTGAGGTTAAATAAAAATGTTTCAATTAATTCTCAGTATTTATTTAGTGAAATTGCCTTGACCTGGAGGGCCCAGGCTGGCCCACCCTCCTTGGAGCTCGGAAGCCCAGCAGGGCTGGCCCTGGCTACCAATCTGGATGGGAGGCTGCCCAGGGAGCCCAGGGTCCCTCCCTGCGCAGAGGCAGGCCACGGCAGACCGCCTCTGAAGGTCTCTTGCCCTGAAAACCTTATGAGTTTATGCAACTTGACATGATGTGAAATCATATTTATTTTATCTTTCATACAGAGCAATTCTCCCAGACTTTTATAAAGGACAAGAGCCTTGGAAACCATCTAGTGATTGGACAACATTTAGTGAATGGCTAAAAACAAGAGATGCCAAAAAAATCAACAAGTAAGAGTTCACGGCAAATGCAGTTCCTTTGAACACCTACCCATGAGAAACCAAGAAAGCTGAGTGCATCTTTCACATTAGATACATGGGCAGTCTAACAGTCATAACTTGTGCACTGCAAACCAAAGTCTTACATAGAAGCCACAAGCCAGTGCAAGATAAGTGGGGTTAAACTAATAGTTCTACGTGAATAGCTATGTCTATAGCAACAAAATAAAACTGCTGGTCTGATCCAGCAAGGCTTTCCTTATATAATGGTCTAGAGGAGTATAGTGGCTCCTTAAAGACTAGCAGAACTTATTTCAGAGTATCCATTCATCTGTGAGCCAGGGAATCTACCACATCCTCCCAGGGAAGGTGGCATTGCTCAACAAATGACGTTCTGTGCTGCCTGCCTGCTCTCCAACCAGGCATTGCACACAGTTGATCTACGGATGGCAGCCCCCCACCCCACCCCACCCCAGCTGCTTTTCACTGAAAAATGTTCATAGTCTGTTTGTAATGTCTTCTTTGTACTTCAGGTATGTGTCCCAGCAGTGTAGTGTTTCACATTTATTGGGTTGAACTGATCATATTAAATTTTGGGACTCCCATCAATGAAATTTGATAAGGGAGTGGTGGCGCAAGCAGTAAAACGCTTGCCTTAACAACTAGGAACAACCTCTATGGCTGTTTGAGAATCACCGTGGCCAGGGTGAGCTCCCGGCCCTTGTCCCAGCTCCCGCCCACCCAGCGGATCGAAAGCAAAGTACTTAAAAGCAAGTAGACAAATGGGTACCTACCCTTAGATGGGTAGGGGGCACCCTCCTCCAGCGAGGCGTGTGGTGGAGACATCGGTGGCAGCAAGAACAACGGCGGCCGCAGAGCAATGGCGGAGGAGGCGAAGTGCAATGCAGTGACAGCAACGGTGGCGGCGAGGTCGACAGAGCGACTCCTGGTGGTCAGTGGATGACGGCGGCGGCAGACCGGCGGTGCGCGGTGACGTGGATTGCGGGCGCGGCGGAGCCTGAGGGACACAAGCCGAAGCCTGAAGCAGACATGAACCGTGCTCCGGGAATGGTCCACTGAAGGAAGCCATCAGGACCCTCTCCTGACGCCAGGATAAAGCGTGCCGACTGAAGACCGCCTGGGAAGAAAAGAGCTGAGCCGGAAAAAGAACAACAGCTCCACCACCTGGGTGCCGGTAGGCAGCCCCCTCCCCTGTACATGTGGCCCTAGTAAGGAAAAGCGTTCCTAGAACCCTCTATGTAAACCGCCCAGAGACCCTTCGGGGTTAGGGCGGTATAGTAAGTCGAATATATAAATATAAATAAATAAATAAGGCAGAATGGTGGTGGTTGTTTTGCTAATTATAGTTATTTTATTTCTGTTAATTAGGAAAAATCACAGTTTAACAAGTCTTTCTTCTGCAGAGATCAGATTTGTAAGAATGTATTCTTATTCTCTTCACTGACACTATTGTTTTTCGTTCATCTCTGGATTTAGTAAGAACTGGGTATGAGGGGTTTCCTAGAGGAATACATACCAAAATATACCAGCCAACAGGACAGTACTAAACAAAAGCTTAGAGATAGCCCTGACTACAAAATAGAAAAAATGCATCGCTTGAATATCCTTGAAATGCTGATTCCATAAAGTGTCCACTGAGACCGCGGACTCTTCAGAATGTTAAGAACAGGGAGGGAGCCTCCTGACAGGATCGGTGCCACGGAGCTCACACAAGGAGTCACAAAATAGCCACCATGGTGTACGGGGTCCAATTACAAACGGCTGGAGGTTGCAAGCAGCATCCCATGGCAGAGAGGCAGCTGCTTCTGAATGGGCAGTCTTCTGTGGACACAAAGATGGCTTCTCCTGAATTCTTCGGAAAGTTCTCCTGCTCCAATGAGGAGGAGGGGAGACAGAATGGGCTGTCTGCTTTGGGGAAGAAGCAGAGGGGCTCCAGGAGACCTGTTGGTGGGCACCATAGTTTCCATGGGTACCATGTTGGGGGGGGGTCTCTGTGTCCCTTTGAGGACAAGCTGCAGCAGTAGGGGAAGCACACCCTGACCACTCCTCAGTCATTATTTCCAGGGCTTGGCCATGACAATGCCAGTTTGGTGTAGTGGTTAAGAGTGCTGACTCTAATCTAGGAGAACTGGGTTGGATTCCCCACTCCTCCTCCACTTGCACCTGGCTGGATGACCTTGGGCAAGCCATAGTTCTGATAAGAGCTGTCCTTGAAAAAGAGCAGTTTCTGTCAAGAGCTCCCTCAGCCCCACCTGCCTCACAGGGTGTCTGTCTGTGGTAGGGAGGGGAAGGGAAAGGAGTTTGTAAGCCGCTCTGAGACTCCTTTGGGTAGTGAAGGGCGGGGCATAAATCCAATCTCCTCCTCCTCCTCTTCATCATCATCATCATCTTCTTGATATTTACTAAGTCAGCCAGTTTAACAGTTCAATAGAACTCCATAAAATCAAAGATTCAGTTCTCCTATGGTTTTTCTTATTATTTATTTTCTGGATGTCATACATTGTACAAAATTCCTCTGTCTTCAGGTGAAAAATGACAGCTTCATAGAGTAAAAAAAACAGAGCAAGTCCACAAGGAAAGCTACATGACTAATGCAATGACAAAGGGACCCTAAACAAATGCAACAGGTAACATTTATAAAGTGTATTAAAACCCACCATAATACAAAATAGCACAGTGTAGAGCTACATATACAAACCATAACAGAGTATATCAGATATCAATATACCTAATTCTCAACATGGCCAGACCTATGGATATTTAAATCCGGAGCCTGAAAGACTTTTTGCAGAAAGATCTGAAATCTAAAAAAGCATATTAGTCCTCCTCCTGCCAAAATAATAGAAGCTGCACATGTAGTTTTAAGATGCAAATACTCTCAGTGGCCATTGCTAGGCAACCATACAGTACTGTCATACTTCAAGCCTTGGTTTCTGGCAGCAAAAGGCAGTGAAAGGGGGCAGGGGCACCACCCCCTGTATTGAAGGCCATACAACCAGGCTCTGACGTCACCACAATGGCGACGAGATTAGTCATAACAGTCCCCTAGTGGTGATGTGGGGCTAAGCGGGCATTTTGAATTCAGTTGGTGGAGTGTCGGAGAGAGATTTAAGTTAGAGGAGACTCGTGTTGGCTGTTGACTCTTCCTCTGTAATACTCTGCTAACAACAGTTTCTGTCCTTCATTTCTGGATTAAATATGCCTTTTCGCTGTTGTGTTCCTGAATGTATTTTCATGGAAGAAAGAGGTGGGTCGATTCCCCGAAGCTTCTTCCCCCCCCCTTCCCCCCATCTTTGCAATAGAGAGACGCTGGGGAGGTGGAGGCTGCTGAAATGGGGATGAGAAGGAGTCTATATTTTCCTCTATTTTACTCAAAAGAAGTCCCATAGGAGGATTGAATGTTGTACGAGGTGGAGGCTGGGGGGGGGGAAGAAGCTGCTGCTGAAATGGGGATGAGAAATGGGGATGAGAAGGAGTCTATATTTTCCTCTATTTTACTCAAAAGAAGTCCCATCGGAGGATTGAATGTTATACGAGGTGGAGGCTGGGGGGGGGGGAAGAAGCTGCTGCTGAAATGGGGATGAGAAGGAGTCTATATTTTCCTCTATGGTTCCCTTGAACGTTTGTGATGGTACACCAATATCCTGTGTAGCTGTTCTTTTTTGGTAACTGGAGATTATGATTGAAGTTTACTGTATGTGAAGACGTCTTACCAAAGTATGAGTTTGTGCATATTACTATCTCATGCTGTGTCAATGTTAAATAAAAAGTAATACTGAAAACCAGAAGTTATTAAACTCTTAGTATTACTATTATTTGACAATTTATGCTCACATGCAAAGTGGGGATGACAGCCGTGTGATGAGCCACATTCATTGTGCTTTTAAGTGTCCTTTGAAAATTCTAGTCTATAAGGCTGGCTTTAATACTGAGCAGAAGAAGGGGATGTGCAGAACCCCCCAGTTCCCTTCTGGATTTGTTGTGGCAAACTGAAGCAAAACCCACTGATCTACCCCAAAAAAATCTGAAATAGAGTGAGAATTGACATTACCATCATACAACAGACACCCACCACTCTCCAATATTATATGCTTGTAAATTATATGAAACATACACTCAAATATGCAAGGGAAACTGAACTCAGTAACACTGTAAGCTAGTGTGAAGTGTCTGGAATACTGCAGTGAAAGAATCAAGAGAATATCTTGTTGCCTACACGAGAAAATGCAATTTAAAACAATTGTGAAAGTAGCTGGCAACTGCAGAGTTCAGGGAATGTTATGACTACATGCGGTGACGTCAGAACCTGGTTGTACGGCCTTCAATATAGGGGGCAGTGGCAGGAGCCTTTCCAGGGCTGTTTTGGCTTTTGAAGCAGGGGCAGGGGCAGGTGGGGCCAGGTGGAGGGAAGAGGCCCTCAGCCCACCAGGAGATGTCCTGCTGGCTATAGTGGCCAGTCTGCCCTGGAAGAAGAAATTGTGGCTATGTGTGGAAGCAATCACTGGGTAACTTGCCTGGTACCTACTGTGGAGAAAGGCTGGGTATAAATGAAAGAATATAACTGAAGAGAGGGAAGATAAAAGATAAGTTTGTGGGTGGGTGGGAAGGAAGGAAGGAAGCAAGAGAGAGGCTATGGGGCTTTCAGGGAAGGGAAAGAAGAAATAGTGGGGGAGAGGAAAATCAGGTCCCTCACTTTTACAAGCTATAATAGTCAAAATACATAAAATATAGAAGAAGAGAGAAGAGACCCTGCCCTTCACTACCTAAGGGAGTCTCAGAGCAGCTTACAAACTCCTTCCCCTTCCCCTCCCCAGAACAGATCTGGCAGAACTATGGCTTGCCCAAGGTCATCCAGCAGGTGCAAGTGGAGGAGTGGGGAGTCCAACCCGGTTCTCCCAGATTAGAGTCCAAGCACTTAACCACTACACAAATAGTGCAGAGTAGACGGGTGCGCGTTCTGAGAAAGAACCCTTTTAAAGAACATGCCACTCTTGTGCTTTACACATGAGGAATCATAATACTACTAAAGAAGCATGTCATGATATTATAAATGTAAAACGACAATTCCCCAACCAAGAATAGTCATTTAGGGTCCTTTTGTTGCTTGTTTGGCCATATAAGCTTGATAGAGTCCTGGTAATGACTACGTACTTAAAAGCACAAAACGTAATTGCAGAGGAAAGAGAAATACACGAGAGGATGGGTGGGAAGGATCTGCACATCTCTTTCTTCTCCCACACAAACAACCTGAACGAGTGATTTGTTGTTGCTTACTCAGCTGTTCACTTACATTTTTTTGTGTTTTAGGGAAATGGATGTTGTCTTGAAGTATCTTAAAGAACAGTGTCAGATCGGGAAGATGGGTGTCATCGGATTTTGTTGGGGTGGAGCTGCAGTACAACACCTGATGGCATCATATCCTGATTTTAAGGCAGGCATCTCCGTGTATGGTATGTGTGAAATAATGGCAGAGACGGGGAAAAAGAAGCCACTTTCTAGACAGCTGCTTTTAGGGTCACCATCTCCAGGAAATCCCTGAGGGTTTGGGGGTGCAGTCCGGGTGGTGGAGTTTGGGAAAAGATGGAAGCTCAGTGTGGGTGTGAACTTTCTTGCGTTTTCTCCTAGACTCTGTGGTAATCCATGGAGCCCATCCCCCAAAGCTGCCGCTGTCTCCAGGGGAACGGATCTCTGCACTCTGGAGACCAGCGGTGGTTCTGGGACTGCTCCAGGCCCCGCCGGGAGGCTGGCAGCCTTAGGCGGCTGTCCTCTGTGCCAGCCCGGAGCAGGGCCCGTTGCTCAGAGAACCTGTCTTGCTGCTTACTTCTTTTTGCAGAGCGCAGCACTCGGAAGCAATTAATGGGCAGGAAATTATCTGAAACAACCCCTGCTCTCTGGTTTCATTCTTTGCTATAAATGAAGTCATGGTTAGCACAGATCATTTACATAAGAACATAAGAGAAGCCACTGTTGGATCAGGCCAGCGGCCCCTCCAGTCCAGCACTCTGGGTCACACAGTGGCCAGAAACACCAGGTGCCCTCAGGAGGTCCAGCAGTGGGGCCAGGACACTAGGAGCCCTTCCCACTGTTGCCCCCCCCCACAAGCACCAAGAAGACAGAGCATCACCTGCCCCAGACAGAGAGTTCCTGTCTATACCTTGTGGCTAATAGCCACCGATGGACCTCTGCTCCAGACGTTTATCTCGTTTCCTCTTGAAGCTGTTCATGCTTGTAGCCGCCACCACTTCCTGTGGCAGTGAATTCCACGTGTGAATCACTCTGGGCCAGCCCCGTAGCTGGGGATTTTTGTGGAAGGGGGCCTTGGGGGCCCCACCAGCTAATTACATGAAAGGCTCCAGGGCAAGGGGGGCCCTGCTTGACGTGCACCCACACAGTCCCCACTAGAGCCTTCCTCTGAGGCGAGCCAGAACCCCAATGTTAATAGGCATTAAAAGGTCTAGAAAAGCTGCCGTGTTTTTAAAAAAAGAGGAGAGCGGGAATCAAGCTTCCTAGACCTTTATTGGCATCACTCCTCCCTCACTCCTTCCCTGAGCCAACGAGCCTGGAGCAGAAAATCCAACAGGAGGAGCTAACTGCTGCAATCCGACCAATGTGTGTGTGACTCCGTCAACCACCGGTTGCTGCGGGCTCCTAAAGAGACTCAAGTCATCGCAGATGAGCTCAAACGGGGAGATGCCGGCTCAGATCGATCAGGGAGTGAGGGAGGGGGAGCTGAGGATCGGGGGAGGGCCCCACAAAAACAGTGGGGGGGCGGGCGGGCCCCGTGGGCCCCACGTTAGCTACGGGCTTGCTCTGGGTGAAGAATGACTTCCTTTTATCTGTTCTAACCCATCTGCTTAGGGTTGCCAAGTCGTTCTCACTCACCGGCGGGGGAGCGTTCCTTCGGTCCGGGAGCTGCCGAGGTAACCACCAGAACGTCACAGGAAGTGACGCACGACGTAGAGCACATTGGGGGTGTGGCCCCAATCGTTGGAGGGAAAACCATAGAGTTTTCCCTCCAACGATTGGGGCCACGCCCCCAACGTGCTCTACGTAGTTGCGTCACTTCCTGTGACGCACCCATGCTGCGCTTCGGGGGGCGAGGTTCCCCCCGGGGCCCGATTCCACGGTGGCGGAAATCTGGCCTCCAAAGCGGGGGTTTACCCGCCCCCCACCCCCACTTGGCAGCCCTAAAACACACGGAAGCAAACAGAAGCCCCTCTCCAGCAGGCTCCGCACACACTCTGCTCTCACACAGAAACCCTCAGTTAATGCGGCTCCCCAGAAGTCCAGGAAAGCAAAATCCGACACTCACCTCGCCAGCAGTTCTGTCCCAGCTCCTTCCCCAGCCCAGCTGACTCAATTTCCATCTGTGGGATTGACTTGAAGCAAGGATTTGGGTCATTTTTGCTTGACATCCCACAATTTGAGGTTTGGCAGAATAAAAGGTTTGATGCAAAATGGGTTTCAGTTTCTTTACTTCCAGCTGAAGTGTTTTGCTCTCCTCAAGGTAACCTGTGCAGCAGCTCAGACTGTCAAAGCAGGTGCTCCCGTCTGCGCTGTGGGGCGCTCTGCTGTAGAAGACAGAGGCCTTGTGCTTCACAGGTGCCTCCCTTGGAGCATGAGGAGGAAAGCCCCCATTTTCTAGGGGCTCAGACAAGGATGTACGAATGACTTTTTAAAGCAGTCACTGATGTTCTTTGACGCTTATCTACTGTTGTTTCATTTTTCATTTTTTGGGAGGGAAGGGCACAGAGTGGTTTAATTGTGCTGACTTGTTCACTACAACATTTCAGATTTTTTTTTATTGCATTGTTACATGCCTTCAGTCCCAGTGCTCTGAGAGAAAAGCAGGAGATTGCAAATCTGTTAAATAAGCTGTGCACTTCATTTCTATGGGGAGCCCTCCCAACTGATTGTGGGTTTGTGTTTTTCTCAATGTTTTCTAGGTGTTATCAGATTAGCAGGGGACAGGTGCAATTTACTGAATCCCACATTTTTCATTTTTGGAGAGAAAGATGACATCATTCCTCTTGAACAGGTAAGCTAGTGTTGTTGATTTTTTAAAAGCAAAGTTATTGAATCTTGTTTAAGGGCCCTCAGTAAGTGTTAGGAAACCTGTGATTAGTTCCTCCTAGCATTTAAAAAAAAACAGAAGTAGCTGCTCTTTGGAGTCCTGGTGAAGATTGGGACTGGCCTTTTTTCCTTCCAAGGAAAGAGTGCGGGAGGCAGTTTTTATTGGGAAAACTCTTCCCCCACCCCCAAATCTGAACCAGAGCCCCACACGGCTGCTATTTTTAATTATGAGCCACTGGACAGAGATCTCCCAGCATCTCACTTTAGTTACACCTTCAGTTAATGGGTGACCATAGTTTTGGATAATGATCTCATATTCACTCTGGGAAATGGATTGTGTGGTAGGAAATTCACCAAGATTCATCCTTCTTTTAAATTCTGAAGTCTCTTGAATCCTCTGTCCAGAGGTGTGCATATTAATCTATAGCCAAGTGTCTGGGAAATTTTTGTAATGAATTCTTTTCCTCAGTCGTGGAACTTTAGCCAGCGAAGTGGCAGTGTCCTGGGTGCGTGTCCCACCTCTCTCTCCTTGGATCAGGCCCGTAGCCAGGAAATCTTTAGTAGGGGAGCACTGGGTATCATACGCTTGAACTTAGCTTTGAGCTATGTAGACCCTCTGAGTCTGGGTCTCAGCGTATGCCAGGGACTCAAGGTCGTTTGGGTAGTGTGCTCAATGTCCCGAGCCCCTGCGTTTCCTAAGGCTTATTCGGTTTTATTTTCTTACAGAGACATGGAGGGAGTCCAAACCGGCCTTACTGTCCAATAATCCTTTGAACTCCCGGTTATAAAACAAATAAGGTTTATTTATAAGGGTTAAAACAAACGAGGGGAGTTTAACATAAAACAGACAGTAGACAATCTTATCTTGCTATGCTAGCTAGCTAGTCCTAACAAGGCTTTGCTGTTCGTTCCTTCCCGGGAACTCCTAGCTCGTTAGGCTTGGTTCCCTGGTTTGAGGTTTTCCTCCCCAAAGCTTACTTGATTGTAGACTCACTTGGTCTTCTAAATAACCTGCCCCCGGACGATAACTCACGGCTGACAGTTGACCAAGTCCTGGCTGCGGCTCTCTGGTTCGTCACGGCCTCCTGCAGCAAAACGTGTGTACTCTGACAGTTCATCAGCATTCCTCCATCCAGAATCTCAACGCGCCTGATGAATTCTTATTCTCTGTCTCTGGGACTATGTCTTATTGCTGAATTCTCCAATCCCTGTCCCAGATCAATTAGAAATTGCTACCTAAACCAGGTGTGCCCATTTCCCTAGATCTTAGGTGCACTGACGCTGACTAAACTTACAATTACTCATTGAAACTAATCCTGCCAGTAAGTACTTCTGGCATGACACTGGGGAAAGTTGTGGAGTGTGACATCATGAAATTAAAAATACAGAAATGAATAAAAGGCCCCAGGCCACCTGTCTTTCAAGCAGGAGAGTGACTCTCTGGTCCGAGGGCCCCTCCCAAGCCCCTCCCCCGGGTGCTTCAGAGCCGGCCCACCACATCAGTCCCGGCCAGCCCAGCCAAAAGGGGCACGGAAGTCCTTCCTCTCTGGCACAGGACTCACCGCTGTCTGTACCTTGCCAGCTGCCTTGCGGGAGGCTTTTGTCCATCAGACCTTCCGGGGGTTCTAGTCGAGGTGGGGGGGGCTGGCTGCGGCATACCCAGGGCTCCAGGCCGATGCTGGGGAGCCCTCCCCCTGGGGGCAACACTGGCGCTCCCTTCTCAGAGAGGGTGTGAGGAGAACTGTGGAGCTACACTTGGTGGCAGGCTTGACGGGGTGCCGCAGCGAAGCAGGGACGGAGCTAGATTTAGACTTCAAAAAAATTAACTTTGGAGATAGTATTTGGTGGGGTGTTGCTGTTAATTAAGGGGGCATGACCCTGACATCTCCTGCCGTGGCTACGGGCCAGCCTTGGATTGGACTAATTATTTTCACATTATCTTTACGCAAACCTACTACTTAATTAGAATCTTTCATGCCTGTTAAGGATGCTGGTGTGGATGTGTGTACTGGATAGGGAACCATTTGCAAACGATGTTGCTAAGTTAGACAAACCATGGTTTAGGAAGGTGTACAGGATTTTGTTTTGTTTGCTTTTCCATATTCATTTTATCTTTAAAAAACTTGCTTGTGAACATAATTTGTTAGTCTTTCAGAACTAATAACATTAGTTCAGTACTAATATTGTTCTGTTATAGGTCTCTACACTAGAACAGAAACTGAAAGAGCAGTGCAAAGTTGATTTTGAAGTAAAAATCTATCCGGGTCAAACACATGGCTTTGTACATCGCAAGAAGGAAGATACGAACCCTGAAGACAAACCCTACATTGAAGAAGCAAGGAGTGACATGATGAACTGGCTAAATAGATACGTTTTATAGACAGAATCTGTGGAATTTATAGGAGAATGCTAGCACAACAGAAAGGACTTGATCCAATTTTACTCAAACATTATGTGCACTTTTTATTCACCACTAAAGCAGTTTAACACCAAACATAGCTACACCACTATTAAAGTGGTATAAGTTTTCCCCCCGGCTCAGACAATCCCATTTTGAGTTTAGCTATGGGGGGCGGGGGCGGTGTTAGAGGTACATCACGGAGCGTTAACAGCACCTTCACCCAACTACAACTCCTAGAATTCTTTGTTGGGAAGTATTGACAGTAAAACTGATGTAAAACTGATATACTTCTATGATGTGATTATGACTGTGCTTTTAGAGCAAATACATCTCTGACTGCAAATAAAGTTCCTCAGAATATTTTGCTATTTCAACAACTCAAAAGATATGAAGTCTGTACTGTTCCTCATGATTATTCTGAAAGACCTGCAAATGAAATCCCTGCTGGGAAGGAACTGGGATTTGATTAGAGATGACTATTGGGGGAAACAGCAATCAAAATCTAGGGGTCCAGACTGTCCTCCTAATGTGACCTCATTCATACATTTTTAGATGGGGGTGCACAGAAACCAAAGTCTGCTTCTGCTACATCTATTTAATATACTGTATACATAAATGGCCAAGTCTCCCTTAACCCAACATTTTGCCACACTACGCATGGGGTGGGGTGGGGGAGAGTAGGCCATAAGGGTATGGGGTGAGACAGCACGCCTGGCTGCCTGCGCCCTTGCACATGGGCGACGGATGAGACGAGGTGCCTGGCTTCCCTCATGCGCCATTGCCTCAGCCCTCGTGCCTGGCTTCCTCTCCCCCTCAGCAGCAGGCCTTTGACTACTACCACCACCACCACCACCACAGACGGAGGTGGGCAAGGAGGCTGGCTGCATGGTCTCCCTCAGACGCTGTTGCCTCGGCTGGCCACCTTGCTTCTACTGAGGCTAACTGGCGTGGTTAGTCCAGTCACCAGCACTTAGCAGAGTGCTTAAACAAAGCTACTAACACAGGAGCATCACTTTACCAGGTTACTCAGCTTACAAAGCCACACAGAGCCACATTGCAAGTTTAGAAGAGAAATACTCCTCTCTTTATTTGAGAAGTACACTTTGGATAGGAAAGAGGAGAGATTGACAGATTACTAATTTACTAGCTAAAGGATGGAGGCGGATGGCAAGAGGCCCGTCTGCCTCATGGTGCCAAGAGAGGACGGCATGTCCCTCTCTCTCGGTGGGTGCAGGTAGAGAGCAAGTCTTCATTCAGAGTGAGAGGGCTGGGAGGTAGAGAGGCCTGCCTTCGACTTCGTCCACCAAAACCGGAAGTTAAAAAAGTTTAAAAAAGTAAAAAGGCTCCCCTTCTGCCATGAGGCAGGCACTTAAGAGAAAACACTGGATGTTGTTCCACCGGGGACCATGTGCTAGCAGGGCAAGCAAATGGGCCTCCGAACAGCCGGAGCTTCGCGTGGGAGACATCAGGCTCCGAGGATCCTAATCCCAACCTATCGATGGGCCCGGATCCTGAAGGGAACCCTATCAGGTTAAGAAGTGTGTAAATAGATGAATCACGAGTGTGGGTGTGAGTGTGTGTGGGTTTTCTGTAGGCATAAAAGCAGCCCTCGGGCTTGCCCCTGTATCTCAGTTTTCTCTGAAATCACAAGTAAAGTATGAGCTGAATCACTTCGATATGCGTCAGTCTTAGTACTTTATACTGGCAACGAGGGTGGGATCCCAGTGAGCGAGTTGGGACTCCAGCCCAGCACTGAGCACCGATCACCAAGAGGATAATGCGCCCCACATTGCTCCCCCCGCAGCCCAGCACTGCGCATCGCTCCTCTGATCATCGCTCACCGTCCCAAGTCATGGCTGCCGCTCTGGGACACCCCTGCCTCTCCACCTTCGACCCAACTCACGGGAATCCTGGGCTGAACCATTAAAGCATTTCCTTAACATCCAAGGAGAAACCGACGCCCTGAAGAAGTCATGGCTGCTGAGCACAGGTGGCATCGCAACCATCCGACTGGTCCGGAACCTCATCATGCCAAAGACTCTGGAGACGGCCACCTACGCTGAACTGCTGAAGGCCCTGATGGACCACTACGCTCCCAAGCCTTCAAAATGGGCCATGCGGATGGATCTCCAAGCCCGCACCCAGAAATCAGGGGAGTCAGCTGCCGATTTCCTGGCTGACCTCAGGCGCCTCGCTCTGGATTGTGAGTTTCCCACCTTAGAGGACTCCCTGTTGACGCAGTTTGTCTGGGGAGTCCGCGAGCCGAAGCTCCGACGGAAGCTCATTGGGCAAACGGACCTTACCCCCGAGATGGCCCTCCAAACGGCAATGGCTTTTGAGAGGTTCCAACAGGATCGACTGACAACCACCGTACACCAGGCCATCTCGACCCTGGACTCTGACATCTCCGACCCAGAAGACGTCCACCAGGTATGGCAGGCGGCCTGGCCTGACCACCACAAGGCAAGCAACACGGCTTCCTGTTCATATGGTCCAGCGCCCAACAATTCCAACGCCTTCCCGACCTGTGCCAGCTGCAGTGAGGAACACGAGCGCCAAACCTGCTGGTTCTGAGATGCAATTTGCTGGTCCTGCGGCAAGGTCGGTCATCTAGCACGTGTATGCCGTTTCAAGGGCTCTCCGCGATGGAAGACAGCACTCGTGGTCTCGTCGGACCTGAACTCACTGACCAGCCACCACCACCACCACCAGCAGGTACTGAGCTTGCCCCCAGATGCTCCCAACAAATTGCATGTGACGGTATTAATAGAGAGGTCCCCCTGAAAGATGGAGCTGGACACGGGGTCGTCCTTCTCCATAATTTCGGCAGAAACGCTTAAGAAACTCCGCCCCCAGGGGGGACCCTGCCTGGAACGGGCACCAGGCTTATCCTTACAGGACTTCCAAAGAAACCCGGTGACCATCAAGGGGTGGGGCAAGTTCAGAAAGCAGTATAAGCACTTCAGTGGACTCTTGGAACTGTTGGTGGTGGAGGGAAAACTTATAAGCCTACTGGGTGTCTCATGGTTTGGGCCCCTGGGGTTTGGGGTGACGGGGATCAATCAGGCGTGGCTCCATGATTTTAATGCAGTGTGTGGTGAATTCCCCAAGGCTTTTGATGGCACGCTACATCGGCCCCACGGTCTCCCTGGACCTTGACCCTAACGTCAGGCCCATCCGAATGAAGGCCAGGTGGCCCCCATTCACATTAAGGCCCAAAATCGAAGTGGAACTGGACCGCCTGGTGGCCCAAGGGGTTTTAGAGCCAGTGTCACACACCAAATTGGAAATCCCAATAGTCACCCTGGTCAAACCTAGTGGGGACCATCCACATCTGTGCGGATTACAAATGCCCACTGAACAAGGCATTGCAAGACCATGCCTATCTGGTACCGGTAGTCAGCCATGTGATGGCCTCCTTGGCAGGGGCACGGGCAATGTTCCCTCTAAGCTGTGGAGTCTTGTGAGCAAAAATTCTACTTTGTGAGCTACTGGCATTGAAGTTGTGAGCAAGCGATTTGGTTACTGCATAAATTAGTTTGCTCTGGAGCCATCTTTCCTGAGCTGAGAGAAAAATGTGTGAGCCAGAGGCTAAAAAACTGTGAGCTAGCTCACACGAACTCATCTTAGAGGGAACACTGGGCACGGGTCTTCGGTAAATTAGACCTGGCCCAAGCCTACCAACAGCTCCCAATGTACGAGGCTACCATGGAAGCACAAACAACTGTTACACACAAGGGGGCTTTTAGAGTTAAGTGGCTGCAATTTAGGGTGTGCATGGCTCCGGGATTATTCCAGAATCTCATGGACTGTCTCCTCAAAGGAATCCCCGGAGTCACACCTTTTTTTGATGAATCCCCGATACAGACTCCTTTGAAGAGTGACTCCGGACAGTACTCAAGTGCTTCAGGGAAGTGGGGCTGAAGGCTAAGAGGGAAAAATGTCTCCTAGGGGTCCTGCAGGTTGAGTTCTTAGGGTTTGCCGTCGATGCCCTAGGAATCCACCCGACACCCAAGAGGGTCCGGGTGATTGTAGACGCGCTGATTCCATCCTTTAAGTCAGAGCTACAGGTCTTCTTAGGCCTGAATTTTTATCATGCTTTTCTTCCACACAAAGTCGCGGTCGCTGAGCTGCTCCACAGGTTATTAGACAAAAACGCCCCATGGACATGGGGAACGAGACACGCTGCCGCCTTTAAGGCAGTGAAAGAACTCTTGGTTTCTAACGCGGTCCTAAAACACTTCGATGAAAATTTATTTATTTATTTCACTTCTACCCCACCCTCCCCGCAAGCAGGCTCAGGGCGGCTTCCAAAACTGACGAGCAGTATACATACACAATAAAATATAAATACAAGGCATCAGTTAAAACACAAACAATCCATAAATTTACCGGTTGTGTTAGCGTGTGACGCTTCCCTGGGTTGGGGCGGTCCTGGGTCATACACTGCCAGATGGGCAGGAGGTACCGATTGCTTACTATTCTCGTACTCTCTCCCCAGCAGAGCGCAATTATGCACAAATTGACAAGGAAGCGCTGGCAATAGTAGCAGGGATCCACAAATTTCATGATTACTTATATGTGCATCCCTTTTCCATACTCACAGACCACAAACCCCTGCTAGGACTCCTGGCCCTGAATTGCCAAACACCCCAGACGCTATCCCTCCGGGTCCTACGGGTCTTAGCGGGCTACCAATATACACTCCTGCACAGGTGATGGGGCACACCGATACCCTGAGTTGCCTGCCTCTGCCCACGTGTGACCCCAACCCTGCCCATCTCATCGCCATGATAGAAGACCTACCAGACTGGCCGGTGCAGATCTCCGAAGTTCACCTGACACACCGCACACGACCCCGTCCTGGACTGGGTGGGAAGGGGATGGCCCTCAGGCTCGGTGGGGCCCGAATTTACCACCTTTGCCTCCAGGAAAGGAGAACTATCCTCCCACAAAGGGTGTATATTGTGCGGTGGTTGGGTGGTGGTGCCGCAGCCCGAGAAAACGGGTGATCGAAGCTCTCCACGACACACACCCAGGGATTGTACAGATGAAAGCGCTTGCCCGGAGTTATGTCTGGTGGCCAGGCCTCAATAGCGAGATAGAGGACAAAGTACAGCGGTGCCAGAAATGCCAAGAGTCCCGCCTGGAACCACCGAAGGCGCCAATTCGGCCCTGGGAATCTTCACACAAGCCATGGGCCAGGCTGCACCTGGATTTCGTGGGGCCCTTTTAGGGACAAATCTTTTTATCTAAGTGGATGCCTACACAAAATGGCTGGAGGTAGTCCCCGTAGCGTCCACCTCATCTTAAACTACAATCCGTGCTATGTGGTGGATTTTTAGCACCCACGGGCTACTGGACACATTGGTAACCGATAACGGGATGGCAATCAAGCAAGCACGACCAGAGGGGCGATCCCTGGTGGCCGAGGAAAGAAACATCGAGCGACTGCCGTCAAAAGGGTGCGCGATGACGTCGAGTGCGGGCACAGCGGAGCTGGAAAGGACATTGCTGGGGCCGGAAGAAGGCGTGAGTCGCGCGCCCCAAAGCCAACCCGCCCGAGCGCCGAAGTGAGCACCCCGCCGGAGACTGCCGAAGAAAAGACCTGAAGAGCTGAGTCAAGAACAACACCAACCACCACAGGGGTGTCGGTAGGTAGTCCCACTCCCGTATAGAAATGTGTGGCCCTAGTTAGGGAACAATTGTGATTAGCACCTGCCTGTAAGCCGCTCAGAGACCCCCTGAAAAAGGGGGGTTCGAGCGGGATATAAAGTCAAAAGTTAAATAAATAAATAAATTTATGTCCACTGAATTCCAGGAATTTACCCAGAATTACGGCACCCGACACATACACTAGGCCCCATTCTAGCCAGCTACCAACGAACAGGCGGAGAGAATGGTCAGGACGACCAAGGGCGCGCTCCGCCACCTGGACCCTGGGAGTATAAGCTGGCAGCCTTTCTCTTTGGTCAGCGCATGACCCCACACACAACCACAGGTCGTTGCTCAGCGGAACTGCTTATGGGTCAGCACCTCACCACCCAGCTAGACCGCCCCCACCCAGACCGAACACCTGAGCACAATGGCACCACCGAAGATCAGGCAGCAGCTCGAGGATTCTCCCCGAATGACCAGGTGTACACGAGGAATTATGCCCGTGGCCCGGCCTGGATCCCCACCACAATTGTTCGGGTCACAGGACCACACTCATACGAGGTGTCCTGTGAAGACAGCCAGCTAGTAAAAAGACACATAGACCAGTTGCGATGACACCTACTTAACCCGGCTCCAGAAGAGATCGAAGGGGAAGAAACCGAAACCAAGAGGAGCGACAACGGGGCACTACCTCAGGCAACCCAAAACAAACAACAGGAAGAACTAGACAGCAACAGCCCTACCCCAGACATGGCTGCAAGCAACAAGACACCACCCCTTGAGGCCGCAACCCCAACAGCGCAGTCCGAAGCGACCTGCCCTGAGACTCGAACACAGAGTCCGGAAGTACGCCGATCTTCAAGGATTCGGCGCAAACCCAGCTACCTACGTCTGCTAGGGAAAGGTCCGAACACTGGGGTGAGACACATTCTTTCTATGTTTTTTTTTTAATTGATATATGCATCATGCAGTCAATCTTGTCTTTCTATGCATATTTATGATTGTTTCACAGTTCCGTCTTACCAGCCACTGTTGAAGATCATTGAAACGCTTGACTTATACCTGGGAGAGGCATTCGGCTGTTATTCTTTCCACAGTGGGAGTCTTCTGTTACAGTTACTTTCTGTTTGGAGGTCTATGAACACTACTTACGTATGGAATTACAGAAGAGCCTACTGTTGGTCTTGAATATGTTTCTTGTTTAAACAATGCTTAATTGTTATGAACAAATTGTTAGATCTATGTTTACATACTGTATTGGGTTGTGACCACTAACCCTTCTTTGTATTTCAATGAATATAATATATATTTTTGAACATAGTTGTGAATTGTAGTTGGTCTTCCCTTGGTGGATATTGTTTGTGGCTATATTTATACACTAAGAGTCCCCTTTGTCTTTGTCCATTCGCCAGAAGGCATGGTGCCAGGAGGTGGTGCAGTTCCTCCTGGCAGTTGCAAAGTCAATGCTTGCATGTACCACCACCAACCTGGACAGCAGCACCTTCATGTGGTGGGTTCAGCTGCAATACTGTGAATGGCCCAAATTCACCCAGTGTACTACATGGCTGAGAGGGGATCTGAACAGAGGCCTCTCTGGTTCTAGTCCAACACTGTAACTACTGGGACTGGGGAGAGGCTGTACTTGGCAGGGATTGTCACAGTAGCAGCAACCCCTGCCCGCCAACTTGGGCAGAGGGTTGGCCCACATGCATATACAATGGGCCTTGACCGCCCTCACACCTGACCACAGGGCTCGTGCACGATGCAGACCTTTGCATCATGACTGACATTTTTACTAATATTAAAGGAAAGGAAATATGTAGGCCACTTCTGGCATTACTGTCTAAAGGTACAGGTAAGTTACTTTTATAACAAAAGCAATGGCAACAGGTTTACAGTTCAAAGTATTTGATTGCTTTAATAACACGGGTCATGACAGCCATCGAAGATATGAAGACGTTCCTTGTTTCTCCCCCCTGGTTGGGGTTCCTGTGGCTTTTCATGAGTCACAAAACTCTATCAAGTAAATTAAAAAAATAGCAATTTGAACTTGGAACTTTATCACAGATTTATCTAGTAATTTACCAATTTATTACACCACTGAACTTGAAAGCAAGCAGGCAAGTGCGCGCGCAAATGGGTATAGATAAATTCCACAAATACCTTATGAAAAAATAACAGAGTTTTAAATCTATTAATTTCACTTCATCATGAAGTACATCATGAAAAATGGTATAAGGAATGGTCTCCATAGCAGTTTTCACAAATTTCAGACTGCACACGTGTCAATGGACGCACAGCACTGAATAATCAGAGCCATTTAATATATGTGACTGTGACTAAGCTTCAGGACCTAACATTCCATCTGTGCTGTCTGCATGGACAAATCCAAATACCATAAAGCACAGAAAAGACCTTCTCCTCTCCATTTAGATTATCAAAAAGTGGAACCCAAACAAGAAGGGTATAAAGGATACTTTCTTCACCAAGAAAACAGGTGATTTCAAAACAACAGCTGAGAACTCAGCTCCCAGTAAGACACACCAATATATGCAAAAGCAGCAACTGAAAGTGCATATTAACTCTTTAATACAAATGGGTTATCTTCCACTCAGCAACAGCAGGACCAATCACTTTAAAACAACCACACACACACACACACACACACACAGAGAGAGAGAAAATACCCCTACTAACGATTGAAAATAAGAGACAACCACATGGAAAATGTGGTCAGCACACTTTGCAGTAGCACCTATGTGGATGCATGAACCCTGTCCGAATTACAGGATAGATGGGTAAGGGCATCCACCGGTTTGCATTTGCATGCTCCCGTTGGCTCCCCTGTGCTAGCATACTATCTTTGTGTGTGTGTGTGTGTGCATGCGTGCAAGAACAGCAGCTGGTGTGTGTGTGTGTGTGTGCAAAGCCCCCCGTCTGTCATGCAGGAAAACAGTGACCGGACTCTGCAGTGACTGAGGCAGGTTCACTACATGAGTGTTTTTTTAAGGGACCTCATTGTCTCCTTCGGAAATGTTTTAAAAAGGCACAATTTTGTGAAGACTTTCCTAGGTATTTTTGAGAATTATTCATCTGCACTCTACGAAAACAAAAGTCCTTAATCCATTTAATCAGATATTACCAGCATTGTTGAGAAATTTATATAATAAGAATACTGCCATGGGCTAGTACATTTTTATACCTCAATGACAGGAAATTAAATTTGGGAAAAGTGCATAATGTAGACAGGCCACAATGTCTAGTCTCTACCAACGTCTGAGCTCCGCAAGCCTAAAGATTTTGCTGAGGGTGTGGTGCATCGATGTACTACTTCTGTCACTATCTGTAATGAGACAGCCTGTTCACCTCACAGAGTCATAAGGCACCTGCATATGCTCTTAAGTCAGACGTTGGTACGTCTGTCCACTTCAAGATCTCTTGCCTTCCTATAAAATGCTGCCTCAGATGTTGGTATGGAAAGGCAAGGTTCAACTGCAATAAAATCAGCATGACTGACTACACCACTACCCTAATTTAAACTTCGTTCCCAAATTATAATGTCTGCAAGTGAGAACTTCCATAACAGAACTGTAACATCAGAAGCAGCCACCAGAGAGACTGTGATACAAAATGTGGTCTCTGATGTTAGGAAAGACAATAAGCGCTCTGACACACCCTGATGGACCAGAAGCAACAGTGGCAAAACATGGTTCTGATTTCAATGGAAGTGCAACAAGGCAAGTTCAGTGGTAGCACAAACATTTCTTTCTTGCTAGAAAGAACGGCTAAAATGCAATGCATATTTACCACCACAAGCCAAGCACATCCTGAATGCTACACTGTTAACCAAACTGAAGAATAAATCCACGAGAAATAGTTTTCCATGAAAAAAAGAACTCCCAAGTTCATACCTGAAAATGACAAAAAGAATAGTCTTTTTAGCATTGCCAAAGGAAGGAGGATTTGCGGCAGGAGCAACTCAGTATTTGAAAGTGTCGGCAAAACCCAAGATGTGACGGTGTCGTGGACAAAGCGGAATGAGGATGAAGCTGCTGGGAGGCAACGACTTTGAAAGCTGGTCTTCAGCGGGGGGCTGTCCACATAAATCTTCACCCCACTCCCTTAAAAAATAATTCATTTACCTGATTTGTATCGACTGAAAGTTATTAATGTTATTTTTCTAGCAGTTATGGATGTTCATGTAACTCTCGCTGTGTCCCACTGGCAAACGGGCTGTTCTACCCAAAACACAAAACAGATTACAAGATTTCTGTTGTTGTTACAATGGTTAAATTTTGCTGGCCGACATGTTTTCATCCTTTGTTTCCATGATGAAATTAGAATTCAACTCAGCAGAATGCACTTTGATGAAAATGGTCCTGACCACACCAGCGGCTGCATTTCCACTCTTTGAAAGCATAATTAATTACTTCAGTCTTGTACATCAAAGTAATCAATCACAGGCTCTTCTTTGAAGCTGTGCTCCAGATTGTTATTCCCATGCCTGAAATAAATACAGTGACAGATGAAAAAGCAGATTTGGCCTTACCTGAGAATGCACCCTCTAAGTGAGAGAGGACACTCTTTATTGGGGAAACACCGCATTTTGATCCACGTGCAGGGAGCAGGGGCAAGCAATCCCAAGGGGAGGGGCCTCCTCCACTGCTGATACTGTGCCCACAGTTCAGAAACCCCCCCCCCCCAGAATTCAAAGTACAATGCCACAAAAGAGGCAAGGAACTGTACAACATATGTGACATATGATAAACTAACAAAGAAGAAAAGGGGTGGGAATAAAAGCAAAGGTTATCCTGCCAGACCTGAACTATCCATTCCCCGGCATATGTCTAACTCCCTTCTTCTGCGAGTCCAGTCAGGCACCTTAAAGACCCACAAAGTTTCATTCTGGGCATAAGCTTTCGTGAGCATGCACACTTCAGATATCTGACGAAGTGTGCGTGCACATGAAAGCTTATGCCCAGAATGAAACTTCACTGGTCTTTAAGGTGCCCAACTGGACTCAAGTTTTGTTCTGCTGCTTCAGACCAACACGGCTACCCCACCTGAATCTCCCTTTTGTGTGTGTGTGTGCGCGTGTGCATGTACCTATTACACTTTAGAGCTCACAGACTGTACAACCTGGCATTGCTGAGAACACGAATTCACAAGTCCTAACTTGCTGCTGGAGTGATGCACTAAAGCAGCGCATTCATGGAGTAGGATTCAGCTGCTCTTATGCTAAGAATACTGAGTAGCTCTTGGCGCTGTCGCCTGCTGCATTTGCAGAAGGAAACCCATCAGCACTGCAATGTTTAGCGGTCAGAGGGGTCTCCCTTGCAGGAAATTTCAGCGCACGTGGAGGTGAGTTGTAACATGCAATGAATAAGCCACTGTCCCCAGTCAAGTATAGCTCTCCAGAGGGAACAACAGCGTGGATAGTGAGGTTATTTACTGCTCTCCCCCTGGGATGGGGATGGGGATGAGGCGAGCAGGCATCATCGATCGCTACACCAGTGTCTTATAAAGATGACAGTCGCAGGCTGAGATATATTGTGGAACACCACGCTGAACTGCCAAGAGGGGCTGAGGCCAGGAGGCTGGTCAGATATTTCACAGACCTCGACACAGGGCAGCAAGAGGACCTCCCCTGGCTGGGCATTTCCCTTCCCTCTCCCTATGCAAAAGGAGCACAGACCATAAGAACATAAGTGATGTCAATGTTGGATCAGGCCAAAGGCCCATCCAGTCCAACACTCTGTGTCACACAGTGGCCAGAAATACCAGGTGCCATCAGGAGGTCCAGCAGTGGGGCCAGGACACTAGAAGCCCCTCCGACGTTGACACCCCCCCCAAGCACCAAGAAGACAGAGCATCACTTGCCCCAGAGCCCCTATCTATACCTTGTGGCTGATAGCCACTGATGGACCTCTGCTCCATATGCTTATCTAATTCCCTTTTGAAGCCGTCCATGCTTGTAGCCGCCACCACTTCCAGGGGCAGTGAATTCCAAGTGTTCATCACTCTTTGGGTGAAGAAGTACTTCCTTTTATCCATTCTAACCCGACCGCTCAGCAATTTCATGGAGTGCCCACGAGGAGTTCTTGTATTGTGAGAAAGGGAGAAAAGTACCTCTTTCTCTACCTGCTCTTTCCCATGCATAATCTTATAAACCTCGATCATATCACCCCTCAGTCGTCGTTTCTCCAAGCGAAAGAGCCCTAAGCGCCTTAACCTTTCCTCATAGGGAAAGTGTTCCAACCCTTTTATCATTCGAGTTGCCCTTTTCTGCACTTTTTCCAAAGCTAGAATATCCTTTTTAAGGTGTGGTGACCAGAATTACACACAGTATTCCAAATGAGGTCGTACCATTGATTTATATAGGGGCATTATGATATTGGCTGATCTGTTTTCAATAATCCCCAGCATAGCATTGGCTTTCTTTATTGCAGTCACACACTGTTTCAGTGAGTTATCTACTACAACTACAAGATCGATCAGTCTCTGCCAGTTTAGACCCCATCAATGTGTATTTATATTTAGGATTTTTGGCTCCAATGTGCATCACCTTGCACTTGGCCACATTGAACCCCATTTGCCATGCTGACGCCCACTTGCCCATCTTTGACAGATCCCTTTGGAGTGCCTCACAATCCTCACTGGTTTTCACCACCCTGAACAACTTCGTATCATCCGCAAATTTAGCCACTTCACTGCTTACTCCCAACTCCAAATCATTAATGAACAAGTTAAAAAGCAGTGGACCAAGTACTGATCCCTGCGGTACCCCACTGCTTAGCCCCCTCCACTGAGAGAACTGCCCATTGGCACCTCTAAGACCAACAAAGTTTAATTCTGGGTATAAGCTTTCCTGTGCACACAAAAGACCAGATTCCTCCTTGGCAGCAAGGGAGCAGCAAAGCGCGGGAAGACAGAGGCAAGCAGCGCCAGAGCCGAGGCTTCACCCTGACTGAAATCTTCCCTTTGGACCCAAATCCCCCTCTAAAAATGAGGGTTATAGGAGGAAGGAGATTAAAAGGGAAGGGTAACATCCAGCTTGTGAACAGTCCGGGATCCCTGTGGGAGCTGAAGGGAAGCCCCTCCCCCTACCTGCTGACTGAGTGATGGCCCCGATGTATATATTAAAGATTTTGCAGCCTTAAATGCTGTAAGGAATCTTGCAATCTATAAATTTATATATACTCTGTTGCCATTCCAAATATCCAGGAGTTGCCCTTTGGATGTTCAAAAAGAACCCAACCGTTTAGTCATGTATTAAAACGGTCCAAGTATATCAGCTTCTACCGCGGATCAACGTTTCAGCCCAGTGGGGGCACCACCTCTAAGACCCAACAAAGTTTAATTCTGGGTATAAAGCTCTCCTGTGAATGCACACAAAAGCTTATGCCCGGTGTTAAACTTTGTTGGCCTTAAAGGTGCCACTGGGCTCAAACTTGGTTCTGTTGCTTTAGACCAGCACAGCTACACACCTGAATCTAGCTTCTACCACAATTCTAGAAACTGAAGAAATGCAAGCATAATTCAAAGCGAGCAAGGTTTCAGAGAAAATTATCCCCAAACTGAATATATTTACAATAAAAATTTATATTGACATAAAGGCATCAATGCAACAGTAAAACAACATTAAAAGTGACTGAATAAGGACCATAAAATAAATGGGAATTAGATAAGCATATGGAGCAGAGGTCCATCAGTGCCTATGAGACAGAAGGTATAGATAGGGGCTCTGGGGCAAGTGATGCTCTGTCATCTTGGTGCTTGGGGGGGGGGTCAACAGTGGGAGGGCTCCTAGTGTCCTGGCCCCACTGGTGGACTTCCGATGGCCCCTGGTATTTATGGCCACCGCGTGACACAGAGTGTTGGACTGGATGGGCCTTTGGCCTGATCCAACATTGGCATCTCTTATGTTCTTAACAGAAAAGCTTCATTACTCCATCAGCCTCATACCACAATAGGGGAAAAAATGAAGGTCTCTCTGGTACTCTGTCACTATGCAATAAAAAACGAAGTATATAAAAAAGTGAAATACATTATACCATGGTTTAGCAACTGAGAGAAACTCAGGCATAACTAAAACTAGCAAAACCCCAGAAAAAAGTTGCACTCACAAATTTACCTTAAAAAAATAGTAAACACTGATTTAGTACGTTAAAAAATTACCATGTGTAAAAAAAAGCCCGTATGTAACACTGATTCCCAGAGAGCCAGTTTGGTGCAGTGGTTAAGAGTAGCAGACTCTAATCTGGAGAACCGGGTCTGATTCCCCACTCGTCCTCCTCCACAGGAGCCTAGCTGGGTGACCTTGGTCAGTCACAGTTCTCTCAGAGCTCTCTCAGCCCCACCCACCTCACAGGGTGCCTGTTGTGGGGAGGGGAAGGGAAAGGAGATTGTAAGCCGCTCTGAGACACCTTTGGGTAGAGAAGGGCCAGGGGGTATAAATCCAACTCTTCCTCTTCTACTGAAGTTTCCCAATCTTTTCTAATGTCTTTGTGAATGCTTTCCCACCCTCAAACACTTTTCTGTGCTATTCAATAAATATTGAAGAGTCCTTCCTTTATTCTTCTCCACAACCCAACACTACCGGTGTGCACCACTCATTCAAAAATCATTTGGATTCAACACACAGATCATCTGTCTCAATCAAGCATATACCAAAAAACGTCACCCCCTAGAGTTGAATCACATGACAGCTACCGGATGATCTACCTCTGGGAGCACATTTACATTTGCCATACAACAGACAACTTGCATATGAATGACGGCATACTGTAAAGTATAGCAGGCAGGATGACAGCCTGGGTACAGAGTAGTCTATTAGATCATCTTGATCTGAGGTGACAGTTAGTGTGTCATGTGACGTGTCACCAGGTCTGGAGTTGCATCATCCTGACTACGGTCACCATGTGTCAGCACTACAATTCTGATTGGTGCTCTGATGTATATATTGAGTACAGTCTGTATGCTATTGTTCACTCTGTTGGATGGAATTATATTGCCTGGTGATTTGGGAACTGCAAGTGCTAAAGGACTGTATGTATATAGTTGCTGTAAATAAATCACTGTAAATAGTTCAGCACTAGCCAACTCTGGATTGTGTTGTTATTGGCACTTCCAATACGCTGACAATGAATTCATCAATAGCAGATTCAAATAGGACCTCTAGTAAAGATACAAACAGGTTGCTTACCTGTAACTGGTGATCTTCAAGTGGTCATCTGTGCATTCACACCCATGGGATTCAGTATGCCTGTGCTGGATCGATCGGTTTTGTAGCAAGCTCTAACGGATTTTCGCGCCCAGACCTCAGGCGTGCGCAGGAACCTCAACCACACATGCCCAGAGGGGTGGGCGTGGACATCCCGCCAGTTCCTTCAAATCACCGTGAATCAACCCCTATGGAAAATGTAGAAGCTGACAGCAGCGGGGAAGGAGGGCGGGTGGTGTGAATGCACAGATGGCCACTCGAAGATCATCAGTTACAGGTAAGCAACCTGTTTATCTTCGACGTGGTCTCTGTGCTTCACACCCATGGGAGATTAGCGAGCAGTGGCCTGCCTGGAGGAGGGTGCAGGCAGGTCATTATTGCGAAGCCGAAGATAAGATGTGACGTCCCATGTTGGTATGAGAGTTCTTGCGGACATCCAGGGCGTAGTGCCTTATGAACGTATTAGGCGTAGCCCAGGTAGTGGCTCTGCAAATGTCCATTAGGGGAACTCCCTGAAGAAAGGCAGTTGAGGCTGCAACAGCTCGAATTGAATGAGCCCTGATAGGGACAGGCAATGGCTGCTTAGCAATAAGGTAGCAGAGGCGGATGAGACCTACAATCCACCTTGACATACGCTGAGCCGTGATGCTAGTTCCCAGCCTTGCTGGAGCATAGGAAACAAACAGTTGACAGTCATGTCTCTTTGGACAAGTTCTCTTTAGGTAGAACAGCAGCGCACGCTTTGTATCCAACGTGTATAACAGCCTCTCCTCTGGGGATGTCGGAGCGGGGAAAAAATCTGGGAGGAAGACCTCTGCCTGTAGGTGAAATTCTGAAACTACCTTTGGCAAGAAATGTTGTCAGGAACAAGATGGATGCCGTCTGGCAAAAAAGACAAGTAAGGAGAATCATGTCTGAAAGCCAGTATCTTCCCAACTCGCCTCACCAAAGTGACAGCCACTAGGAAAGCTGTTTTCCACGACAGGAATTTCAAGTCGTAAGTCGCGAGCGGCGAAGGTCCCAGGGGACGACAGGACTTTTGATGGGAGGGTAAAGGTGTAACAGTCCCTTCAAAAAATATTTAGAAAGAGGATGCGAAAAAAGTGTGCATCCCTCAACTTGAACATGGTAAGCTGAAAGCGCAGCTAAATAAACTTTCAATGAGGAATGTGACAGCCCCGAGTCAGCGAGAGACAGAAGGAAGTCAAAAACCGTCTCGAGACCAAGCCCCTCAGGGGAGAGGAGCTCGGATCCGGGGCGCATTAGGGCATTCTAGGGGGGAGTCTCTCTTTCGGTCGAAAGATCGGAGATTGAGACTCTCGCCATGCCCTGCCCCTTTGGACCTTGCTGCGTGAGCGACCCCGTTCTACGGGGTTTAGCGGAACCACCGGGCGTCACCGAGTGATGAAGCGAATATCCGAAAAAAATGGAAAAGAAAAGACTGGCGTAACTGTGAGTTGTCAAAATATAGAGAAAAAGAACTAAGAACGTCCCCCCCCCCTTCAGCAGAAAATGAGGAGGTTAATCCTCTATAAGCGAGAAAGAAAAAAAAAAGAAAAGAGGGGGGGAATGGACTGAGCGAATAGTGATGTTTTCCTTTGATGTACTTGAAATTAAGCAAGAAAAGGTTTTGTTTCTCCGGAGCGCATTTTAAGAACTTTATTAAAAGTAAAAAACAAGATGTCGATGTCGGAGCTGGGTAAAGACAAGCGGAGAAGGGAGGGACTTCCGTCTGGGCGTTTGTGTCAACGTAAGTGCCGGCTGTTTAATATTTGGACTGTGTATAGCTATGAATCCAACGGGGATTGTGAAGGAAAAGAAAAGCTTGAATTGTGACAGCGAAAAGTGCCTCATGAGCGCTTATAAAAGTCAACAATTGAAGAGGAGAATCCAGCGAAGAGATTGGGAGCGAACATAGAAAGTAACTGGAATGGAAAAAAGATGTTTGACAACACGCAGAAGAAGCCTTTGTTGATTGGACATTACTAACAGTTTAATCTAACAGTTAATACATCACTCAGCTTTCTCTTCCTCCCACTATATACCCTCCTTATCTTTCTTTTTAAGCGAAACTCCTCCCCTTTTTAGGGGAGTCAATAAAATCTTTATACAAAAAAACCGTCTCGAGACCCGCGGAGGCGGCTCGAGGGGTATCCTCACCCAAGGAGGAACAAAACTATCGCCACTTATAATGGTAAGATTTTCACGTAGTGGACTTTCTAGAGTTCAGCAACACATTTGCTATACGGGAGGAAAAACTGTTGATACCACTCTCCAGGCTGTCAACTTCAGTCGTGGAACATCGTGGTATAAGAGGGGGACTCGGACAGAAGCAAGAGGTCCTGCACCGGTGGGAATTGGTGGTAGACCCCCGCTGACAGATCCAGGATGGCTGAGAACCACAGCTGCCTCGGCCACCACGGGGATATGAGGATACAATCCGCTGTCGCTGATGATTTTGCGCACCACCCTCAGAAGCAGAGGCAGCGGGGGAAAGAGGAAATCTCTGGACCATGGGTAGAGGAGACCGTCCCCTAAAGACTGTGGGTCCTTGCCTCCTCAGCTGCAGATAAGAGGACACTTTTTGTTTGCCCTGGTGGCTAAAAAAACATCTATCTGGGGGGACCCCCACTTGCAGAAGAGTGGGAGAAGGTAAGTTGGGTTCCTGCCTGACTTAGGGGGTCTGCCTGCACATTCATGTGTGGCGACTAGGAAGATGCTGTGGGTGATCGGTGCCGAAGGGTTCGATGTCGACTGGATGATGTCGGACGAGGACCTTGACGCTGGAGCCATCGATGTCGATGGTCTCACATGTAAGTCTGGATCCATGACAGAAGCGGGATTTAGCGCTGATTCCAGTAACGCCACTCGGAGACGCGCCGCTTGATCTTTCCTAGTTTGATTTGAAAACTTGGCGCAGTGTCGACAAGACTCCGGGTGGTGTGTCTCACCGAGACAAAAAATACAAAAGGTGTAGCCGTCAGGCGGAGCGAGCTTACTGCAGCACCCAGTACAACGCTTGAAAACCCCCCACCTTTTCTCCATAAAATAAATTGGAGAATAAAAGGGGGGGGGGGAAGAGGTGGGGGGGAAAGGCCAAACTGAGGTAAGAAAAAATCCCCCCTATAAAAACTTTTTTTAATAGGAAGAAAAAACAAATAAATGAAGCAAAAGGAGAAAAACGAAGTGAAAATCCGAAGAGTTCTAATGAGAAAAAAAGCTACCAATCTCACCAACCAAGGAAAGTTGTTTCCAGCGCGGTGGAAAGAAAGGAACTGGCGGGATGTCCACGTCCACCCCTCTGGGTGGTTGTTGGGGTTCCTGCGCATTGTTGGGGTTCCTGCGCATGCCTAAGGTCTGGGTGCAAAAATCTGTTAGAGCTTGCGACAATACCGATCGATCCAGCGCAGGCGTACTGAATCCCATGGGAGTGAAGCACAGAGACCACGTTGAAGATCATGATAGTTCCCTTTCTATGAACAGCCAAGTTTAGCCAGAATACTTGAATACAGTAGTACTTACTTTTCTGACTGTTTGTGATGAGGAATAGGTGGTGGGGGTCTGGTCTGCCTCTCCTTGGTAAGCAGAGATGTCAGAGTAACTGCAGGACAAACTGATTTCCCTCTGGAGAAAGGAATTCATAATATCAATGAGATCTGTCCTATGACTGTCTGCATGATCGCTACTGAACACCTTCTTATGTCTGCGTAGCTTATTCTTATTTGGAAACAAGCAGTTTGCTTTTCCCCTTATTGTGATTCTCTCTCTGTCTTCATGCAAGAAATTCACAATTTTGAACAATGGTTGCATTTAATAATCATGCATTGTTTGGAAATACTAACAAGCACTTGTGTTATAAAGAGAAATTAAATGACAGAAAAAACAAACTCCATTAACTATAAAATTGAGGCACAGAAACTGAGGCTTTTTTGATACGAAGAGACACAATTCTACAAGATCCCTTACCTCAGAAGTAGAGAGAACAGCCTGGGTAGTTCATAGTACTCATGTTGGTCACCCCAATCATATGTGAAAACACAGCTTATTACAATGTTCACGACACTTTTGACAAAGTCCCTCACTAAAGACTGCTGGGCAAATGTAGCAGTCATGGGATAAGAGGACAGATCCTCCTACATTAAAATTGGTTAAATGGGAAGCAGAGAGTAGAAGTACTATTTATTTATTTACAATACTTCTATGTGGCCTCTTCGGAGTTCCGTTTGAGCCAGCTGACCATTGAAAAGTGCACGTACATTTCTCACAATGGAAGAGAATGAAAAGTGGGGGACCCACAAGGATCCGTACTGGACCCAGTGTTGGGGTTGAGCAGTCTAGTGGACAAGTTTGCAGATGACACCAAATTATTCAGGATGGTGAAAACCAAGGCTGGTTTTGAAACACCCCAGAAGGATCTCTCTAAATTGGGTGAGCAGGCAACAACATGGCAAATAACATTCAGTGTAGGCAAGTGTAAGAGGATGCCCAGGGGAACAAAAATTACTAAATTTAAACCAGCAAGTGACTGAGAAGGAGATCTTGGGTTGCAACATATGAAAGCATTCACTCAGTGCACGTGGCAGCAGTGAAACATACAAACTCCATGCTGGGGATTATTACGAAGGACTTAAAATGGACAGCATTGTAAAGCCTTTGTGGATTCTACGGTGAAGACACAATTGGGATATTGTGTACAATTCTGATTGCCATACACCAAGAAGTGCAAAACAGGATAACCAAGATCATTCAGGGGATGGAAGCACCTTTCCTATGGAGAAACGCTAAAGAATATGGGGCTTTTTCATGTTAGGAAAAAAGACAACTGAAGTGGAACAGGACAGCAGTTTATAAAATTATCCATGGGCTGGATAAAGTGGGGAGCATTTTTGCTTTCTTTCTCGCAGTACTCAAACTCAGGGTCACCCAATGAAGCTGATGAGTAACAGGCCCCTAACAGATGAGAAGACGTTCTCTCCTTCACGCAGTGAGGTACTAAATTGTGGGATTCGCTGCCAGCAGATATAGTGGTGTGCATGAGCACAGATGGTTTTAAAAGGGGATTAGGAGGTTTCATGCCGCATAAACCCACTAATAGCTGCTACCTGTAACAACGTATAAAGGCATGGGAGGTGACCAGCACAGCACCTCTGGTTTTTATATGTAAAAAATAAAATACAGGAACGGAATAAAATGGCCAGTGTGGTTTAATGGGAGGTCTCAGAGAAATTGTGCTATTCAAATGCAAAACACTTGTTTTCAAAACTACCCAATAAACCAACAATGGGCAAGGTGCTCAATGTAAATGTAAAAAATCAAACTGGCTGAAACACAGCAAATACTAATATTACAGCATTTTATTAAAGGTGATTATTTTGCCACTTATAACAAGAAAATGGAACAACATACTTCACCGCACTGATAACAACATTGCGCTTTGGTTCGTTATCATAGCTCACACTCTCAATGCCGTAAGCCTGAGCGAGCTCATGGATGATTCTGCGGTGTTCTCTGTTCATGGGTGGGAAGCAGTGACTCTTCTTTGTATGCTTGCTCTATATCAGGCCAAGAAAGACATGTTAACCTTATGAAAGCTGGAGAAAAACACAGCAAACTAAGTTAGATCCAAAGGTGCTCTGGCAGGATCCACCAGCAGAAAGGCTCTTGGGGTGACGTCTGCCAACCTCTCCCGCCCAAGGCATACCCACGCTTCTCCTTAGAAGGTCCCCTGACCACCCCCCAAACAGAACAGGGAAGGGGCCCAGCGGGTTGCAGTAGGAGTGGAGAGGTGAGGAAATCTAGCTCCATCTGCTTCACTCAGCTGGGGTAGTCCTGGGTCCAGCCTGCCATTTCTATTACACCCCTCTGATCTGATCTCCCTGCTGCCTGATCCAATGGACCTTTCGTGTCAGGGGGAGGAGGAGGCTCCAATTATGAATCCAGTCCATGGGGCAGTTAAATCTTCAGATAAGTGATTTCCATCAGTCTATGTGCATGAAGGGATAAATCTTGATAACACCTTGGAGGATGACCTGATAAAAACCTTTCCAAATTTCCCAAAAGAGGTTCGTGGTGCGACAGTCAACAGACTGGGGACCGTAAGAACGAAGCTCCTGACGCCAGCGGATACCAGGGAACAAGCAGTGGCTGTAGACAGACCGGATGCCGCCAAAACAGGCCTTTATACAAACCGCCCAGATAGATATGCCCCCACCATAACTCCTTCTCCACTGATCAATTTAACTTCTACTACAGAAGTCCAACCAGAACTCAAGGGAAAGTCAGAGACGTTAATACAAGCCAAAATGCATATGTCCTCAATAAGGGCTGAGAATCTCCCCCTGAGCAGAAAGGGAGACGTTGTGTGGCCAAGCATAAGCCAATGAATCAAGGACATATCAAGAGGTATGAGCAGTGGGCCTGTGTGTTATGACACCAACAGCCCCCTCGAACAACTAACCAAAGGAGACTGACTCATAAATTCTTCTACATCACCATCATCTAAATTTTCCACTATTTTGGATATTAAGATCATCTCTTGGAACGTGGCCAGCTGGCGGAATAAGGCCGAGGATGTTGAATTTCTAAGTTACCTTAATGATTTTGATACCCTGTTTCCCCGAAAATAAGACCTACCCCAAAAATAAGCCCTAGCAGGATTTCTATGCATTTGTGGTATAAACCCTAGTGTGTCTTCTTGAGAAAAAAGAAATATAAGACAGTGTCTTATTTTCGGGGAAACACGGTATTATACTCCTTCAGGAAACCTGGTCGCCAAATCAGATTCAGATTGAGGGGGTATAAATCCTTTTCCCTCCCAGGGTATGGGATTAACCCTAAGGGTCGCTTTCAAGTGGGTTCGGCTCTGCTTGTTTCTTTACATTTAAAAGTAGAAATTGTTATGTTACGATTGGATAGCCCCACTGAGCAAGCTATTCCATGCCCCCATTAAGTAGAAGAAATCCACTTGGCAAAGTAGGAACGACGACACACATTTAACAAGACTGCACCTGAAGACGATCTTTGGGTCAACCTCATTAACCCTAACAATAAAAGCTATGTCAAAACAGTTTATGACAATGAAGCGGATATAAGCTTCTATTTTAAACATCCATACTTAGAAGTGATTCTTCCTCTTTTACTTCAAACTCTGTACAAAACATTTTTTTTTTTTAAATGACAACCATATACAGCTTTTAATATTAATATACTTGGGAATACAAAGGTTTCCTTTACGTGTATAAATCATTTAGAGGCAAGTGTAGTAGACTATTTTGTTGCTTCTGCTGACTTACTGAGAAGAGTGGAATCCCTGGCAGTGAAGGATTATTTGGGGGGGGGTGTGTGTGTGATCATTATCCTGTACAATTATTATTACGTCTGGATGCTTACCGTCTCTCTTTTAAGGTAAGGAACTTAGCACTAAAGCAGACACGTAACACCTTAAGATCACTGAGGTGGTGTGAAGCCATTGAAGCAAAAGCGAAAACACAAATGGACTTGGAAAAAACCAGATGTACAGATTCCCAAATAACTGAGAACATGGGCGATACGGAATTCTTCATGGATTTAACTGACTTTTTCAAGCCTTCCTTGGTGACAGCAAAGCCCAGGGGACAGGGCGCAAACGACGGAAATAACTGGCGCGACTCTGTGAGCTGCTCAAAAGATCGATCAGGTGCCTATATAGACAGTTTAAGAACTCAAATAGAGATTTTGCCAAATATTTTGAAATTGAAAAAAGAATATAAAAAAACTATTGAAATTTAAGAAATCAGAGGCCCAGAAAAGAGATTGGGAAAGTCTGGAAAAGAAAATGAAGCGCCTAGGAATAACAAATGATATGATTAAAAATACAGAAACTGAAGACATTAGAAGACAAATTTAAAAATCTGTAAGGAAACTGGATGTTACAAGTATGTCTATTAGGGCGCGCAGGGTGTGTCCGACACTTCATTTGGGAATTGCCCTCCCGATGCAACTGCCGAAATATTTTTATCAATTGACAGTCCCAAAACTAAGAAGAGCTTTTACTTTGGCAAGACTGAATGTTCTTCCCTCAGCAGTTTTGGAGGGCAGATATAATAAAGTATCATACTCTAATAGAACATGCAGATGCTCATATCATACAACTGAAACCATTGAACGTATGATTATGGAATGCCCTCTATTCAATGAGTTGAGGGCTAATCTAATCACCCCTTTACCTAAAGATAGGGAACTGCTAAGTGTGCGAGCCCAGGTGGCGTGGCTACTATCAGATACCCATGATCGTGTCACCCTCTCAATTGCAAAATTCATAGGTGCAATAATCAAATATAAGAGAAATAACACTGAGTAAGGTCTTTTAAAATATTTTCTTTGGTGATAGTCATATGAGCAGTACTAGTCAGATAGATATAGATACTAACCTTATTTACAGCTTCTACAAGGGCTTTCATTTCTTTCTCAGTTTCACTGAGAAACTTTAAATCCTTTCTGAAATAATTAAAAATATAATTCACTACAAATAAAGACTACTGTAACAATTGAAACATTTTCGCTGCATAATTCAAAATTGTCAAACGTTTTGCTCTTTTACTGTATTTCCCATTTCATGTCGCTCAAAACTGACCAAAATTTTCTCTTGAGGCAGCAAGAAAATTTAGATAATGATTCTGATGACACAAAATGGAGACATCTGAAGTAGACCAGGTATGGTCAAGGGCGATACAAACCACAGAATTAGGTATAGCTCATAAAAGTAGTATCAGTACACCATGCTAATAAATATGTTGTGGTTATAGTTCAGGTTGTAAGAGAGAAAGGTTCGGTGATGCATTTTATGTATGTGTATGTATGTGTATGTAAGTAAAGGTAAAGGTTCCCTTGCTTGAAAGCCCGTCGAATCCGACTCTAGGGTTGCGGTGCTCATCTCCGTTTCAAAGCCGAAGAGCCAGCGCTGTCCGAAGACCTTTCCGTGGTCATGTGGCCAGCATGACTAAACACCAAGGTGCACGGAACGCTGCTACCTTCCCACCGAAGTGGTCCCTATTTATCTACTTGCAATTTCTTGCTTTCAAACTGCTAGGTTGGCAGGAGCTGGAACTAGAGACGGGAGCTCACCCCATCTTGCGGCACCCGGGTCTTGAACTGCTGAACTACTGACCTTCCACAGCCTGCAGTTCAGCGCCTTAACCACTTGAGCCACCACAGCTCCTATGATTCACATACATGTGTATGTATGTGTATGTATATATATCTATATCTCCTCTTGTATTAATTTTCTTCTTCTTTTTATTATACATAACTTTCTGTATGTTTTTTTGTTTTAATGAATTAAAAAATGAAATCACAGAGGGGGGTGGGAAGGAAAGATCAGAACAGATTACCCAATCAGGTGTATGTGTGGAGAAGGGGTGCTTATCATGAACAGGTCAGTGCGAGTGTTAGTGAGAATTCTGGGCATGAGCCAGTGGCTCCAGCAATAGCAGAATTAACACCCAGAAGAACTCTCCAACCATCAGCTCCTCACACTGAAATCAGTAGGGAAGCCCATTTGCGTGGGAACACTCTGCGCTTTCTAGAGCACACACAAACGTCTAAGCAGGAGTGATACTACATACCTCCCATCCTCTTTCAAGATATCACTGTACTTGGGTGCAGAGGAACGAACATTAAAAGGGTCAGAACTGTCATCAATATGGAGGGCCTCAGCAAACCGCCTGATTGAAAACATTAAATGTTCAAAAGATCTTGTTCATCTGTATTTTAACCCAATCATGTCACAATATGTCATCTAACTGCTCTTCAAAAACTTTTAAGGCCTTTCCTTTTTATATGCTGTACAAGACTATCCTTTTCCCCTCCTTCTCCATCCCCATTTCATTTCTTCTGTATGTTCTTCCTCAAACAGCTCTTGTACTACTGTATCCGGGGTTTCTTAGCATGATTATTTCAGAAATTACAGATTTATGATTATGTCAAATTGTTGTTGTTCAGTTGCACAGTTGAGTCCAACTCTTCGCAACCCCATTAAGGACCACATCACGCCAGGCCCTCCTGTCTTCCATCATCCTCTGAAGTTTGCTTAATTTCATGTTCATTGCATTGATAACACTGTCTAACCATCAATTATGTCAAATAAACCTCCCTAATTTACATAACCAGGGAACTAAAGCATGCCATAACTATACTGTCTTCTTGCTTACTCTCTCCTAATAATCTGCTTCTACATGGTTATTTTTATACATCCTAAAAACTGAAGTTAATTTGTGGTCCTATCAAAAACAAATTATGAAAGTCACTGCCTACCGGTTCCTTTCAAGTGCCAAACATTCTTCATCACACTGCAACCTAGACAAACAAAAAGTGCAGATTGCAGAAAGCAGTTATGTTTCTGTGGACACTCTGCTATCACACCCCATTAAAAAACAACACCTTTCCCAGCAAAAACCAAGGCTGGCAATTACAGTGCCATGACTTACAAAGCCACTTGACACGATACGGAAGGACTCCTCCCACAGCGTCACTGGGCACTACCTAGACTCACTGGCTGAACTGGTTAATTCTCCATGAAGCTCCTTTCCCAACCTTCCACGGGAGACTCTGGAAAAGCCCCCGAAGCACACTGGTACTAGGATGGCCAGCAACAGGGGAGGACTAAAGAGAACCATTTCTGTGCTGCAAAGTACCTAAGCCCCGACCAGCCACAAACAGAGGTGAACAGGATTGGAAAGCCCTCCCATCAGCAGCATTCAGGTTGTATTTAAGCATCTGTTTCATTACCTGGTTTGCTTCATTTCTTTTTTGGTAATCAATCTGCTAATCTCCACTGAATCTCCAAGATGTGGATCTGTTAACTTAGAAGCTATGGAAATTGCAGCTATTCTGGAAAAGAATGATACCATAGGGAACATGAATGGCTCTGGACTGAGGCTACAGAAAACTAAGAAGGTGAGGGTGCTGACTGGGCACACAGTAGGGATAAAGAGAACATTAACCTCTAAGAACTTTGCAAATGAGCTAATTCTTCCCACCAAGGATGCTGGAAAACAAATTACACATTTCCACAGGAAGATCTACCTGTAAATGTTGCAAATCCTGTTTCTGAGCCTTTTGATGTGACCTCTGCCACTGGAAAAATTATTAACTGATACTCAGTTTAGGCATTAGTTGCCTCAGTGCCAAATTAGTAAAAGTGTGTTTACTAAAATGCTGTTTTGCTTTCCCGGGGGATTTGTCAAATGAAGTATAAAATTTTAAGTCTTGCATTCAGAATATACACCTGGAGAAGAAAATTCTAAGATAACCAATGTGTTATATATACTTACTAGGAGAAAGGCCCGTTGTGGGAAGAACTACAACAGGATCTAGAAAGAAGCTCCAGGTGAGTATCCCGGCTGTGGCTGGTGGGGCGGTGGAGGGAAGGGGGAAATGGAGGGAGGCGAGCCATGTTTATTTCCTTCTGCTTAGCTATAAGGCAGGGCTGTCTCAAGTCATTTTTCTGCCCCAAGTGGGTAATATGGGAGGAGAGCTGCATAATAGCAGGTATGGTTCCCTCCACCCCGACTGACGTTGATTTGGGGCTATACAGTGGCAGCTAAGGTAGAACAGCACCTACTCCTGTGCCATATTTTCTGGGTTCCAAGAATGTGGAAAGCGGTTCTGTGGCTAGTTAAAGGCTGCCAACTCTAGGTTGGGAAATATCTGTAGACTTGAGGGGTAGAGCCTGGGGAGGGCAGGGTATAATGCCATAGAGTCCACTGGCCAAAGCAGCCATTTTCTCCAGGAGAACTAAACATGAGCCTGCAGTGCGATGTGATTGCGAAGAAAACTAATGCAATCTTAGGATGCATTCACAGAAGCACTGTGTCCAGATCATGGGAGGTGGTAGTTCCGCTCTATTCTGCTATGGTCAGGCCTCACCTGGAGTCCTGTGTCCAGTTTTGGGCACCACATTTTAGGAAGGATGTTGACAAGCTTGAGCGTCTCCAGAAGAGGGCAACCAGGATGGTGAGAGGGTTGGAATCCAAGTTTTACGAGGAAAGGTTGGGTATGTTTAGCCTTGGAAAAAGAAGGCTTAGAGGGGACATGATTGAAGTCTTCAAATATTTGAAGGGCTCTCATGTAGAAGATGGAGCAGATCTATTCCCTCTTGCTCTGGGTTGCAAGACTAGATCTAATGGGTGGAAATTACAAGGGAGTCGATACTGGCTAAATAACAGGAGGAACTTCCTAACTGTAAGAGTGGTTGAGCAGTGGAACAGTCTGCCTCGGGAGGTGGTGGATGCTCCTTCGCTGGACGTTTTCAAGCGGAGGCTGGACGACCATCCTTCAGGTATGATGTAGGGCTATCTTTCGGCTATGCCCCTGCAGAGTGCTAGATGACCTGCAAGGTCCCTTCCAACTCTAACATTCTAGGATTCTAAGATTTTGGTCATCTGGAGATCAGTTGTAATAGCTGGGAAACTTTCTGTAGGGGAAATTATGTGCTGTGGCTAGGGAACACGGTGATTTCCAGATCTCCAGGCCCCACAGGGAGACTGGCAACCCCAGTGAACATTTAGTGGACGACTGGGAGATGTATTTTACCTGAGGACATATTCAATGACTCCCAACAGCAACAAAAACAGGTTGCTTATCTTATCAGGTTGATGACCTTCGAGTGGTCATCTGTGCATTCACACCTCTGGGATATAGTGCGCCTGCACCAACCTCAATTGGTCCCGCTTGAAAGTGAAAGGGATTTTCACGCCCGCTCCCCAGTCACACACCGGCCCCACTGCGCATGACCAAAGGAAGGGCACGACGATCCCGCCAGTTCCTTCTGACCGCTGCCATCAGTCTCAGAATAATAAAAACGAGAGGACCGAAAGCAGAGGGGAATTAGGGTGTGTGGGTGTGAATGCACAGATGACCACTCGAAGATCATCAGTTACAGGCAAGCAACCTGTTTATCTTCTTCGTGGTCTCTGTGCATCACACCTCTGGGAGATTGGCAAGCAAAAAACAGGCCTACCTGGAGGAGGGAGCTCCTGGAGGAGGAGGCTGCATTGCGCCGCCTGCAACACTGCCCGTCCCACCACGGAACGTCCCACCACGGAACGTTGATGAAGACGCACATCCAGGGCATAATGCTTCATGAAAGTGTGAGGGGTAGCCCAGGTTGCTGCTTGACAGATGTCAGTGAGTGACGAACCTCTCAGGAAGGCTGTGGACATGGCTACTGCCCGGGTAGATTCTAGAGTGCGCTTGGAGCAGGCCTGGACGTGGCCGTTTGGCCAGTAAGTAGCACAGTTTGGTTTCCACAATCCACTTGGACAGACGCTGTGAAGAGAGCTTCTCCCCCTACACAGGTGTGCTATAGGAGACAAACAAGGCTGATGACTGATGGAATGACCTTGTTCTATCAAGGTAGAAGAGTATGGCTCTCTTGACATCTAAAGTATGAAGACGGCATTCCTCGTTGCTCATAAGGGATGGGGAAAATGTCGAAGAGCAATGTCAGCTTGCAAATGGAACTTGGAAACAACCCTGGGCAGGAAAGAGACATCCGGGGCCAAGTTGACACCATCGTGGTGAAAAACCAAGTACGGAGAATTGCAACGGAGTGCAGACAATTAGCTCACTCATCTTGCTGAGGTAATGGCTACTAGGAAGGCAGTCTTCCACGAGAGGAGCTGCAGACTAGACGTGGCCATGGGCTCAAATGGTTTGCCCGTTAATTTGGACACTACTAGAGGTAAGTCCCAGGAGGGAGTCGGCCCACGAGCCAGAGGCAAGAGGCGAGTGAGGCCCTTCAGAAACTGTTTCGTTTGTGGGTGAGAAAAAACAGAATAGCCATCCACCGCAGGATGACTGGCGGAGATGGCGACTAAATAGACTTTTAAGGTGGAGAAACTAAGACTCAAGTCCAGACGGGTCAACAAGAATCTGAAAATTACCCTCAAGTCCGTAGGGGGCGGTGGTAAACCCAACGACTCAAGGTAAGTCAGGAATTTCTTCCCCTTCATAGAAAGCACATGTAGCTGGCTTCTGACAGTTCAAAAGAACAAGGTCTATCCTGTTGTTGTTTTTTTGGTAACTTTCTACAGGGTGACCGCGATCTATGAACAGAGTAACAATCCCAATCCGAGTAACCTGCTGGAGTCAACCACGGCATAAATGCGGGTGGGTAAGCTCCATAGAGGTAACGTAGTTGGCGGTGATCCCAGGAAAGAGTAGGGGGGGGGGGCAGGAAGACTCGTGGGGATCTACTCCGAGAGCGGGAACGTCTGGGAGACAATGTAGCATCTCGTCTCCGTGAGCGGCCCCTATCAGCCCGATCATCGATATCGAAAGGTCGATCTTCGGAAAACAGATGGGGAGGATGACGTTGAGTGTTGAAGGGATCTGTTGATGCCGACCTGCATCGATGTCGGTGTGGAAGTCCAAGAGTGCCGATGACTGAGCAGAGGGAGAACGATTCGTGCCCAGGGGACGGCTGAGGATTTCCACATTCTCGATGTTGGAGAAAGGACGCATGTCCACCAGCATTTCACGGTCTAGCTGGTGTATTGGAGAGTCCATCAGCTGGATGGTCGGTATCAGTGGAGCGAGTGGAGCCTCCGATGCTGATACAGTCGTAGGAACGGGGGGCACCTTATGGGCATTACCTGGTGCAGAACTCGCGACCTTTCCAGACTTCGCCGCCTTCAGGAGCTTAGAGGAACCCTTCTTGGCTGACTTGTGATCTTTACCCGATTTTTCTTTCTTCTTTTTTATGGGAGTGGACGCTGAAGACTGTGCCGTCGGTGCCGGACGCTTCGATGTTGATTGGATGATGTCGGACGAAGACTTCGATGCTAGAGCCGTCAATGTTGATGGGCTCATTGGTACTTCTGGATCCATGACTGAAGTGAGGTTTAGCGCCGATTCTAGTAACGCTACTCGGAGACGCGCCGCTTGGTTCTTCCTAGTTTGATTGGAAAACCTGGCACAATGCCGGCAGGACTCTGGTCAGTGCGTCTCAACAAGACAAAAAATACAAAGGGTGTGGCCATCCGGCGGAGCGAGCTTACTGCCATACCCAGTACAAAGCTTGAAAAACCCCTACCTTTTCTCCATAAAATAAAACTAGATGGAGAAGAAAAAGAGGTGGCGGGGGGGGGGGGGAAGGCCAAACTGAGGTAAGACAAAACTTCCCCCTCAAACTTAAAAAATGGGGGGTTTTTTTGTTTGTTTTTTTGAAGGGAAAAACGAAGTGAAGGAAAAGGAGAAAAAACGAAGAGAAACCTGAAGAGCCGCTGAGGAAAAAGGTGTTTCCAGCCCGGCGGAAGGAAAGGAACTGACATCCCGCATGCCTGAGGTCTGGGCGTGAAAATCCGTTAAAAGAGCTTGCTACAATACCGATTGATCCAGCGCAGGTGCACTGAATCCCATGGGTGGGAAGCACAGAGACCACGCTGAAGATCATGAATTATGCTAAATTAGTTTTTTTATGAGAAATACAGAAAAACTCAAGTCTAACTTTTTTAGAGGTTTTCGGTTTATAGTGTTTTGAAATATTGTCACTTTCCCCAGTAAATTCAAACATTAACAAGCAACAGAGAGCCAGCTCTTCAACCTGCTGGCAGGGGGTGGGGAGAGAAACTCTTGAGAATTTCTCAGTAAACAAAGTGTACATTGTAGGGCTACATCCTAACGAGCAGCCTGAGAAGAACACATCACATAGTGCAGAATAAATGTTCAAGGAAGAGCACTTCCTTCTAGAGGAACAAAAGGACGGCGGAAATAAAGACTACTGTATTCTATTTGAAGGGGAAAAGCCAACATGATTTTGTTTGATTAGAGCACAGAGGACTGTCAAGAAAAATGGGGGTGGGGGGGGGATCACTGCATACCTTTGATATGTACTGGATGCTTCTGAACAAACCATAGTCTCCTTTCTTCTTCCACAGTCACACTGAAGTTCAACCTGTTTTGTTATAAAAACAGATATTAAATATTTCCCCCCCAAATGGCAGGCATCCAACCCTCCAAAACACTGGCTGACAACGCTGAAGAAGGTCTTGATTCACCAAAATGCAGTTGATTCATTTACTGTTTTTAAGGTGACAAGGAGGGGAACCACAAGACTCACAGAAGAGGGGGATTTTGTTTATACCTCCTGTCGTCCATATTTCTCCCCACACTTTTGGTTCCAATTTCTACTGTCCTGTGGTTACCAAGGCAACCTAAAAACTGCACTCAACGCAAAGTTAGAATCAGATACACGACATGAACTGAACTGGAGTTACTTCAGCATTATAGAAGCAACTCAAGTAATCTGTCAAAAGTCTCCCTGGGATGATGGAATGCACAGTGGCTCAGGGTGGGAGAGCCTCTGCTTGGCATGCAGAGGTCCCCAGTTCAACAAAGGGCCCCTCCAGCAAGAACCAGGCCAGACCTGACGTGGAAGACCTCCGCCGGAGACCCTGGAGAGGTGCTGCCAGCCTGAGTCAGCAATACGGAGTCTGATAAACCCCACATGGCCTGATACACCCATATGGCACAAAGCGGCTTCATGTCGTCAAGCTACACCCCACTGATTCTAACGAGATCAGGCTGGAGTAGGTACTTCTGAGGTCACATCTAGTGTCCTCACCTTACCTTAAAAATTATAGCGAGAATGCCTGGGGGAGAAATTATATATACACACACATATATATATGTATGTATATGTGTGTGTGTATATGTGTGTGTGTGTGTGTATATGTATACATGTATGTATGTATGTATATATATATATATATGTGTGTGTGTGTGTGTATGTATATGTATACATGTAGGTATGTATAAAGAAATCCGAAGCAGAGTTACACCTTTCCAAGCCCAATGAACTTCAATGGACTTAGAAGGATGCAATCACAGAGTCGGAAGGGACCTCCAGGGTCATGTAGTCCAAACCCCTGCACAATGCAGGAAATGCACAAATACCTCCCCCCTCACACCCCCAGTGACTGCTGTTCCATGCCAAGAAGATGACAAAAAACCTCCAGGATCTCCAGCCAAATTGGCCTGGAGAAAAATTGCTTCCTGACCCCAAAGTGACGATCAGCATTTCCCTGGGAGCGTAAGAAAGGTCACAAGAACTAAGCACTGAGGCAACCCTCCCTGCCCTCCCTCTCACGATCTGCCTAAGTTCACAGAATCAGTATTACTGTCAGATGGCCATCTAGCCTCTGTTTGAAAACCTCCAAAGGAGTAGAGCCCACCACCTCCCGAGAAAGCCTGTTCCACTGAGGAACCTCTCTAACTTTCAGGAAGTTCTTCCTAATGCTTAGCCAAAAACTCTTTTGATTTAATTTCAACCTGCTGGTTCTGGTCCGACCTTCTGGGGTAGCAGAAAACAACTCTGTACCATTCTCTATATGACAGCCCTTCAAGTACTTGAAAATTGTTATCATATCACCTCTCAGTTGTCTCCTCTCTTGGCTAAACATAGAATCATAGAATGTTACGAGTTGGAAGGGACCTTGCAGGTCATCCAGTCCAACCCCCTGCACTCTGCAGGAGCATAGCCTAAAGATAGCCCTACATACCTACAACATACCCGAAAGATGGTCGTCCAGCCTCCGCTTGAAAACGTCCAGCTAAGGAGCATCCACCACCTCCCGAGGCAGACTGTTCCCCTGCTCAACTACTCTTAGGAAGTTTCTCCTGATATTTAGCCGGTAATGACTCCCTTGTAATTTCCACCCATTAGATCTAGTCTTGCAATCCGGAGCAAGAGAGAAGAGATCTGCTCCATCTTCTACATGACAGCCCTTCAAATACTTGAAGAGTATTTCAAATACTTGAAATACTTGAAATACTTGAACATACCCAGCTCCTTCAAACTTTCCTCATAGGACTTGGTCTCCAGACCCCTCACCATCTTTGTTGACCTCCTCTGGACACGTTCCAGCTTGTCTATATCCTTCTTATATTATGGTGCCCAAAACTGAACCAGAGCAAAGCGATATCATCACTTCGCGTGATCTGGACACTATACTTCTGTTGATAAAGTCCAAAATCATATTTGACTGTTTAGCTGCCGCATCACATTGCTGACTCATGTTCAGTGTATGGTCTACTAAGACCCCTAGATCCTTTTTACACATACTACTGCCAAGACAGGTCTCCCCCCCATACTATAATTATGTATTTGATTTTTCCTGCCTAAATACAGAACTTTATATTTAGTCCAATGAAATTCATTGTATTTGTTTTAGCCCAGTTTTCAAGCCTGTCAAGATCATCCTGTATCCTGACTCTGTCTCCTACCGTTTTTGCTACCTCTCCCAATTTAATGTCATCTGCAAATGTAATAAGCATTCCCTCTATTCCTTCATCCAACTCATTGATAAAGATGTTGAACGAAACAGGTCCCGGGACAGATCCCTGAGGCACCGTCTGAGAGAATGAGGAACCATTAACAAGCACTCTTTGGGTGCAATCTGTCAGCCAGTTACAGATCCACCTAACAGTCATAGGATCCAAACCACATTTTACCAATTTATCAACAAGAATATTATGTGGAACCTTATCAAAAGCCTTACTGAAATCAAGATACAGTATTCTACAATATTCCCCTGATCCAGCAAGGTAGTAACTTTCTCGAAAAAACAGACAAGGTTAGTCTGACAGGACTTGTTCGAGAAACCCATAGTGGCTCTTAGTAATCACAGCTGTCCTTTCTAAGTGCTCAAGAACCAACTGTTTCATGATTTGTTCTAAAACTTTTCCAGGTATAGACATCAAGCTGACGGGTCGGTAGTTACCTGGATCCTCCTTTTCCCCCTTCTTAAAGATGGGGACATTTGCCCACCTCCAGTCTTCTGGCATCTCACCTGTTCTCCAAGAATTCTCAAAATAATGGACAGAGGTTCTGAAATTACATCCGCGAGTTCTTTTAGTACACTTGGATGCAGTTCATCTGGCCCCAAGGACTTTGTTTTGTTCAAAGAAACCAGGTGTTTATGTACTATGCCTATCCGAGGCTGAAACTCCCTTCCCTCCTCGTGTGTTCTGTTTTTGCCGTGTTGAGCACCGTTTCCCCCTCGCAAGAGAAGACGGAGGAAAAGTAGGAATTGAGCAGTTCTTGTTAAGACTTGCTAGGACTGCCCTGAAAGCCACAGTAATGCATGTTCAATGTGGTACTACCAACCAGTGATATCATCATAAGAACATAAGAGAAGGGAATAATTCATACAAGATCTGAGCCAACCTCCCAGTTTAAAAACAAAGGAAGTAAGATAATGAACCTTCTAGCCTCAAACAGGGCTGATACCATTGAAGAGGTGGCAAACTTCCTTTACAGAGCGTAGAGGAGGAGGAGTTATTTTTCAGCAGAAGGGGTAGTGAATTAACTGTTTTGCGTGCCTACCGCCTCTGTACCTAAGGCTGATGCTGTTGTTATGACAATAAAGGTTTGTTTGTTTGTTAACAAAGGAAGTAAACCAGTGAAGATCAAACTCTAATTTATGGAACACAAGCTTTACATAAACTTCTGGGACAAAGATTGCTTAAATTCAGCTTTTTACAGTTTGCAGGACCACAAGCAATGCAGTACCTTCATGAAAATATTAAGTATCCATCCGTATATACTGGCTTGAATAGGGTTTCAAACAAGGTTTTAGAAAGACAGTTTAGCTTTAGGTCAAAGTTTGATTCTTGCTTTGTGACAGAGAGACCTACCTTTGTACTGCAAGATGTGGTAGGACAAGGTAAAGAGGGATGGCAGGGCGACATACACGGGTGATTGCAGTGAAGCCTTGGGATTGTACACGGCTGCCTGCACTCTTCATCAATGAGGCACTCCCCCTTGTGGCAGATCCTTTTGCATTTGTGCATGCCACATTTCAACATTCGATCACAGGGAAGGCCGCAGGAGATGTCAGTGAGGTAACAAGGAATATTGTTGCGCAACTGAAACACAGGAAGACAAAATGAAACAAAGAGGTTGATACTTTCACAGAACGTGTTAACATCCATTACCAATGGGACAGTTAAAAAGCAGAGATACTGTGTCCATAGGATAAATTTCAGAAAGCCTTTTTATTGCTGTGGAGTGACTTTCTACATATACTTGCATAAAGGCAATGCTCTCTGCCAGACATCTATCAGGCAGACATCTGTGTGTGATGATGGCAGAGACACAAGAAGCCCGTCCGCAAAGCCCAGTTCCATTCTGGTTTTCAGCATTAGGTGGCTTTCAAATTCAACGCATGGTAGAAACAAAACAACAACAACCAACTGTTATTGACAACAGTGTATTTTCACGTGACCTGCAGGCATGTGGGTCAATACAAAGATATGGTTAGCCAGATTTCTAAGGAATACCCTTGTGTCAGACCCTGGTCCAGTTACACTCAATAACTCTTGCTTTGGCAGTGATAAGTTTATCAGAGCATATGCAAGATCCAAAAGTCACCATGTTAGAACTGAAGTCTTTTGGCAGGTACAACCATATTATAGAAAGTCGCATCCAACCCCCAAGCATGCGTCACGTCCACACTTTGCCTAACTGCCATGCCAGCCAGGGGAGACATATGTCCTGGTAATCTAGAGTCTGAGATGGTACCAGAATGTGCTCAAGGTCACTTCTCCTGGGAACACAGACAGAGGAGGAGAAGGGCAGGTCTGGCAGAAAGCTACATCTTCTAAAAGCAAAGGTCTCACTCATTCCCACAGACATTCACCCCCACCCTCGCCCTCCCCCCAACCATTATGGCAACCGAAGCAAGCAGAGCAGAGCAAAGGTTTTTTAAAAATTATTTATAATTTTTATTTAAAAATTTAATAACGTTCCAAGGTAAGTATCATAGATGTCTCCAGATGTAATATAGAACTAAGTTAGAAAAAACATTAATCCTTAACTATGTCCAGGCTGAAGATGCCAAAGAACTATAAAACATCTCTTATGGCAACAATAGTATACTAAATACACCAATATAAGAGAGCTGGGGTCAAAAAAGGCATGGAAAACAAGACAGAAGAAGCCAGCACAAGACACTGAGCCACCCTTCCAAGGAAGTGAACACAACAGTGGGGGCTACAGAGACACCCCCTGCAATGAGGTCTAGGGCTGTCAGCTAGCAGGAGGGGTGGCAGTTGCGTTTCTAGCCTAATGCACATCTACGTCCCGTGACCACAAACAACGGCACATCGTGCTCTTCCCATGCTTTACGAGGACCCTGAATGTGGAACAACCATCAGAGATACCGCTTGGTTCTCATCCCAGCAGGAGGACTACCTGTCATCTCACCCTTAGAAGAGGTCTTTTCCGGCAGTGCGTCTGCAGGGGCTACTGCCAGGAAAGCTAAGGCAGAGATGCAGGACAAAAGATTCCACAGCAATTCCTGGATAAGCAAGGGAGCACTCTTTTCAAAACAAGGGCACTCTGCACATGTTCAGAGCAAGTTGTTCTTAAATCTTTTCAGAAAATGATTTTCTATCCTCATTGGAAAGGAACTCTGAACACAGAGCAAGTCACCCAGACCTGAGTACCAGGAGCTGGCAATGCCTAAAAAAGGCCTCAGGAGTTCCTCCCACCAAGTCCATTGAATGGGCTGCAAGGAAAGACGGGCCTCACTATTCTGCCCTTAAACTCTGTAAAGTTTCTAGACGTGACTGGAATTCTACCTCAGATTCTTTACGGCTCTAATCATAGAAGTATAGAGTCGGAAGGGACCTCCAGGGTCATCTAGTCCAACCCCCTGCACAACGCAGGAAATTCACAAACACCTCCCCCCCCCCCACATCCCCGGTGACCCCTGTTTCATACCCAGAAGATGACAAAAAACCCTCCAGGATTTTATTAAATCTCTCCTGAGTGGCGAGAGGCATGGTTTCTAAAAATCAAATTATAACCCCCCCAAATGGATAGACCTTGCCTGAATCCAAAATTTCTCCCAAGAGAAATACACCCCCAGAGTGCTGAAAAGCTGAGAGTGACCCAACATGTATTTCCTGCAAACGCCTCCAAAGAGGAATGATAGGCAAGGATATAATTTTGCCTACTAAAGGAGGACACTTTCTTATCGCTCCTCAACAGACTCTTCGCCACTCATCTGTAACTGTAGCTTCTAGACATAGCTTGCATGACCCCAAATTCAAGGTTGGACTAGGTCTACAAACGACTGCAGTGTCATACACGAACCAAGCAGGAAACAACACGTTTATGGACCACTAAAGCAATCTGGAATGTCTTCTTCCCCTTTGCCTCTGGAAGTGTCTGTTTCTGAACAAGCAGCAAGCCTTGGGTCAGTCACAAGCTCTGGCACAGCTGTCCTTGAAAAAGAGCAGTTTGTGTCAGAGTTCTCTCAGCCCCACCCACCTCCCAGGGTGTCTGTTGTGGGGAGGGGAAGGGAAAGGAGTTTGTAAGCCGCTCTGAGACTCCAAGTGAAGGGCGGGGTATAAATCCAATCTCCTCCTCCTCCTCCTTTCAACTTACAGTGAATCACTTAATTTCATTGCAACTTGGCTCATCTGTCCCAACACAATAACAGTTTTGTGAAGCAGCTTCAAAAGTTCTGAGACAGATGTTGATCCAAATAAAAGACATTGCTAGACTACTTTCTTGTAAAGAAAACAGCTGCATTTTGCCTCTAGATCTTTTTTAGGAAAGCATTATCCACATACATATATGTTAGCCTGGGGGTTTGGGCTGGGCTGTCATCAGTACGCAGATGACACCCAGCTCTATCTGTTGATGGCTGGCCGGCCGGACTCTGCCCCAGACATTCTGGACAGGGCATCATGGGGTGGCGGCTGGATGGTTGCCTCAGAGCTGGCTGAGTCTGCTTCCAAAGAAGACGGCGGCCCTGTGCCTGAGTCATGAGGGTCTGGGGTCAGGAATCAGGCTCCCGGTCCTTGTTGGGGCACCACTGGTGCCAGCGCTGAGGGCAGGGAGTCTTGGGGGGATGCTGGATTCCTCGCTCTCTATGGAGGCCCAGGTCACTTTGGTTGCCAGATTGGCCTTTTATCAATCTTCAGCTGATCAGGCCCCCCCCAGGACTTACGTACAGTGATCCACACAATGGTCACTTCCAGGTTGGATGACCGTAACTCGTTCTACATGGGGCTAACCTTGAACCTGATCAGGAAATTGCAGCTCGTGCAGAGTGTGGCAGCACGCCTGCTGGAGGTGTGTGAGGCCTCTGTGGGCGTGGATTCAGCCGCTGTTGCACCAACGGCACCGGCTGCGGATTGAATACTGGGTCCAGTTCTAGGTTATGGTCTTGACCTTTAAAGCCCTACACGGCCTGGGACCATCCTGCTTGTGGGACCACCTCTCCCCATATGAGCCCCGGAGAGAGCTTTAGATTCTTCTGGTTAGCACCCCCTGGTGATCCCCGGCCCGAGGAATGTCCGCTTAGATAGAACCAGGGCAAGGGCCTTTTTGCTCCATGCCCCAGCCTGGTAGGACATGTGCTCCCACTCGAGATCAGGGCCCTGCAGGGCTTGCTAAAACAGTCCCAAGGGGCCTACGAAACAGAGCTGTTCCGCCAGGCTTCCAGCTGAGGAGGCAGACACCCAACCCTTCTGGCCTCCCGCTGATCATGGCCCCTTTCCTAGCGCCCTGCTGCTCTGGATACTCTCTCTGGGCACTGTGGAGTTTCCCGGGGTACCTATTTCTGCCCGCCGTGAGGCCAGGGATTTTTGTACTGTCTATTGTGCCATCTATGCTTTTATGGTTTTATTGTTTTTATTGCTATGGGTTTTATATTGTGAGCCACCCTGAGCCCACTTGTGGGATAGGGCAGGGAATACGTCAAGCAATTAATTGAATAAATAAATAAACGTGTGCAAGAATCTGCAGCAGAAACATCTTACATTTATAAAGTAATGCATGCATTATGAAATGCAGCACCACACAAAAAGCAAACACATAGACTTACTTCATGCCTTCCCATACACCATTTCTGAACAAGGTATGTACATGGTGGACACTTCTCTTCCGTGTGACAGGAATGATATACTGAAGAAAACGGAACAGAACAAAACAGGTTTTAAATAACTATGTAAGGCAACTTAATTCACTTCAATGAAACACAATCTTTCACGTTTTTCTGGCTGTTCTAGTAAGAGCACACTATACATACCTGGGGTATTATGGACTAGGTTTTTTTAAAAACAAAACCCTCACTTCAACAAGTATCCTAAAAGAGTACAAGTTACGAATTCTTGCATTATAGCTTCCTTTAACCAAAAACAGGCTGCTTACCTGTAACTGATGAACTGAGCGATCATCTGCGCAATCACACACTTGGGTTTGGTGCCTACTCTTGAACCCGACCTCGGAAGATTTCAGAGCTAGCCTCTTAACGTCTTGAACCCGACCTCGGAAGATTTCAGAGCTAGCCTCTTAACGTTTTGGCGCATTTTTCTCCCACATTCTAGGGAGCAGGCATTGACTGTGCATGCTTGTTGCTGAGGAGAAAGTGCCCTCCCACTCAGTTCCTTTGGACCGCCGCCAATAAGTCCCATCAATTTAAATGTAAGTGATCGAGAGATGCCAGCCGTGGAGAAGGCTGGGTGTGTGGGTGTGACTGCACAGACGACCACGTGAAGAGCATAAGTTGCAGGCAAGCAACCTGTCTATCTTCTTCATGGTCTCTGTGCAGTCCCACATTTGGGTGATAACTGAGCTGAAGGGGAACAGGATGGAGGGTGGCTGGCAGCCAGATCAAAGGCGTAACCTCCCGGCTGTCACAGGCCTATCTGAAGACCACGGCAAGATGGAGGTCAGTGGAAGATGGACTTCAGCACAGACTGGCTATCCCCCCCCCCTTCTTACTAAAACCAAATTTTAAGAGATTATAAACTGTCCTGTTGCTGACAAAACTATGATTGTGAAATGATGGTTAGGAAATAAGCTACATTTCTCATTCCATTCACTCTTATTTAGAATGTTCATTATTTAGTATGAATAATTTTTATACAAGGGATTAACATAACATCTCTCCCTACTATAACAGATATATAGTTTAATTATTTTAGCAATACAAAATGTGATAGTTGTACATTTCTATATTTGCATTTTAAAAGTATATGGAGGTTTGTATAATATTTTTAGTAAAACAAGAGTGAAAAGAATGGCAACTGGAACATGTCAAAAAGACAAAAGGAAAGTAGACCAAAAAAAAGATGAAGATCGAAGAACTGGTGGAAAAACTATCACAAACATTGATGCATCAAATGCAACATTTGAAGAAAGAACTCAGAAGAACATTCAAAGTATCCAGAGAAACTTTCAAGAATCTAAGCCTTCTAAAGAAAGAACATCCAAGAAACATACCAAGAATTCTTGGCTGGACTGTCAGAAAGTAATGCAGAACTACAAGAACAAACACAAGAAATTGTAAGAATTAAAGAGAAGCAAAAAGATAATGATATATATTTGAAAAGACAAAATTGCCGGATTGAGAAAGAACAACGAATTGAAATTTTGGGAATCCACTGCAGATCTAATAACGAAGTCTTGGCAAGTTATTAAAGAAGACTTTGGGAGGCCAAATTTGGAAGAGAGCTTTCATGAGCTGCTTCAAGACTATTTGAAGACACAACGAGGTTTTCCCAATATTGACCAGATATTTAGAGTGAATTCAAGATTTGTATTCAAAAACAAGCTGCCCTGAGATACATTGGTCCTTTTAACTCATAAGAAAACACAAGATGGAATACTAAAGAAAGCCAAGAGAACCTCCACATAAAGTAGCAGAAAAAGAAGAGCAGATCTTTCAGGATTTACCAAAACAAGGGTATTAAGGGAAAACATTTTTTTTTTTTACTTTTTGAGACAGATTTTACAAGAGAAATAAATAAAATACCACTGGAAAATACCATTTGCGATAGAGGTATACTTGCCAAAAGGAAAGTTATTGAAACAGAAGAACATACTTTTCTGACAGACATCAAACATACCCAAGAATAGATATGTGCTGGATAGCAAAAAGTCTAACAATAAATCTAGACAAAGCAGAGATTCAATCAAAGGTATTTGTGGACTATAATCTCATAGACGTTGTTTGGCAATGGAACAAGAAACTAAGAGGAAGATGCAGATTAAATAATGCTCTTTTACCACAAAATGATGTAGTAAGCAAGTCTAAAAAAGGTCTGGAATAATTTTTTTAAAATAAATAATACAGAAAGAATGTTCTCAGCTACAATTTGGGAAGCAAGCTAAGCTTTCATAGAGGAATCTTATTAGCAGCTGCTGCAAAAAAGAAACAAGAAAAATCAGAACAAACCAAGAGATTTCAGTAAAGCTTTTGACAGGGTTCCCCATGATGTTCTGATGGGTAAACTAGAGGACTGTGGACTGGACTGTAGGACAGTTAGGTGGACAGGGAACTGGTTGGAGAACCCCACTCAGAGAGTCGTCAGTGGCATTTCATCTGAATGGAGGGAGGTGTCCAGTGGGGTGCCACAGGGCTCGGTTCTGGGCCCGGTACTTTTCAGTATGTGTATAAATGGTCTGGATGAGGGTGTGGAGGGGCTACTCATTAAATTTGCAGATGACACCAAATTGGGAGGGGCAGCAAACACACCAGCAGAGAGAGATCTGAACACACTGAAAAAGTGGGTGGATGTGAACAAGATACAATTTAACACGGGGAAGTGCTACGTTTTACACCTGGGTAACAAAAAACAAAACAAAACACACGCAGACTGGATGGAGGAGGAGGAGGAGGAGGAGATGAGGATGACTGGGGGCCTGGAGACCAAGAAACCCTACGAGGAAAAGCTGAGGGACTTCTTGGGAATGTTTAGTCTGGAGAAGAGGCCGTTGAGGGGGGACATTGCTTTCTTTAAGTCTTTGAAGGGCTGTCACTGAGAGGAGGGTGGGGAGCTGTTCCTGTTGGCAGCAGATGATAGAACTTGCAGGAATGGGTTTAAATTAAGGGCGGAAAGGTAGCAGCTGGATCTTAGGAAAAACTGTTTTACAGTAAGAGTTGTGCAACAGTGGAACCAGCTGCCTCGGGAGGTGGTGAACTTCCCCTCACTGGCAGTCTTTAAGCAGCGGCTGGACAAACACTTGCCAGGGATGCTCCAGGCTGATCCTGCATTCAGGAGCGGGCTAGACTAGATGGCCACTATGGACCCTTCCAACTCTGTGATTCTAGAATTCTAAGCAGGCCACACGCTGGATTTGATTTCTCGGATGGGAACAAATTGTTGATCTGATGACTGTGGAGGCAACCCCATGGTCAGATCACTCCGTCCTGAAGGTCCAGCTGAGCATACCAAACCCTCCCTGTTTAGGCGGCGACGATACCTTTGCTCGCCTGCGGAGCCAAATGGCCCCTGAGCGACCTCAGGATGTTCTGGGGGATCCGATGCCCCCTGGTGGTTCGTTAGATGAGCTGGTGGAGGACTGGAATTCCCTGTTCTCCAGAGGCATTGACGATATTGCCGCCCCCCCGCCCCCCGGCGCCCTCTCCACCCTTGGGCCAAAGTGGCCCCATAGTATACCCTGGAGCTACAGAGGATGAAATGAGAGCTGAGATGGTGAGAGCGAGTGTGGTGGGGTACTCGTGAAGAAGTTACAAGAACATCTTATAGAACGTTGATGAAGGTCCATGAGATAGCAGCGAAGACCGCTAAGAGAGAATTCTATGTGACCTCCACTGCATTGCCCCGTCTCAAATGTTTAGAACTATTCAATCATTACCTTTATTGCTGCAGGGCAAACAAAATGGTAGTGAATTGGGTACTGGCTGTGAGACATTTGTGACCTATTTCACGGATAAAGTCCTATTACTCTGCCAGGACCTCCCGGCCACAGTTGTTACCGTAAGGCCACTGGAAGCCCCTTGTCCGTCTTCAGGTCCAGCGCTGGACCACTTCAGCCAACTCTCTCAGGAGGATGTTGACAGGGTCCTGGCAGCTGTGAAGCCAACCACTTGCCTCCTTGACCTGTGCCCTTCCTGGCAGGTTAAAGCCTGCGGGGAGGGCACCCGGATTTATCTAAAGTTAAATCCAGCAAAGGGGGACTGCGGGGGCCTGGGAATCAGGCTCCCAGCCTTCAACGGGGCTCCACGGGTGCCAGCGTCGAGGGTGAAGAGTCTGGGGGGGCTCCTGGATGCCTCCCTCTCCATGGAGGCTCAGGACACCGCCACTGCCAGGCCTGCCTTATTTCATCTGAGGCAGGTCAGGCAGGTGGCCTCATCTCTCACCCCCTGAGACGTGGCTACAGTGACCATTGGTCACATCCAGGCTGGATTATTGCAACTCCTTCTACGTGGGGCTGCCCTTGACTCTGCTCTGGAAGTTGCAGCTAGTGCAGAACGCAGCTGGGCGGGTGTTGACGGCTGTCACAGGCTGGGCTGAGCCAGGAGTCAGGTCCCGTCCAGGGGTCATAGCCAGAAGAGACCAAACAGGAGCCAAGTCAAGAGACCAAAAGAACAGTCGTCCAAAGTGGGAGGTCAGGAAGCCAGGAAGCCAAGCAGCAGCGAGGTCGGGAGACTGGAACCGGAGGTGGGCGCAAGGTCGGCACAGATGCGACTTGTTGCTTCCATGGAAAGCCCAACCCCGAGCGGGAGCTATACAGGCCTCCAGCAGTGCCTCCCTTAGCTGAGGCACGGTATTGTATTATTGTCTGATTATTGCATTGTTTTAATTTTGTTTTAAATTGGTTTTAATTGTTATTGTATATTGTTTAGACATTGATGGAACCTGCCCTGAGCCTGCTTGTGGGGAAGGCAGGATACAAGTTTAATAAAATAAATAAAATAATTTTAAAAAATACAGTGTATACAGCCCTGACATGGATAATAGCCCAGGCAAACCCAATCTTGTTTTTTAATCTTGCCTGACAGTAAGATCTTTAACTCCATTTAAGTGTCAATGACTGATTTTTTTAAAAAATAAAATGGTTAGAACCACCCTCATACTAGAACTAGAAGTACCCGAGTTCAGAACTCAGCGGGCCGCTTTCCCAAGAACCAATTTCAAAGCAATACATATGTATTCCATGTCTGCTTACAATGAACAACATTACACTTTAAATGTAGATTTTACCTGGATGATCACATTCATGAGGTCTGGTACATGAACTTTTACATTCAGGTGGTCGAGTACCGCAAGGTATTGGAGGGTAAATCACAGATTCACCACAATAACAAGTTAATTCCTCAAAACCTGAAAGAACAAAACCAAAAGAAATTAAGCTGCTCTTTAATACAATATAAGGATAAATAGTTTTCTAAGACAAAAAGGTTAAAATAAAATCTCAGTTATGAAAACGGGCAAAGCATAATAATAAACAATTCCAGACCATGTTAAGAAGCTGGAATAAATAACATAAAGAAAAGGGATAAGAGCAGAAGGGAAAAAGAGGAAGATCTCATGTGTATACAGAAGTAAAATAATTGCTGTAAAAAAGAAGCTGACTATGAAATAATTTTCACACTATAACATTGCTCCAGCTGGGTATCTTCCTGAATTGCAGTAAGACGACACACCACAATCTTATCTTGATTTCAGTAAGGCTTTTGATAAGGTTCCACATAATATTCTTGCTGACAAATCGGTAAAATGTGGTTTGGATCGTATGACTGATAGGTGGATCTGTAACTGGTTGACAGATTGCACCCAAAGAGTGCTTGTGAATGGTTCCTCATCCTCTTGGAGAGGAGTGACAAGTGGAGTGCCTCAAGGATTTGGATGGAGGAATAGAGGGAATGCTTATTAAATTTGCAGATGATACTAAATTGGGAAGGGTAGCAAATACGGTACTAGACAGAGTCAGGATACAGGATGATCTTGACAGGCTAGAAAAGGGGGCTAAAACAGATAACATGAATTTCAATGGGGATAATTGTAAAGTTCTGCATTTAGGTAGGAAAATTTAAATGCATAATTATAGGATGGGGGGGGGACTTGTCTCGGCAGCAGTATGTGTGAAAAGGAGCTAGGTGTCTTAGTAGACCATATACTGAACATGAGTGAGCAGTGTGATGCAGTAGCTAAAAAGGCAAATACGATTTTGGACTGTGTCAAACAGAAGTATAGTGTCCAGATCACATGAAGTGATGGTATTGCTTTACTCTGCTCTGGTTAGACCTCACCTAGAGTATTGTGTTCAGTTTTGGGCACCACAATTTAAGAAGGATATAGACAAGCTGGAACGTGTCCAGAGGAGGACAACAAAGATGGTGAGGGGTCTGGAGACCAAGTCCTATGAGGAAAGGTTGAAGGAGCTGGGTATGTTTAGCCTGGAGAGGAGTCAACTGAGAGGTAATATGATAACCATCTTCAAGTACTTGAAGGACTGTCATATAGAGGATGGTGTGGAGTTGTTTTCTGTTGCCCCAGAAGGTTGGACCAGAACCAATGGGCTGAAATTAATTCAAAAGAGTTTTTGCCTAAACATTAGGAAGAACTTCCTGACAGTTAGAGCAGTTCCTCAGTGGAACAGGCTTCCTGGGGAGGTGGTGGGCTCTCCTTCTTTGGAGGTTTTCGAGCAGAGGCTAGACGGCCATCTGTCAGCAATGCGGATTCTGTGAACTTAGGCAGATCATGAGAGGGAGGGCTGGAAGGGTTGCCTCACTGCTTAGGTGGATTTCCTGCATTGCACAGTGGGTTGGACTAGATGACCCTGGAGGTCCCTTCCAACTCTATGAGTCTATGATTCTATGATTTTTTTAAAGAGTAAAAAAAGACATATCATGATTTTTTAAAAAGTATTTCCAAGTATTACTAACAGTACAAGTGGGGACCTGCAACAAAATTTTGTGTAATGTGTTGTAGTTTGTTTTAAGCTGTAACTGTAGTTTTTTGAAACTGCAGTGCAGGATTTGTAGTTACGACATGTCTATGCTCCTCTTCGTGAGACCCAGTGGGGACCAAGGTGGGGCACAAATACAGTAAATAAACAATAATGAGCCAGAGAACAGAAGCTCTTACCCTGGACAGAAAGAGGGGCATGGGAGGGATCCTAACCCTGTTGGCTTCGTGTACTAAGAGCACCCCCTCCCCCCCCCGAAACAGAAGGCGCCAGTCAGTGGCCTGGGTGGCCAGGCTGTGGGGGTCAGCATTCTGTCTCTCGGACCAGCCAAGGAGGGCAAACATGCGGACCAAAGAGGCTCCAGCCTCATGGAGAATCATCTCCAAGCCCTTGTGGAGAACGACGAGGCTATGAGATCCCGCCCCCCCTGCCCCCGGTATCTTCTTGTCTACATCCTTGTTTCCCGGATAAGGAAAAACAACACAAAGGTCAGTGTTGCTGTCTACCAAGTGGCTGCCGGGCCAGCAGAAGAAATCAGAGGAAGGTATTCCCATCGGTTATTTCATTAGCTACAGTTTTTATCCAGCTTCTTCTAACATGTAAATCCAAGACAGGCTACAGAGTAAGAAACAGTAGAGATATCATGACAGAAATCCTCCACGCAGCTCCTACCCAGAAGTGGAGTGCATGAAGTTTTGCATACTAAAGAGCCGAAAAACGTGAGCACTGCAGAGGAAGAGGAAAGATGGACTCCCCCCCCCCGCCCCCGGTTCTTTGGCTGAGAGAGCTCTCGGAGAAGGGACAGCCCCCCTCCCCTGAGTCTCCGCTGCCCACCTGCCGGGTGAGTCGGCCCTTCTCCCTCCTGTTTCCATGCAACGACCTCCTCCTCCAGTCCTCAAAGGCTGGCTGAGGTCTCTTTTTGCAAAACCCTCCATGAAGCAGGTTCCTCTCGCGGGGGGCTGCAGTGGCGGCGGGTCAGGTGGCTTTTTCCTGGCGCCTGAAAGGGAAAGAAGGAAGGCCAGCCTCCTCCTCCGAGTGAACTGCCTGCCTTGCCTGGGGGCGGGTCTCTCTCTGTGAGGACACCATGAGAGATAGGGAGGGGGAGAGAAGGCTCCTTGTCCTCTGCCTCGCTCAATGGTGAGTTCTGCACAGACAACACTTTTTATTTCAGGGGGGGATTTAACACCCCCGTATACTTATTTAAAGATGTCAGATATTTCTGCACACCTGGGGAGTGCCCAAGTGTGCAGAAAAATCTCTTTAACCTCCATGTGGCCCCTATCTGCGGAAATAAGTATCCACACATAGGGGACATGTTGGGAATTAAGATATATAGCTTACTTAGTAATGCTAGAAAAATGAAGACTATACATAATGGGAGGACAGAGTGCTCTTTGGCAGCAAGAGGAAAATTAACATACTTCAAAAGAAATTCAAAAACAAATGTGGCTGGTAGCCTCTAATTACAAAAACAAAATAAGCATAGAGATTTTTGCAATGCAATGAGAACAATTTTCAAAATCAGTGCTGGAACAGATGAGTTGAAATCTCCCTGTTGTTGCTGAGCAGGCAAGCCTGGAACTGGGAAAGCCACCTCCCCCGCCCCCCTGCCCCAAAAACCCCCCCAGGGAGGACAGACTGGTTTAACAGTGTCATGCGAAGGAGAGTTACGCCCTTCTAATTTCACTCAAGTCAATGGACTTAGAACAGTGTGACTCTGTTTCAGATGACAATATAACATGCACAGAGGATCAAGGATAACCCTTCACCAGGATAATCCCACAAAAATATTAGAGGTTGATCCAGGCCCCTGCAGCGTCCTTCCTACTCCTTCACCTGCACACTGAAGTACCCTCGTTTATCAACTGTGTCTCCATATTGGCACCCCTTTGCGAGTAGAAAAGCTGTGATCATGGCTGGGGGGGGGCGCATATAATGACCAGACTGACCTCTTAAAGCACAGTCTAAGCATAACACGGAGACAATACTACTTAAAGAATTCTGAGTGTTATACTATCTAGATAAAAATAGATGTTTCCTGAACAGACCCTGTTCAGAACACATCACAGGGACTGGGCATTACCCACTAAAAACGGGATCCAGTCACAACTAACTTTCAGTGACTTGCACCCAATCATAAAAACTGTGAATTGTTAATTTTTTAAATCACTTTGACAACAAAAAACCCCAAAGAATCCTGATGCACACTCACTCGTCTGCCAGCATTTCTGACAATTTCCGCGGTGGCACGGTTCTTCACATCTATGAATGCCACAGTTGAGCTTGCGTCCACATAGTAAAGAACATTTGTGCTCCTTATCCTGGAACAACAACAACAAGAAGAACAATAATAATCGCAAACCACAATGTCTGCTGTGGAGAAATGAATTTCTCCACATCTGCTAAAAAAGAAGAAGAATGTTGATAGCCATGCTAAACCACTCCTTGACCAGAAGTGCCCGGGTTCCCCCAGCTCTTATGAATGGAAGTGAAAGGTAATGTTCCATTATTTTAGTGGGGTAGGTGGGGCTGAGAGAGCTCTGAGAGAACTGTGACTGACCCAAGGTCACCCAGCTGGTTTCATGTGGAGGAACCAAATCTGGTTCTCCAGATTAGAGTTTGCCACTCTTAACCACTACACCAAATTGGCAAGTACCAGTCAGTGACTGACCAGATTAATTGACCATAAGGAATGACACAAAATAAACCTAAATTCGTGTTTTCTCAACTACTACTACTACTACTACTACTACTACTACAGTTGCAGAACCTTGTCAATAAAGAATTGTAACATTATAACAGATATACTAGACTAATGCACTAGGAGTTCATGCATTCCAGGCTTCTGTGGACATAATGGAACCATCTGGTTGGTTGGAGCCAAAGAACTACAAGCAGACCTCAACAGGCGGATGGGTGGAGCAGATCTTCTCCACCTTCCTGTGCTCTTCACAAAACCATCTCTGACAATGGGGGGAGCTTCAGGAATGGTATGAATTTGGAGGAAGGGGGGTCTGCAGTGCTTATCGGCCACTCTTCAATATGCTAATAAGGAATAAAAATTTTAAAGGAATGAGATTAGCTCCTTTTATAATGATATATATGAACTTACCACACAGCACATTTCACTACATTTATGTCGTCCACATGACAGTTTCTTGTTGCATCGCCTGTCACACAAAAACGTATCTTCAGCTGCAAGGCAGAAACCACATTTTAAATCACTGTATCTTGAACTGAAAATGAATATCCCTAACATACATGAAATATTATTTCAAAAATTCTAGTGTTATCATTTAATGTAAGAAAAGCAATAAAATAGGCAGAAGGCAAAATGCATTCTTATATTGACACCATAACTCAGTATCTGTAAAATTGAAGATTTGTCTCCACTTACCGTGAAGCTTCCTCCTCGGTGGCCCAGAGGGGGGCAGTCCTGGACTCCTTACTCCTGGGAACCAGCTCCTCCCCCTTCCGTAGGCAGGGCCGGCCAAACTTGATCCCAGGGAGGAGGGGCTTATCCTCTGATCCCCAGTCATACTGAAAGCCAGCCTCCTTCGAACACCTGTTAATATAAGCTTAACAAACATTCCCGTCATCCCCCCCACAAAAGCTACCAGCATCCAGAAGTTCCAACAACAACAAAACCTTTATTCAAACTTCAACCAGAACAACTAACAGTAATGCCTTGTACAGTCTGGCCCTCACACCTTCACTTCACACAGTCAACATAAGTTTTCTCAGCTCTCCCGCAGGGTCCTTGAAAGCCCCGAGAATCGCCGCCTCAAACAAGGGTGGGTAGGACTGCCCCACTCTGGACCACCGAGAAGGAAGCGTCACGGTAAGTGAATACAAATCTTCCATTCTCCGGTGGTCCAGGAGTGGGGCAGCCCTTCAGACTCCTTACTCCTGGGACGTAGAAAAGCAGTACATCCCCGGGTGGGGGTCAGGCGACTCTCGGACTCACAAGGCCTGCTGAAGGACTCTCCTGCCAAACGCCGCCTCTGCCGAGGCTAGTTTGTCAACTCGGTAGTGTCTTGTAAACGAACGTACAGACCTCCAGGTAGCAGCTTTGCAAATGACTTCCAGAGAAGGGAAAGCTCCGTACGCCACCCAAGTGGCTGCCCCTCTCAAAGAGTGAGCCGTGACTCCCTGAGGGGGCACCAACCCCTGAACCTTATAGGCCTGAACTAGACACTCCCTCATCCACCTGCTTAAGGTGGAATTGGACACTCCCTTCCCCAGCGAAGCTTGTCTAAAGGAGACAAACAAGGATTCCGTCTTCCCCCAACCCTTAGTCCTGTCTAAGTGAAAACTCAACGCCCTACGCACGTCCAGACAGTGCCACAGCTTCTCCTCCTCATGCTTAGGGTCAGGGCAGAAGGAAGGCAGGACGATATCCTCAGATCTATGGAAACTGGAACTGACTTTGGGGATGAATGCGGGGTCTAGACGAAGCACCACCCTGTCACTGTGAAAAACACGTAGGTCCTTATGGATAGGCAGGGCCCCCAACTCTGATACCCTCCGAGCAGAGGTGATCCCCACAAGGAAGATCCGTCTTCAGTGTCAATTCCTTCACGGGACAGGAAGACATGGGTTCAAATGGTGCCTTACATAAGGCTTGTAGCATCATGTTCAGCTTCCAGGTGGGAAATCTATGAGCCATTGGAGGATTTATAAGGATGCCCCCCTCAAGAAACATTTAATGTGTGGATGGCTGGAAAAGGATTTTCCGTTTTGCGCACCATTAACAGCACGTAGAGCCGCCACTTGGCACTTTGGGTTGCTAGTACTCAGACCCATATCCAGGCCCTTTTGGAGAAAGGCCAACACCTCCCCCACTTTAGCCTGCAGTGGGATCAGCCCCCTCTCTGAACACCATTCCTGAAAGGTCTGCCATGTCCTATTATACATTTCATTAGTAGACACTTTCCTAGAAGAAAGCAGGGTACCAACCACCCCTGTTGCATAACCCAAAGTCACTAGTTGTCTCCTCTCAACCTCCAAGCTGTCAACTGTAACATCTCTGGTCGCGGATGAATCATCGACCCGAGATAACAGGTCCTGTCTGAGAGGAAGACACCAAGGATCTCTGACAGACACTCACCAAGTCCTGGAACCACGCTCTCCTTGGCCAGAAGGGCACTATCAGAATCAAGTCCGCCCTCTGGTCTATCAGACACTGCAGTACCCTGGGAATGAGCGACAGAGGAGGGAAAGTGTTCAGCTGACCTTTCGGCCATATCAAGTTCAACACATCCATGCCTAGGGTTCCTTCCTGCTGCGTCTTTGAGATGAATTGAGTTACCTGAGTGTTCATGCTTGATGCGAAGAGATCCACCTTCACTCTTCCGAACCTGTCTGTGACCTGCTGAAACACTTCCCTGTGAAGCATCCATTCTCCTTGATCTACCGTGTGTCTGCTTAGCCAATCTGCTATCACATTTTCTTTCCCTGCAACGTGTACGGCTTTTATGGACTGCACGTGTTCCTCCGCCCATTGCATCACCTGCAATGCTTCCAAATGTAGTCTCCGGAATCTCGTGCCTCCCTGCCTGTTGATATAGTCTTTGGCCATCATATTGTCTGTTCTGATCAGAACATGTTGTCCTGTCAAATGTGGCTGAAGATGTGCCAGAGCTAGTTTTATCGCCCTGAGTTCTAGGAAACTGATGCTCTTGAGCGTCTTTGTTTCCGACCAGGTACCTTGTATCATCAGCCCCTGAGAATGTGCTCCCCATCTGAAAAGACTCACCTCTGTCGTCAGTAATGTTCTGTGAGGTTCCCGGAGTGACATTCCTTCGGAAAACCTGGTTGGCGTGAGCCACCACTGTAGCTCGTTTTTTACTGTCTGTGGTAACGACACGACATGGACCGCCTTGTGAGCTATGACCCCCTGATAATGCAGTAGAAAACGTTGCAAGGGTCTTGCGTGCACTCTTGCCCAAGAGAGGAGGTCTTGACATGACACCATCATGCCCTGGAGACATCCAAGAGTCATCACCTCCACTGTTTGAGTTTCCAACACCCGAGGCAGAAGTGTTAAGAATTTTGTCAGTCTCTCTTGAGAAATTAACACTTTGTCCTTCCTTGTATCTATCTGACCGCCCAGGTGAGTCGGTAAAAGAGTACTCTTTTCCCTATTTATTACAAATCCGTGCTCCTGTAACACCTGGATTGCCATTTCCAAATGTTGGCTAGTTTGTTAACTGGTACTCGCTTTTATCAGGACATCATCCTGTTATGGAAATAGCGCCACCCCTCGCATCCTCAGGACCGCCACTAACGTCACCAGCACCTTGGTAAAAACTCTTGGTGATGATCTGAGTCCAAAGGGCAGCACCCGATATTGGAAGTGTTTGCCTTGCTACGCAAACCCCAGGAATTGTCTGTGACTGATTCTGATTGGGATGTGCAGATACGCTTCTGCTAAGTCTATGGATCCCATGAAATCCCCTGCTTGTAGTCAGAATTGTTTTCAACATTTCCATCTTGAATTTTCTCGGTTGTATGTGTTTGTTGAGCCATTTTAAATCCAAAGTAGCTCTGGTGTCCCCATTCTTTTTCTGTACTGTAAAGAAGATAAGAGTAGACACCTTGCCGCTTCTCCTTCTCTGGTACCATCTCTATGGCTCCTATATGCAGAAGATGTTGTATGGCCTGTATCATTGACTTGTGTTTTTTCTGGTAAGCATTTCTTTGGAATCTCCAGGAAACAGTGTCTCGGAAGTCTTCAGAATTCCAAGGCATATCCCAGAGTCACAGTGTCTAGAACCCATTTGTCAGAGACTGTCTGGTGCCACTGATTGGAGAACCTCTGTAGTCTGGCACCTATACCCATCACTGGGCATAGTCATGCTGATGTAGATTTCTTGGGACCCTTTGCCGCTTGTCCGGGCTTCCCAGTGAATGAATGAGGCCCCACATCTCTGTGTTTCTGTTGCCATCTTCCTTTGAAGCCTCTGGTAGACTGCGTTCTGTCATCCCGTTGGAAGTCTCAAAAGGACTTTATACTTTATGGTTTTCTTCTTTGATGGCAGCACCCACTTTTTGTCCTTGTCCTCGACTAGTGTTCCAGGCCTGCCCCAAAGAGATTAATGCCTTTAATAAATAAATAAATGGAACTGCTGCCATCTTGGACCTCGCAGCTGGATCAGCATCCCAGTGTCATAGCCAGGTGTTTCTCCTAGCCGTCAAACTACAGGCCATGGCCCGTGCTGATAGTTGCATCGCATCCAAGGACGCATCTGCTGTGAATGCTGTGGCCAGCGCAATCTTTCAGGCTCTTAGGTATATCACTGTCAGCCCAAGTGTAATATCACTGATGCCCAAGTGTAAGCCGCTCTGGCAAACAGTGATCCCATAGCCGACGCCCTCAGGGCAATAGCCGAGGTCTCAAAATCCCTACGTAGGGCCTTTTCTACCTTCTTATCACAGCTATCCCTTGGTAGGCCATCAGCATCCATAGGCAGGAAGGATGTGGATGCTAGTGAGTTGATCGGATCATCCACCGTGGGCAGCTTAATCCTCTTTGTTGTCTCTGGAATAAGAGTATACAGTTTGTTAAATAGTGGGTTCCCAGACTTGGGATTGGCTGGATGTTCCCATTCTGCCATAATTATATTGTAAAAGGCTGCAGGGATAGGAACTCCTGTTGTTTTTGTAGATGTTTTGGGTATGGCCTTGGCCGCCCCCACAGGCAAGGCCGGGTCCTCCTTGTCCTCCTGTGTCTTAGGGGTATATATGTTAGTTCTAGGGACTTGATAACCTTGGACAAAACTTTATTATACAGGTCCTGTGGGAAGAGTCTTGATTGTATGATTGGCATCACTTCCTCTTCTTCCTCTGATAGTTCCCCTTCTTCCTTTTCTGGAGCAGACAATATAGAGTCATCATCATCATCATCATCCAAGTCACTAAGGGAGTGAAACCTTTTTCCTGGACCTGGGCTCTGGTTTTCTTTGTAGGGGGAGGGGTACCTTCTCAGCTAGGACTCCTATCCCTTTTAGAGTTAGATCCAAAATTTTGACCCGCAGCTGCTTGTTGCCAAAGCCCTGTAAATTCCTTTCGCATTTCCTCTTTAAGCCAAGATAAAAGTTTAAACTGGGTTTCAGCCCCAGTATTTTCCATGGCTTGAGAAGTTAAACTGATGAACTGTGAGGGGTTCAGGCTCTCAGAACCTCGAGAGCTAGATGTTCCCGCCTTTTCAGCAGAGTTACACTCGCCATTCCCCAGCCAGAAAAAACCTTAACCAGGTCTATATCCCATTCTCAAAAGTCAGACTTAGCCAGTACTGCTTGAAAAATGGAAAAAGTTGGGGTGGCAAAGGCAAAAGGGGGTGGGGTGGAAGTAAAGGTACACCTTTGCACACGTTCCCCTCTTCTGTGTTCCCCCATCACCCATGCACTTCGCCTTACAGTCCTGCCGTGATTCAGATGAATGGATAGACTGCTTTGGAGCTCCTTCCTCCTTGCCACCTTCTGTAAGCAAGGGAGGGCTCCATTGGTGCGCCGAAAGGGAAAGGGTGACGGTGTTTCCCCGCGCCTCCCACGGCCGTCTCTCTAGGGCACCGCTCTCCCAGCCTTTTTGATCGTCGTCTCACCCCCAGACTGCTGCTTTAAGCCGTGGTCAGACAGGGGGTCGGGAGGGGGGAAGCCAGTCACAACCGCACTCCCAGCGGGGCCCAGAGAGGATTCCTCGATGTTGCGGCCACCTGGATTCAGTGTAGCCGGCATCAGATTCACAATGAAGCGTCTCTCACAGACGCAGTGGCCAGGAAAGGAATTACCTTCCACTAAGGCCTCTTCGCTTGTTGTTGTTGCTTTTGAAGTCATTCAGGATCTTCGTGCTCGCATAGCACAGCCAGGACGTCCTGCTCCGAAAGCAGAGCCGGTAAGACTGAGGCTCAGAGGATAAGCCCCTCCTCCCTGGGATCAAGTTTGGCTGGCCCTGTTTACAGAAGAGGAGGTGCTTTCCCAGGAGTAAGGAGTCAAGGACTGCCCCCACTCCTGGACCACCGGAGAATATGACATTTCTGTGTTTTTAGAGAAAACTGTTTACTTATTTAACAACCACTAATATGAAAATGTGAAACCACTACTTATTTAGCTTCTTATTCCATTTAGGTCTAAGGCTAGAAGTCAAATGGTAACATTCTCAAAAGAAATGGCATAACTGACAGACAACCTGATTAGAGATCATTTGTGGAAATTTTTGACAAATATCTGTGCTCCCTATATATGCAAGAGTTCTCAGTTTCTAAACATTCAAGGAGAAACGAATGGGAGAGAGGTAATCTTCACAAATGTTCATTAAAACATTTATAGCCTGCCTTCCCTCAGGGTTCAAGGTGTCTTACAATAGTAGTTTAAAACATTTTCACATAAAACCAAAATAAGATAGCAAACCCCAAATCTCCCCCCCCACCTTATCAGACCACTCTTGTTTAACCCCCCCCCTCAAAAGCCCTGACAAACAAGCAGGCCTTGCAGCACCTCCCAAAGACCTCTGGGGAGGGGGGGGGGCACCTCTGCAGTGCATTTCAACTGCTGCTTTCTCTGGGAGGCTTATTTTAGCCATTCAATCTGTGGACTAACGAGTCTGGATACATACTGGATACATACAGGTTCCTTGTGACCAAACAGAAATATGTGAATAAAGGCTCAATCCCTACTAATAGCCATTAATGGAAGTCTCAGCTGACTGTACAGAAGTGAGCCTGGGAAATGTAACCAACGTCCAGATACTGTACATGCTTCTCTCGTCCTTAAAAGTGTGCTAATACATAACAAGCAGCATACAACTATTTACCTTGGGTTTTGAGACTGGCACAGGGAACTTCCTAAAGAAAAGAAAATTGCATCACAGCTAAATTATGCACAATATCAGAAACATTCAAGAAGAATAAAATATTGTACGAAACCTAACTTTTACTTATAGTTTAATCACCACAAAACTCTTCTGCACGTCATCACATTACTGGGCCAAGATCTTACGTGTTGGGGCAATGTTTGTCTTAAAAGTTGCCAGCAATGATTCTAGAAGCACACAGAAACTGACAGCTTTCAACAACCGACAGGGAGAGCAATCCAGCAGAGCAAGGTGAAAGCTTCATTATCCAGCACTCATGGGGAACAAGGTTCGCCAGTCAGTCAAACATGCTGGATAATCAAGCTTATTAGTCTGCCCTAGCCGCTACCCAGAAGAATCCGTAGTCATCAAACCCTACCCCACTGGGAATGCCATCGCATTCCGTAGAGATAAGTGCAAAGTCCTACACTTAGGTACAAAAAAATCAAAGGCACAGAGATAGAATGGGAGGGACTCGGCTTGACAGCAGCACGTGTGAAAGGGATCTAGGTGTTCTGGTTGATCACAAGCTAAACATGAGCCTGCAGTGCGATGTGGCTGCGAAGAAAGCGAATGCAATCTTAGGATGCATTAACAGAAGCATTGTGTCCAGATCATGGGAGGTGGTAGTTCCGCTCTATTCTGCTATGGTCAGGCGCCACCTGGAGTCCTGTGGCCAGTTTTGGGTGCCACATTTTAGGAAGGATGTTGACAAGCTGGAGCGTGTCCAGAAGAGGGCAACCAGGATGGTGAGAGGGTTGGAATCCAAGTCTTACGAGGAAAGGCTGACAGAGCTGGGTCTTTTTAGCCTGGGAAAGAGAAGGCTTAGAGGGGACATGATTGCAGTCTTCAAGTATTTGAAGGGCTGCCATGTAGAAGATGGAGCAGATCTATTCTCTCTTGCTTCGGATTGCAAGACTAGATCTAATGGGTGGAAATTACAAGGGAGTCGTTACCGGCTAAATATCAGGAGAAACTTCCTAACAGCAAGAGTGGTTGAGCAGTGGAACAGTCTGCCTCGGGAGGTGGTGGATGCTCCTTCGCTGGACGTTTTCAATCGGAGGCTGGACGACCACCTTTTGGGTATGTTGTAGGGCTATCTTTCGGCTCTGCTCCTACAAAGTGCAGGGGGTTGGACTAGATGACCTGCAAGGTACCAGCTCCAACTCTGACATTCTATGATTCTATAACGACCCCCTCCAAGCCCGACAGGACCTTTTGCTCTTTCTCCCCTGAGCCAAGGCACCATCTTACGCAGTGGGGAGGCAAGCAGGCCAGCTGCCCAGCAGCCCCCTTCAGCACCACTGGCCCCTGGCAGACTGAGGCCTGTTCAGGAGGAGGGGGCCCTGGGGAGGGTGACATCTGGTGCTGTCAGAAGCTCAGCAATGGCAGGATAATCGAGGGGGCAGCTGGAAAGGTGGGAGTGGGGTATGGTTTGGTGGCTGAGGGTAGAGTGGCTTGCCTGCTGGGTGATGCCAGAGAACAAAGCCTTTCACATTCAGCAAGCAAATCACAAGCACCAACCCACGGATCCTTGAGACCCCTTTGTCATGTCAGACTCCTCAAGAAATGAAAATACAGGAAAACTAATATTTGAGGACTCACACTTTAAACGGTAACCATTTTAGAATGGTTACATACTAATAATTACAAATCCAGCTTTTCATTAAGACCAACTCACAAGGTGACCAAAATTAGTGAGGTATGGATTTCTTACTTCATCACACTTATGAGAGTCAGAAAGAAGAAAACGGCAAAATGATCTGGGGTCAAACAGTGTAAACGACACTTTCCAAAATATATGGCACTGTCATGAAAATGATACATACACATATAATTTATTTGTATGCTACCCCCTCTACCGCACATGTCTGAGACCCAAGCAGGAAAACTAGAAAGGGGCACACAGACACATATAAAAGCGACACACTTCAGAAATACAACAGCGACACAGATAAAACTGGAATGCACTAAATGACATAGAACTCCGAGTATCTGGAATCCTCTGCTCCTACGGAAAGCAGACCCGGCTGCCTGAAAAATGGAAGTGGAACCTATCCCTCAGGCAGCCGGGCACACCAAGAGTGGCGGGGGGCAAGGAGCCAAAGGTTCCCTGCATGGCACTGCCCTGGACTCGCTAGGAGGGAAGGACTTGGGTGAGAAAAAAAGCTTAAGATTTCTGTCCAGCTGCACTTAGGAATCCTAGAGCAGACACAGAAAACACATTGCAGCTTTCTAGCCCACCTGCTCTTTGGGTCTGCGTCACGGTCTGTTCGCTAAAACAGTCCTCTCCATGTCCCTCTCAAAGCCCTTCATCCAACACAGAGCTCCCACTTTATTTAGTAAATATATACACTAAGCCGGGGTAATTAAAAATAAGATTTAAAATTAGCAGATCACAAACGAATGGGTTTGTACAGTAGTGTTTGGTGTCGTGGTGAAGTGCGTGGACTCCAATCTGGGAGAACTGGGTTTGATCCCCCACGCATCCACTTGCAGCTGCTGGATGACCTTGGGTAAGCCATAGTTCTGATACGCCTCATGCCTTGCCAGGGCTTTTTTAGTATCCACTCTATTATAATGATAAGTATTAAATGTTTCCAACATGAGAAAGGAAAAATCATTACAGTCATATGCCCCATTTGCAAGAAATGGGGAGCGAGGGGAGACTCAAGATGATGCTGCCATATGCGGGATTTATGCTCAATAATCCGTGTACACGGACCACACATGTAGACATGCTGACATAATACTTAGGATTAGGGCAACAGCAGCGAAGCAGGTAAATCACCCTTTCAGTGGCGCAGTTGGTGAACTGCTTTAGTCTCACAGAGAGATTCAGTTCTGGAAATTCTATCTGATCCGTAACGACAGCCTGAGCACATACTGAACACCGTCCACAACGGTGGTGTCCTGCCGTGGCAACCAATGTTCTAGTTTGTGGCAAAAAGTCTGTTCTAATTAAAGTATCTCTGATACTCCTGGTTCTTCTAAATCCTATTAGTGGTTTCTCTGTACACCCTGGTATTTCTCTAACCCCATGCCAATGCCTCGTGATTATTTCTTTAATGTATTCAGCATGAGGAGTATAGTCCAGAGCACAAAATATCCAATCAGACCTAGCCTTTTTGTCAGTGGATATTAATAAGCCTTGTCCTTTGGTCTGCTCTAGCGACTACTTGTTAGCTACTACGTGTGCGGGAGAACCCCGCTGTAAGAAGTGTCTATTTAGTTTTTTTCTTTTCCTGATTGTAATCTACATCAGACATACAATTTCATTTAATGTATAGATAACTGCCTATAAGAGGCAAATTGTGTTTTAGATGTTGCGCATTATATGATTCAAAGTGAAGATAAGAGTTTTTATCAGTGGGTTTAACATAAGACCTCACTGCCAATTGCCTAGACCCACTAATAGAAATAATCGTGTCCAAAAAGTTGATCTCAATCTGACTACTTTTAGCTGTAAATTTAAGTAGTGGGATTAATAGTTCTGTCAGAGCTGTTCTCTCAAGGACAGCTCTGGAAAGAGCTCTCTCAGCCCCCCCTCACCTCACAGGAGGGTGTCTGTCTGTTGTGGGGAGGGGAAGGGAAAGGAGTGTGTAAGCCGCTCTGAGACTCCAAGTGAAGGGCGGGGTATACATCCAATCTCTTCTTCTTCTTCTTCATATGTAGTTAGGTCCCTTTTAGGTTTATCAGATTTGTTAGATGAAAGGTACAGATTTTTTGTGTTTTCCGTTGTGCCCAAGAGAGATTCCCCTTTGCCCTGCCCGTGTCCTCGTTCTGAGGCCACTGTGTGCCTGGCTGCCGGCAGCACTCAGCACAGTGGTCGAGGAGGAGGCTGTGCACGGGTAGAGCTGCAGAAGCACATCCGCTGCTGCTGCAACCCGAACAAGACCCGCCACTGGGCTCCTGGGCCGAGAAAGCACTTGGGGAAGTCCGGCCAAAGGGACAGAGGCGTACTGTCCACCAGCCACCGTGGGAAAGGGACCTTCTTTGTCTGACTGCCCACTGCTGGGCTGCCCTAAGGAGGCCTTGGGGGGGGAGGGAGAAGGAGAAAGAGGAGGAGGAGGAGGAGGAGCTGGGGGTTTTATACCCCGCCCTTCACTACCTGAAGGAGTCTCGGTGCGGCTTACAATCGCCTTCTCTTCCTCTCCCCACGACAGACACCCTGTGAGGTAGGTGGGCTGAGAGAGCTCTAAGAGAGCTGTGACTGACCCAAGGTCACCCAGCTGGCTGCATGTGGAGGAGGAGGAGGAGAGGGGCGTCAAACCTGGTTCTCCGGATTAGAGTCCGTCACTCTTAACCACGACACCACACTGGCTCTCTGAGCCTCCCCTTCTTCCCAATGCTGCTCCAGGCCTGCACACTCAGCTGCCCTGTGCTTGATGCTGCTACACCACCAGCTCTCTGTGGCTCCAGGCCACCGACCCAGGCTGCCCGGGGCATCTGCCTACTTCCAGCTGTGCCTCTGGTAGTCCTTGGCAGCCATGCACAGTGCTGCCCGGATGACGCTGCCACGCGGGGCTCTGGAGGCCAGGTCACAGCCCTTGCCTGATTCCTGGGCTCCACCGTGCACCGGCCACACATCTGCGCAGCAAAAGGGTGCTGGCCCTGGCCAAGCAAAGGGAGGAGGAAGGGAAAAAGTCTCAGGAAGTGATTTGTGAAACAGACATTTCTTATTTAAAGGGAACTGCAAGTTGCTTGAATTCTAAATCCAAATGTTGCTCCTGGCACATATCCCTCGTATAAACGAATCTATTTAAAGTCAACGGAAACCCAAGTCTTGGCCTGGTGCCAAACAAATAAAATCTGAAGGGACCACTGGTCTTGGGGGAGGGCACTTCAGAGCTGGGAGGAAAAACACTGGAAAGGTCCTATCCCCTTTTGCCACAAAGACCTGAGACAATGAATGCAGTGCCCAGGCATGACTGTGTGGGGCAGGCGGTGAGCATACGCAAGCACAGAGACAGGCAGTTTTGTAAAGTGAGCTTAAAAGATGGCAACACAGACAGAAAGCAGAGTTATGAAACAATTTGTCAAGACCTCAATAAGCTACAGGACTCTCTCCATGCTTTTTGCTTTCAACTATGATGCAGATACAGATAAATGGCACAACAGTGTGTGTGAGCTGGAAAAAAATCATTACTATAGTACAATGATTCCTAGTCAATTTCTTGATATATTAAAACTTTTAAGACGAGAAGAGGGTCTTGTTACAGTGCATTTTGTTCCTTTCATTTCCATTACCTTTGTTTTTAAGGCACACCTGCAGTAAATCTTTGATGTGCGAGAACATAACCCACATTCTCCTTCATGGCAGAGGTTTTCACATGTATGAACAGCATCTGGACATAATTATAAAAAGGCATGCATTTTTAACAGAGTTTTTAAAACCTGCAGCTGTACCATTTCAGATTTCAGAGATAAATATATAAAACTAGCTGTACAGCATCTAAAGGTAAAGGTAAAGGTTTCCCTTGCTTGAAAGCTAGTCAAATCCAACTCTAGGGGCGGTGCTCATCTTCATTTCCAAGCCGAAGAGCCAACGCTGTCCGAAGACGTTTCCGTGGCCATCTCCAGGTCAGCCCATGAATTTCAGTGCCAAGACGGGATTCTGACCCCCGTTCACACGGGCTCTTCGGGCAACAGGACAGCACTCAACCACCCGCTCGGGGAACTAACCCCATGTCCCTTCTAACTATGCATCTTTCAGCCATGTGTGTGTGGAGAGAAATGGCTCAGAGGGACAAAATCTAGTAAAGGGAGACATCATCTGCATACATTCAATCTAGCTTGTTCTCATAAGAGTGCATGCATTGTTATAGAAAACACAGCGTGCTTTAAAAAAAAAATTAACAAAGGCATTTCAAATATGTGTTTTGAGTATGAAACATTCCTATTACCGTAGCGACTGCAAGGCAGAGGCTTGCTACATGTTCCTCCACAAGATGGGATGGGATCCGTGCAGAGTTTACGTTCCATACACCCCAGGTCTAACAGTTTGCTAAGAGGAGTTTGCCCACAAGGGCAGCAGTGCACAAGTTCCGGAAGCCGTGGGCAAGGCTGGCAAGACTGGGGGTGGCACACTTGTGCACAGTTGTGCATTCCACAAGAGAGTTTTCTGAAATTAAAAACAAAATTGTCGAGGCTGTACTCTGCCTAGGAGTAGACTCACTGAGGTATCCAGCCCTTACTTGCCACAGGTTCGGAGACAGGAGAATCGTTCCTCGCTTGCTCCACATAAGACTTCTTGAGAGGTGCTCTGACAGTAGCAGACTGCATGGAAAACAGCATTGGTGGGGAGGGAGAAGACAAGCAAGGTTGTAAAACAAGATTCTAGGAAAGATACAGTTTTCTAAGACTCTTCAGCTCTTGTCTTCTGAGCATCATTCAGAAGGGACCAGCATCCTCTACAGGATGATTAGGAAGCCTGGGTGGTGAAGTAAATACTAAAATAATGTTGGCTACAGAAGAGTAGCCCAGGTTCAATACAGGATTAACACATCCAGCCCTGAAGCGGCTATATTCCGTTTTCCCATCCTCATCAACTAAAAGCAGTGTGGGAAAAGGCCACTCCAGCCCTCAAATCCCTGCCTGCAATGGTTCCATAGCTCCTTCCAAGCCCCAGTTGAACCACAATAGTAAGTACCGCCCCATCGCAGCTGACCTACGGTGACAACTCAAGGGGTTTTCAAGAAATGAGCAGATGTGGCCTGCCACTGACTTCTTTGGCACAGCAGGCCTGCTCCTTCTTGGTGGTCTCCTGTCCCAAGTAATAACCAGGGCCAGCCCTGCTTAGCTTTCAGGCCTGAGCTAGTCTGGGCTACTTGGGTTGCTAAAACAGACAATTCTGAGAAATATGTTGTCAAAGGCTTTCACGGCCGGAGTTCATTCGTTGTTGTCGATTTTCTGGGCTGTCTGGCCGTGGTCTTGGCATTGTAGGATCTGACATTTCGCCAGTAGCTGTGACTGGCATTCTCAGAGGTATAACGCAGAAAGATGGAGTACTCTCTGTGTCAATGTGAGAAGAAGGAAAATGGTAGGCAGGTAATTTATATCTGGTCAGGAAGGTGGGGTAGGGCTGAGTAGATATAAATTACCTGCCTACCATTTTCCTTCTTCTCACCTTGACACAGAGAGTGCTCCATCTTTCTGTGTTTTACCTCTGAGGATGACAGTCACAGCTACTGGCGAAATGTCAGGTACCACAACGCCAAGACCACAGCCATACAGCCCAGAAAATCTACAACTAATTCTGACAAACTTTATTCTTAAACAATAAACTCTTCCAAAGTTTAACGTTGTTTTATTAACTTCCTGCAAAAATTCTGAAAACTGGGTATGCTTTAATAACCTTTTACCCACCTTGCTTTATAGTCAATTTGCAAGGCTGGCATTTTCCTGAATGGCATATCTGGGTACAGTTATGTTTCCCACAATTCAAAATATTTCCACATATATTGGTACACTGAATTGCTGTAGAATGCCCACATCGAACCGAATGGCTGCAGAAGAAAACTGAATCAGTCATCATAATCTAGTCGTGTGCTGCTGACCAGATCAGAATCTGACATTTATACTTCAAGCGGTCACCTACATCCCTTTTTAACATCACTGAATATATTTAGCAAAAAGAGCTATTAATATTAAGCATGAATTTATTCAAATGGGGAACACCACTGCCTAGAGAGGCCTGTAGCCAGCAGGGGGCTCCCACCTTAGAGCAGCGGCTGCTGCTGCTGCTGGAACAGATGAGCAGCAGGCATCAATGGGGCAGAAGCCTCCTCCAATCCAAAGACGGAAGCAAATGTGGCTCTCCGGCTCTCCGTGAACAGCAGAGCGACTACCAGGGATTTAAGGAGGCATCGCTTTAGACGGAGAGGAGCCAGGCCCCAGAAGTGGGGTTCTGCTCACAGAGACTGTCCCTGTTTTTCCTGCACTCCAGTCCTCTGAATCCCTGAGATTCCGATCACCCTGGGAGGGAGACACATCTGCAGGCGCCGCTTCCCTCCTCTCATGCTTGACCCTCCATTCACAGAGGACAACGTTTGGAAACAACTGAGCAGTGTTCCCTCTCAGCTGAGTGAGCTCACAGTGCTTTAGCCTCCGGCTCACACATTTTTGTCTTCGCTCAGGCAGGATGGGGCTCCAGAGCAAACTGATTTATGCAGCAGCCAAATCGCTCACTCACAACTTCAATGCCAGGAGCTCACAAAGTAGAATTTTTGCTCACAAGACTCCACAGCTTAGAGGGAGCATTGCAACCAAGTATCTTTGGTTCTTCAGAGACATAACAACAGTCACACCTCCAAATAACTATCTTGTGGACAATAAAAAAGTTCTTAACCTCCCCCCCCCCCCCCCCGACCGCCAGCGCTCCAAGATCTTACCTTGTGCGTTGGCATTCACATTTTTTGGTCATAAAAGCAGGACATGATGGGCAAGGTCCTGGATGACAGAGGCTTAAAAATAAAAGCACTTCAGTTCAATCTTATTCACAAAACCTATCAGCAATCATCATAACCAAGAAATTCTCATCAAATGCTAACATTAACACGACAGAGTGACTACAATACGAGTATTTCTGAACTGAAACAAAGATTTGACTTTCAATGCCCATCCAGACCGGATTCCTCCCAGAGGACCCACAGCTCCCCTCCTCCTCTGGGATGCCCTGCCCTCCCACCAGGCACTGGAGGTGGTTCGCGTGTGCCTGCCTGTTGGCCTGAAACGGGAGCTGCCCCCTGCCTGCTTCTACCAGGCTGCAGTTTCCCATGCAGCTCTTCCAAGCCTCTTCTCTGCTGACTGCTCCTGGAGAACATCGCCTCGAAGCACCAGCCAGCTGGGGTGGGTAGCTGATAGGCTTGGGCTGTGGGGAGACTGCCAGGGGAGGGGGTTGTGTGCAGCCTGGCCCCGGTAGCAGGCAGGGACCTCCACCGATCCTGGGGGGGGGGGGACACGTGGCCTGTGCTCACCATCCAAGGGTCTCCAGCAGGCTTGACGGAGGAGGAGGGGAGCGTGCGGCCTGGCCCCGACGAGCCTATGGGGGGGGGGGGGTGGGGCCCACCCACAATGGGGGGGGGAGGGTGTGTGCATCCTGAGCCCACCATCCAAGGCTTCCAGCAGAGATGCCAGCCTCCAGGTGGGACCTGGGCAGGGAATCCCCCCCTTTCAAGTTATTCCAGCTGAACTCCGTATAAATTAGTTCCCCTGGAGAAAATGGATGCTTTGGAGGGTGGACACCGGCATTCTTCCCCAATGAGGTTCCTGTCTTCCCCATGTTCCAATTCCAAACCTCAGTTTCTCAGTTGGATTGAAGAATTTTCAAAAAAACCCAACAAGCTGCTGAAAGCTGTGCAGGAAGGGCCAAAACCACCCATGGCACTTACTGCATGGATGGTTATTATGGGGTAGGGACGCCAGCCTCCAGGTGGGACCTGGGGATCCCCCGGAATACCTCCTCTCCAGACCACAGAGATCAGTTCCCCTGGAGAAAGGGGCTGCTTTGGAGGGTGGGCTCTGGGGCATTCTACCCCACTGAGGTCCCTGTCTGCCCCCCCCCCCCGGCCCCATCCTGAAACCTCTTCCGAGTTTCCCAACCTGGATCTGGCAACCTAGTCCTCCATCCCCCCCTCCCCCCAGCCAGGGGGGGGACATAGCGAGTGTAAGCTGCTGAAGGAAGGGGCAAAGGATTCAGCCCATGGGGGGGTGGAGGAAGGGGACTTGGCTTTCTTGGTGCTCCGTTTAGGGAAATCCATCCCCCACCCACTCTCCGCTCGCTGTCTCTCTGTAAAGTCTGCAAGGCTGCCCAGCCAGATTCTGGTGGCCTTTTGAATGGAATTTGACTTAATTCTGTTTCCACTTGTAATGTTTCAAGTTTAAATCTTTCCTAAAACGTGTTCTAAAAATGCATTCTGAGCTTTTTACAAGGTTATGGTAGTACGAAAAAAATGTGTGCGATAGTCAAATGAAACATTAAAAGCAAATATAAGTAAAGTTATACATATGACTTGTAGTACAGCTAGTAGTTTATATTTCATGTTTGTATGTTTTGTATGTGTTATTCTTAAAATATATTTAAAAGAATTTATTCTGAGATCGTTACAAGGTTACGGAAGTAATCTTCTAAAAAACTCATTTACATGGTAGTCAAATGTAGACTCGCTCACAAGTAGACTCGCTCACCCCTTTAACGCTACTAGTTTTTTTGCTCACGAGATAGAATTTCTGCTCACAACACTGTGAAGCTTAGAAGGAACACTGGTCCGGAACGACCATAAAACCACAGCTCACTTTAACGGGAGGTGACACGTGAAACCAGGATTTGTATCACAGATGACCCTTCAATCCTGGCCGCAGCTTCTCGATTCTTCCCTACAAACACTAGCTGCTATCCGGAAAGTGTCTTTGTAAAAACTCCCCCCAGCCCCGTTTCCAAGCTCTTTCCTCCCATCGGGTCGTAGGAAGACACACACAAACATACACACTCTCAAACTTCCAAGAACCTAACAAACTGCCACCCCTCGTTTCATCCCACAAGTGGCACACTTATACCACGTTCTACTCCTGGCCCTTGCCCCCTTGTGCTCTAGCAGGGCGAGGACAGAGATGGGCTCTGTGGGCAGCAGGAGGCTGCGTGCGTCCCACATCTTGGCCCTAAGGCAGACTGCTGCCTTGCTCCCACGGGATCAGGAGGCCGACCCAGGTGCTCTGCAGGTGACAAGAAAAGGTGTCTGTGTGTCCCCCCCCCCCCAATACCACTGCTGCCTGCCTCGGCCATGACAGGCTGTGGAGGCACTGACTTTGGTGCCCGCCTGATGATGGGAGGGCAGCACAGTAGGGGTGCTCTGCACCTGCCCCACACTGTAGAAGCACCACCCTCTGGAGCTTGTCTGATTGATTAGTGGAGCGACACAGGAGAAGGCCCCTGAGGTGTAGCATGCCTTAAGCTTCCCCTGGGAATGCAGAACACTTTACAACAAGCGTGGACAGGGAGACCACTAGAAAGATGGGGTGAAATGCAGCAGCAATTTTGATTTTAAACAGCTCCTGCCAAGCCTCTGTGAAAAGCTGCAGGCCAGGATTAAGCCAGGAAGCACTCTTATGATGTGTGGAATCATCGTTGAAACCACGTAGTTAACTGTGCTATTTAAGGGAGCTAAAGTATCTCCTGTTACGGAGCGGTCTGAGTTCAGATGACTCACAAGCCATAGCTAGTTTAAATAAGTGACAGATTCACATGCAGTCTGAACTGATTATATCTAATAACAGGGCATGTGCTAAACAGATAAAATGAAAATTCTGCACAAACTGGTTATGAAAAAAAATCAAATTTGCAAGTTTGTATTTTGCAAAACTGATTCTTTGCTAAGATTCAGGTGTTCAAAATACCATGCATGTTTCTAGTGTAATAGCCGTGGCAGAAATCTAAAAGAAAAGGCCTGGAAATGGATAGAGAGGCAGCAGCAGAAAGAAGACAGAGCAGAGGCAATGAAGAAAAAATCAGAAAGCTGTAGAAGGCATCGAAACCCCAACTTTCTGATGCTCCCATTTCAGGCCAAGTGTTCATAGTGTTTTACTTCATCACATCAGAGAGACCCCTCCCCAACTGAAAGCTAAGATTCTTTAAAAGGCACATGATATAACAGCAGGTGTGTGTGTGTGCGCGCACACACACACACACACACACACACACACACACACACACACACCACCATGGAATCCAAGGGTGTGATGCAGATGCAAAACAAAGAATCCCCAGCCCTTCCTTTCTGGGGCTGAAATTCCTCCTGTCGTTCTGCTTCAGCCTTACCCATATAGAAGAAGAAGAAGAGGAGGAGGAGGAGGAGATTGGATTTATACCCCGCCCTTCACTACCCAAAGGTGTCTCAGAGCGGCTTACAAACTCCTTTCCCTTCCCCTCCCCACAACAGACGCCCTGTGAGGGAGGTGGGGCTGAGATAACTCTTGACAGAAACTGCTCTTTTTCAAGAACAGCTGTGCCAGAGTTATGGCTTGCCCAAGGTCATCCAGCCAGGTGCGAGTGGAGGAGTGGGGAATCAAACCCCCGGTTCTCCCAGATTAGAGTCTGCGCACTTAACCACTACACCAAACTGGCTCTAGTTACTATATATGTCCATGTAACACTCATACCTGTGATAAAGAGGGACAGGAGAGTTCCACTAAGGATTTACGCTAAACAAAGGACTGTACGTGATTCAGCAGCTGTTCCTACTCCATTATACAAAACTAAGGATTTCCACTGTTACAACTTTACCAGCACTGCTTATGTTCTTTTATAAAATGTTTTCAAAGATTTCCTTATTTCCTTTAGATATTTATAACTGATTTTCTTCTCAATGGGGACCCGATGTGACTTACACAATTATTCTCCCCTTCTCCATTTTACCCTAGCAACCCCAAGAGGCAGGGGAGGTGGGAGAAACTGACTGGCCAGAGGTCACCCAGCAAGCTTCCACGGCAGAATGGAGTCTGAACCGCGTCTCCCAGATCCTAGTCTGGAACTCTGGCCAGGACCTCATGGTGCCGGTTCCTGCTGCCTGGGGCTCAATGGACCAACTGCTACAGAAAGTTACAGCTGTCCGAACATTCAACCTGTTTACTGTTCCAAGAGTTCAGGCACATCGTCTAATCCTCCGTGAATTTTTTATATGCAAACTTACATATTACATAAATGTGGGCAATCTTGAGCTGATCTTCTTTTTCTACAGAGTTCTCCACAACTGTGTGGAATTTCATTTCTGTTCCACTCAGGGTTTCTAACCCGACCTACAAAAGGAAGCAAAAATGTACATTTTAATACGAAAATTAAACACAAAACTATTAAACACAGTTAATGGTCACAGATTCCAAATGTTTTTCCTCCTGTAAAATTGCCAGTCTTCTTTTATAATTTTGCAACAGATTAACAGTATAATCGTACATTCCACTTACTCCAGTCTAAGCCCACTGAAATTAGTGGACTTAGACGGGAGTAACTTGGCATACGATTGCACTGTTAATAACTTACCTAAGAACCATGAATCAATATCAAATGCCTAGTTAAGGTCCTCAGACCATCGTTCACAGCACCCCTTTCTTCTCTTTTTTTGTCCTTCTCTGTTACTTTGCACGCAGTCTCCTACACAGACCTTCACCTGTAAATACAATTCAAGTTTCTAGTCCTTGCAAGTTAGCAGCTCCACATCTTCCCTCTCTTTTCCCTCCACCATAAATTCTAATCCAGTCATCTTTAATACACCGTCATGGTATAGATGGCTGTTTATCTGCTCCCATAGAGGACAGGAGGGGTGTAAGACAAGGCTGTGTCCTTGCTCCTGCCTTGTTTAATCTTTACATTAACGACTTAGCCTCTAGACTGAATATGCTGTCTTTGCACCCCTCATCTGATTCCGGTCATGCTACATGCAGACGGCATGGCTCTGGTACCAGTAACCAGAGAGGGACTGCATCAATCAATTCAGATCTTCATTCAATATTGTGCTGATGAACAACTGGTAATTTCAAAAAATCCAAGGTTTTAGTTTTTGCTAGATCTGGTAGGCTGAAATTATTACGCTGGAATATCTCAGGTCACATTACGGAAGAAGTCCAATTTTATAAATATCTGGGAGTTACGTTCCAGCATTCACTCTCTTCGGCTTTGCACACTAAAGCGATATCTATTAAACCCAACAATACAGTGGCAATTTTGAGGAAATTTTTTTCACCACAGGTATTCAATTTGCTCTTGCAGCTTTGGATGTTTTTTGGGCAAAAACAACCTCACTGTTTTTGTATGCTATTCTGGTGTGGATTGGTAGCCTGGGTACGTGCCCAGATATAATCCAGACAAATCTTCTTAGATCGATCTTACCATGCAACTAGAATGCTAAAAGGGTTGGAACACTTTCCCTATGAAGAAAGGTTAAAGCGCTTGGGGCTCTTTAGCTTGGAGAAATGACGGCTGAGGGGTGACATGATCGAGGTTTTTAAGAAGAAGAAGAAGAAGAGAAGAGATTGGATTTATACGGAGTCTCAGAGCGGTTTACAAACTCCTTTCCCAACAGACACCCTGTGAGGTGGGTGGGGCTGAGAGAACTCTGACACAGACTGCTCTTTTTCAAGGACAGCTATGCCAGAGCTTGTGACTGACCCAAGGTCACATCAGCAGGTACAAGTGGAGGAGTGGGGAATAAAACCCAGTTCTCCCAGATTAGAGTCTGTCACTTAACCACGGCACCAAACTGGTGCATGGGGTAGAGCAGGTAGAGAAAGAAGTCCTTTTCTCCCTTACTCACAATACAAGAACTCGTGGGCACTCGATGAAATTGCTGAGCAGTGGGGTTAGAACAGATAAAAGGAAGTACTTCTTCACCCAAAGAGTGATTAACGCATGGAATTCACTACCACGGGAGTACGGCTTCAAGAGGGAATTAGTTAAACATATGGAACAGAGGTCCATCCGTGGCTATTAGCCACAAGGTATAGATAGGAACTCTCAGTCTGGTGCAAGTGATGCACTGTATTCTTGGTGCTTGGGGGGGGGGGTGAACAGTGGGAGGGCTCCTAGTGTCCTGGCCCCACTGCTGGACCTCCTGATGGCACCTGGCATTTTTAGCCACTGTGTGACAGAGTGTTGGACTGGATGGGCCATTGGCCTGATCCAACATTGGCTTCTCTTATGTTTATGTCCAAGTTGTATTGCCTCGTCATCCCTGTTAATAGAAACTGGGCAGAAGACAATTTCTCCTATAGCCTGATCAACAGTTATTAAATTTTGGCTTGCAATTAATCTAGAGAGTAAGAAATCACTAGTTTCGCTGTTAGTATTAGATTCTTTTAAACCTGGATGGGTTTGCCTCCTCAGCTGAGCTCACTTGATTTGGATTATGCCTCTCTTCTGGCCTTCGGAAAAACTGGTTCTTATACTGTGGTTAGTAGCCATCTGGCAGCAGAAGAAGGGCGCAGTCTTCCAGAAGGGAAGTGGTGCATATATTCACCCATGTACTTTGGATACTCATATTTTAATCAATACCAGTTACCATATTATTTCCATAGTATTATGGTACCATGCTACTGGAGATTACCTTTCTTGTAAGAATGAATTCACTTTCACTCACTGTCTTACATGGACGATTCACGGGGCAAGAAATGGGATCTGGAGCTTTTAGCTGTGATAGGTCTTCGGTAGAAACTACTGAGCATTTCTTCATTTTCTGTGTAACTTATGTGGATCTGAGAAAAAAAATTCTCGATCCTCATCTAAGAAGCCTGTTTGTTCTTCTAACTATAATTTAATTACTCTGTTAGCGAACCTTGATTTTGATATAACATTAGATGTATGTAAATATATAGCTGCTGCAATTAAACATTTTTTGTTTTTAATTAATATTGAACAGCAATAACTTTTTTTGTTCTATTACTGTCTTTTTCTGGTCAAAGAGCCTATTGGCTTTAAGCCCTGGACGGGAACCATATTCTAATCCAACAGCTCTGAACTACAGATATTTAGCTGCATCTATAACTGCTATTTAACATAGTATCTCATTATAACTCTAAACATATGTCATTCAAGCTGAGTTTAAAAAGATGGGGCTGAATGTTTCCATAGTGACAGAAAATTGTAGAGCAGTAGACAAAATGGCAGGATTCATACCACGTGGCCCAGGCCCATGTCGTGAAGAGGGGGGGGGGAAGGCAGGGAAGGAAGATTTTTTAATACTACCAAACACAGTGATGTTAGGCACACACACACAAATGGAAGAGAAAGGATGTGACACTTTGTCCGTTTCAGTTTTTCAGTTGAGTTAAACATTATACATACACACAGATAGAAAGATGACAGGAACACACATATAAACCTATATAAAAGGTTATCGGAAAGCATTCTCCGTGGCTCCAGTGGTGTTCTAACTACTTGCACGGGGGTTTTGCCAATGCAGTGGGGTGAAGGGAACATTTGCGCACAACATAAAACGAAAAGGCAAAAAGTAACAAAATGACAGGATACATACAGTAGATGAGATTCACAGTTGACAAATGCAAAAGACTGTGGCTAGGAAAGACTGGCTTTGTAATATAATATGGAAGGGAGGGTAGGATATAAATCAAACAAACAAACGAACAATAAATAAAATGTTAAAAGTTCATAATGCCACACAGGAAAAATGCTATTTATGTAGCTAGGGAACATCTGATAAAATGATACAAGGTTCAAACCCATGTTGTTGTTGTTGTTGTTCTTCGGTCGCGGAGTCGAGTCCAACTGTCCGCGACCCCTTGGACCAGATCATGCCAGGCCCTTCTGTCTTCCGCCGTCCTCTGAAGTTTGCGCAATTTCATGTTCGTTGCATCGGTGACACCCATGTTAAGTCTTCATTAAACCACATCAAGGCATTCACAGTATGAAAACCACTCACCACAGAAGCAGGTGTAGGCACCAGGCACGTGCGAGGACACATTCTGACAAGCTGGGCAACGCCAACCACTGTTGCCATCTGCCAAAGGGGGGAAGAAAAATTGTATTTTTCTATAACACGGATTCTTAACATGGAAGGAAGGAAGGAAGGAAGGAAGGAAGGAAGGAAGGAAGGAAGGAAGGAAGTCTCTGGATCTGTGTGACCATTTCAAATACTGCAGTACTTCTAGTATCATATATTGGGGGGGGGGGGTTTGATCTCATGTACCACTCCAATGACTGATTTGTGCATAAAACTATTCTGGATGCATTTACATGGATCACATTCAGCTGCCAAAGTATAAAATAAGAGTGTTCCCTGGGAGACACGGCAAGGCTTTTCTTTTTCTTGACACTCAAAGCCATTTAGTGCTGTAAAACCTCTCATTCGCCTGAGCATTCTTCATTTATCCCACTGTTGCATATGGACTCATTCCCATTCAACAAGATCAGCCAGCAGAACAATTGTTAAAACAGAAATTGCTACTGTGATTTTACACACCTCCCTGGTAACTACTACACTAAGACCAAGGAGCTGAAAATATTGATAACAATACAGAGTCCCAGCCGCTGGCTCTGCCATATCACTTGGCTGGCTAACAGCACCTCATACACATCTTGGTACCCACCTCTCCATGGAGAAAGCAGAAGGAGTTACGGTGCACAGCACACCACCTGCACTTTACATCCTGTGGTAGCAGTAATATCACAACTTTATACTGGCTGTACACCAACCAGACTCACAAATGCCTAACCCTGGATGCAAAGGGGAAATAAGCATATGTGCGGATGCTGAGCGCTCTCTGTTTTTTGCTATTAATCCAGAAGCGATAAAGGGCAACAGTAAAATACAGAAATGGGCTGAAACAGTAGCGCACATGCGCACAAATCAGAGACCATGCCTGTTGCTTTTTTCAGCTGGGTAATTCTGTCACAAGAAAGGCACTTAGCAAGAGGCAGCAATGTGAGGCTGAATACACGGGGGGGGGGGGGGGGGGGGCCCCGGGGGGTAGCACCTGAGAGCTAGATATGTATTTACATGTAACACAATTACACCTTTAACTGGGCAAATGCTCAAGTGAGTCTTCAAAAGAAGCAAAGTGAACTTCGGAAATTTTCATTCAAAAAATGAAGGCAAAGACTTTGGGTGAACTAAACTATTGCATCTAAAATTAGTACTATTCAAAACACGATACTGAATCCATGACCTAGAATGTCCACTGCAGGAAGAAAAAGGTTTGAATGTGCAGAAATCGTTTAAGCATTATGTTGATACTTAATTTCACCGCTATATTATCATAAACAGAAGTATTTACTGGAATGTGTGTTAACATGGCAACAATGTTTTCAGATGTAGCATTTTGCTTCTGAATCTGAGTTTTCATCATAAAGTCTCCACTGTGCACTTCTGAAACATGGTTCAGCCTCACCATGTTGCAGTATCAATGTATCAGCAGCGCAGCCACCACATCCTTACACTCAACCCCCTTTCCTGCCACTGTCAGAATCGGATCCCTGACAGCCATGGTCCTTGGGTCAGGCGACACCCACCCTGGTGCTCTGATGTACACAGCTTGTTAGCCGTCTCTGCATTCTTATCTCTGTGTTCTCATCCCTGCTCATAGCTCCCATACACTACATGCAACACCTGCCAGCAAGGTATCAACTAGTTCACACAGATCCTCCTCTGACATTCCCTGGATGTGGGGGACGGCTGCCCGGTTGTGTATTGTAGACAGAGCGCTTTGAAACTCTGTATAAGGGTCCTCCTACACGGAGGCCAGGAGATTGTTCGCGTTTCTAATTTCTCATGGCCTTGTAGGAAGTATTTCAGATAAACATTCACACCATTATAATTTGAACTTTGTTAACCTGTCTATCACACGTAACCATGACATATGAATGGGGGCCGAACCAAAGTTCTCGTAGTTCATGCTTTTGAATTATTTGCCAGTACAATACAATACAATAAAACCCATAACCGGACTTACTGCGTCTGAGAGTCACTGTAGAGTCTCACAGATTGACAGTACTCTCTCATCACCCTTCTGCCCTACATCCCTCCCCTCTTGCAACCTGAGGGATGGGGAAGGGGGGACAAAGGCGCCTCCGGAGGCGACAAGATCAAGCCAGTGGAAACGGAGGAAAAGCCCCGCAAGATGACGGGGAGGAAACCGAAGTGGTAAGTGGGCTTCCACCCGACTGATCGGTGGGAGGAACCTCCATGGCTAGGCGGCACTCCGGGACTCCAGAGTGCTTGAGCACAAGCTGAGCTGGGCCGCCGCCGCCACTCCCGCACTTTCCAGGATGAGCCGGAGCTGGGCCGTTTCCGCGAGGAATGGGAGGATAATTTCGCCACTAACCGAGGCCAGCCCAGCGTCCGGGCTGAGATGTGTGAGTTGAAAGAGGGATTACAATTCTTGATCACTAACTTACCTAAGGTGGTCAAAGAACTGATGGAGAAACCCCCCCTGTCCACCTCGGAGGAGGAAGAAGGGGGGCAAGACGAGAACGAGGAGGAAGAGGCACCCATCCGTTCCCATCCACGTCGCCCCGAGCGGCCGAGGGATGCCCTGGAAGCAACCTTCGATGGGGACCCTGCTAAGATAGCTTTCTCTGCCATCCAAGTAAGAAAGATGCTGCGGGAATGGGGCCATACCTTCGAGTCGGATGAACAACGGGTTGACTACATTGGTTCCTGATTGAGAGAGAAGGCAGCTGACTGGTTCGTGGGACTGTATAATCTCGGCACCCTGGATTTGTGGGATGTGGATGCCTTCATGCAATCCCTGCGGCACCAATTCGAGGACCCGCTCGAACTGGAAAAGGCGAGGACTCGGATCATTCACACTAGGGTTCCCAAGTACTTACCGCGATCTGGCAGGGGAAACATGCTCCCCGGCCAGACCATTCCTCCCTGTAACGCACCATCCTGTTGCCAGGAAGTGACGCCAGGCGACCCTCTGGCAATGGGGCTGGAAACTTGATGGTATCCACATCCTGCATCGAATTTCCAGCCTCATTGCCAGAGCGTCGCCCGGCATCACTTCCTGGCAACAGCATGGTGCGGCGCATTTGTTGTCCCCGCAGGAATGAACCTGCGAAGACGTCTGTGTCCCCTGCCGAATCACGGTAAGTACTTGGGAAGCCTGATTCACACCATTATAATTTGTACTTTGTTAACCTGTCTCTATCTCATGTAACCATGACGTATGAATGTGGGCCGAAAAAGTCACAATATCAAGCATATAGTTCATCATGCTAGCATATCGACTGGACATCTTATAGCCAAACATTCTGTCTTTGTTCAAATGATCTGAACCTGTGACCTTCTCCACACATTCGGCAACTGGGGGGAAATACTGACCTTCAGCCTGTGCTGCTGGTGATCTTGCCCATTTCTTAATGCAGCTCAAGTGGAACACGTGATAGCAGTTCTGACAGCTCCAGACTGGGGCCACCACCCGGATCACTTCGCAACACACCATGCATTCGTACTTCTCCGAGGTCAGCTGCTCTATTAGAGACCCTGAGAAAGGAAATCGAGAACGTGCACACAAACGTTATCCCAGGAATAAAAGGAGAGTGGTCAGGGTGAAGCAAGAGCAACCGCTCCTTTAATACTTTAAAATGTTTTGCGGCATAGCAATGTTACTGACTGCAATCCCGGATTCATAAACCATATCTCTGCTGTTAGAATACATAAGTGGGGACACGCAAGGAACTTGCAGGAGCAGGTATCCCATTCCCCTCACCTTCGCTTCCTCCCCTCTCCACCTACTTCACTGTCCCTCACTCCCTCCCACCACCCCTGGTTCTCTTACTCTCCCCTCCTCCATGCCCATCAGTTCTTCTCTCTTCCAACACCCCCCACCACCACCACGTTCTCCTTTTGCCCTCCATCACTCTCCTGCCCACCCCCACAGCAGCAGCTCTCCAGGAATGACAACAGATCTCACGGCCACAGAGATCAGTCCCCCATAAGACTGTGTCGTATCCAGGTTGGGAAATTCCTGGAGATTTAGGGGTGGGGCCTCAGAAGGACAAGGTTTGGGGAGGGGAGTGACCTCAGCAGAGTATAATGCCACCCAAAGCAACCGTTTTCTCCAGGGGAACTGATTTCTATCATCTGGAGAACACCTGTAGTCCAGGGGATCTCCACCAGCCCTCACCTCGAGGTTGGCAACGCTAGTTCCAACGGAGGAAATTGACGCTTTGAAGGGTGGAGTCTGTGGCATTACACCTGTCTGAGGTCCCTCCCCTCCTCAAACCCCACCCACCCCAGGCTCCACCCCACAAATCTCCAGGGATTTCCCAGCCTGGAGTTGACAACTGTGTCTCCTTCCCACCCAACAGCCAACCTACCTTTGTCTGCCCCTCTGTCTTGGCTTTCTGTCACCTCCCTCTCTGCAGCCTCTACCTAGGGAAACTATGGTCTTTCTGCACAGTGGGGACCAAAGCAACTTACATTACCCTCCTCGCCTTTTTCCCTGCACAACAACCCTGTGAGGTAGGTTAGATTGAAAGTATGTGACTGGTCCAAAATCACCCAGTGAGCTTCCACAGCAAGATGAGAATCTGAACCTGGGTCTCACAGACCCTACGCTGAAGCTATAACTCTTACACCACACGGCCTTTCATAGGGTGACTGCTGTTGACCACTGGCATACGAACAGGGCTACTTGAGTCATGCAAGTCAGGCAGTATCAAGAAACCCAGAGGTTGATGCCAGGCCTGGGGAATCCAGCCTCCAGGTGGGACCGGGAATAATTAATTAATAATTAATCATTATTATTGTAATGGCATCGTGTGTAGTATAGCCAGGAGATCCGAAGACTGTCTGGCAGCCTTAAGTTCTAGCTCTCGTGTGGCAAGCTAGACTTTTTTTTTGGGCTGCGAGAGAGCTCTGAAAGAGTTGTGACTGACCCAAGGTCACCCAGCTGGCTTCACATGGAGGGGTGAGGAACTGAACCCAGCTCTCCAGATTAGAGCCTGCCGCTCTTAGCCATCACACCAAGTTGGCTCTAGTGGGACCTGTAGATTCCCCAGAATTACAACCGAACTCCAGACATCTGTCCCCCTGGAGAAAATAGAGGGTGGGCTCTGTGGCCTCTCCCCTCCCCAAACCCTGCATTCCTCAGACTTCATCACAAAATCTCCAAGAATGTCCAAACCTGCAGCCCTAGTCAGGCATGGCTCCCATGAAACCAAGGTCAAAATAGGCCTTTTTACTCACAGAAACTGAAGCCTGGAATACTGTGGTTGCCTAACAGCAGCCACTGAGGGAATCCATTGCTTAAAGCTACAGGTGCTCTTTTCATAATTTTAAGGTTTTTTTAAACCACCAATGTATTTTTTTTTTTTTAAGATTTCACATTTTTCTGCAGACTTGGGGCCCTTTTCAGTCTGTCTTGCCCCTTCACTGCTCCAGTCACCAGATTTAAGTATTCAAAGATATGGCCGACTTTAGATTCCTTTTTAAATTTCACTTTTTATAACTATTTCCCTCACAGTCAAGCTCATATGTGAATTTAACATTAAACACTTCTGCTGTCCACTCCATCCATCTGATAAACAGGATTCACCTACGCAGACATGCCTGAAGGAGCCCAGATCAATGGCCTTGGATGGGCCTCAGCTTTTCATGGGACTGGGCTGCTGCAGTATCTCCTTATTACAGAAACACTAATGTATATTTTGTATACATTCTCCTTGTCACAACCCAACCACCTAATTCTTTCTGAAAAGAAACAATTCTAAGCAACTACTTATAGATTAGGGTTGCAACAGATGCCATCTTACGTGACAGCTAAAGCATTTGCTCATATAAACATAAACTCCCCTATGACTGCTGCCAACTCATTCACAAGTTCAGAATCCAGTGGGGGCACCTTTAAGACCAACAAAGGTTTATTCAAGGTGTGAGCTTTCGTGTCCACGCACACTTTTCCAAATACACTGGAATGGCAGGTAAGGTTAACTGCCATGCCAATGTATTTGAAAAAGTGTGCATGCGTACGAGAGCTCATCCCTTGAATAAACCTTTGCTGGTCTTACAGGTGCCCCCACTGGACTCTAAATGTGTTCTACTGCTTCAGACCCACACGGCTGACCCCACCTGGATCTAACTCATTGACACACAGTGTTAGCCTGGCAGCAATCAAGGGCCTAGGCAGATGTGAGTGCTAAATGCAGAACCTCACACACGTTGGCACACGTCTTAAGTACATTTAACACGGCAAGGAACTCATGGAATACTTTGCACGTGCACTTTACCTGTGGCTCACGTCATGTCTGTTTCGGCCTTATGAAAGGTGAATTAAAAGTTACCAAGCAACTCCAGTGCCTGCGGTTTCCTTTCTACCGGTCAGTGTACATAAGTTCCTGCAATGTGTTCCCAATGACACGACAAGCAGCAATAGAACCACCCCTTCCCCAGCATTTCCCACTCTCTCAGTTATAAGGGGAAGCCGTCAGCTCTCTCCCGTTCCAGCTCTTCAAGAACCATACCAGTGCCACCACTTTAGAGAAAGTATAGTTAGGAAAGAGGTGTGATCAGAAAGTGGGAGCATGCTTCTTGAATCCTAAAGGAACTAATTCAGCATGACCCATTGATACTAATCAACCCCTTCAGTAGCCAGACAGCACACTGCCCCTTCGAGAGATAGATAGTGCCCCCCCCCCCCCCCCCCCGGCACCTCCCAAGCCCCGCATCTCGAGGCCCCAGTTGCCCATCCTCAAAGGCAACAGAGCAGGTGCAGATTAACAACCTCTTTGACACCGTGGTGGGCAGAAGGCCACTGGCGAGGAGGGCAAGCTCTGAGCCTTGCTTTACCCACCTTCCTTCCCAAAGCTGTGCTCTGTTAATGGTTGGGGGCCACGTCCTAAGCGATGCATTCAACCGCAGAGAACAAACTGCACACAGAATGAATCTCTGGCAGTGCAGAATATTTCAGCGAGGCAGCAGATTTGGCCTGAGCATTGCCCAAATCTCATTTTTTAAGCCTAGACGTTGTCGCATCACAAGAGGCAAAAGGCGCTGTCCTGCTCACAAGTAAAGGTCAGCCACCCTTGGTTCATCACAGCAGCAAGCACCCAGGTTTCCTGTAATTACCCTTTCAGGTACACAGTGTGGCTATCAAAGCCAAACAGCAGGCTGTGCCAAGACGCCAGTCGGCTCAGCAGCACTGCCAAGATGAGAGGCCTCACACAGCAGCACGGCTGCTGACATTGCAGTGTCTGTGCAACACCTTCCCAAGCAGGACAGCCTTACATCCCAGGAAGCTGCTTATTACGGACCTGCAGAAAAAGTGTGGCCTCATTCATACAGTACCCTGACACATTCTCCTCTCAATGGAACTCTTTCCACTCTGACAACTGAGGATTCCCTGCATGCCTCCTACAGAACCTCTGAGCACTGCAGAGATTTGGACATGTTCTATGATATGCTATCAGTTTACCCACAGGACAGGGCAGGACAGGCCTGCTGGACCTCATTGTTGCCCCACACTAACTGAGAATTCACTGCATCCCAAGCTTCTTTGTAGCTGGGCCACAGAAAGAGTGGCCACAGCGGGAAAGTCACCTTTCAGGGAAATGTACTGCTCTTTTGGCTGAGGAACTCCTAATAATCTTGCAGGATGCCCCAGAGTTTTCCAGAACACACTCTGAAAACGACCAGTATACAACTAAGAAAGCAAGGTGTTTGTTTTTGCTGGCAAGTCACAGCTGGCTTAGGGTTTTCAAGGCAAGAGATGTTCAGACGTGGTTTGCCATTGCCTGCCTCTTACGACCCTGGTATTCCTTGGAGGTCTCCCATCCAAATATTAGCCAGGGCCAACCCTGCTTAGCTTCCAAGACCAGGCTATCCAGGTGAGGGTAAGAAAGCAACTAGGTTCATAATAAACTATCACATGCATTCTTTAAAATGAAAAAGTTAAAAACATTGCTTAATAAACCATAATTTTTTGTTCCTTCAATCACAAATGTGCACTCTAATGTAACAAAACCGGAATCATAACAAGTGCCATAAAAACCCCTGCTTAATTATACTGTCTCCACCCATACAAAGCTACTTATCAAGATGACTTAGCTTTGCACATTTTGTGAAAAAGCAGTACTAGGAAGCAGCCCTTTTGAAAAGGCAGTCAAGCAAACCAACTGGTTTCTAAGCTTCCAAAATAAAATTCAGAACTGAACAGCGTACCTGTATGTGTTTCCTTGCTCTTTGGTGCATCGCTTTGCTTCTTCCAGCGCCTGCTTTTATACCCCTCTTGAAGGTGGGGTTTTCTTCCACCCGGTACAGCTGCTTCACACGAAGGCTGAGTCTGCGGCACACTCACCAAGTCTGGCCCCCTTTCACGCAGTAACGATTTTTTTCTCTTCTCACTTTTGTGCTCATTAGGAGGGTGGGGAAGGGATGCGTTCTTAATGGGCTTTGCATTCCTGCTCCTCGACACATCTTGCCTTTTGCTGGGCTCTTTGTTCTGCACAGGTTCCCTGCATTTGTTTGCAAAAGGATACCTTCTCCGCACAATGCTGTTGTCAGAAAAGCCATCTGACACTGCTTTCCCAAAGGATGGTTCAGAAGAATCTGACTGAGTCAGATCTACCGCTGGTATGTTTTCATAGGCTTCATCCTTCCACTTGGACGGTATTCTTTTACCCTGTGCAGACAGATGCTTCTCCTTTTCTTTCAACCCTCTTCCACGTGAATGCATCAAGTATGTCTTCTTTGGCTTTGCTCCTCTGTTATCTGCAGTTTCCTTTTCACTGTCTGAAGAGAAATCGCTGTATTCTCTAGGATTCATTCTTCGTCCTGGTATCAGCCTACTATCTAAACATGCAGGGTCTTCTAAACCACTGGCAGCTGTTTGTTTGACCTGATTTTTGCCATGTGCTCGGTCATTCCTTGACCTCTGCCATCGCTGACTTTGAAAATTGCGGCTTTTTGTTTTGCCCACACTGCCAAACAGCAAAGAGTCTGGCTGACATCTATGCTGTTTCTCTGGACTGTAAAAGTTACGCTGATCTGCAGAGCAGCCATCGTGTTTACTGTGCCTGGGCTGGACAGGAGGGGGTGTACTGTTCCTGCGTGGGTCCTGATCCAAGTCCCACCCGGACTGACTTTTCCAGTTGAGACTGCAAGTCTGTCTTTCCCTTGGAATGAAATCAGTTGCATCAGGATTTAAGGCACCTACGAAAATGAAGGAATAGGGATTTGGCATCCTGCAAACCCAGACTCCACTGAGGATGTGATGTCTAAACAGTGTAGGCTCATCTGGGAAAGACTCCAAGCGGGGGGGGGGGGGGGAGAAGGTGGTTGGGAAATTATGCAGAACAACGCTCGCACGACTCCTAATCACCAAGACAATTACATCGATTGGTCCCCTTGGTAAAAAAGATTTAAACTCGTCATACAACCATCACTACAGCTTATGAAGACAGTCTGCTATCCTATGAACGCTTCCCTGGGAACAAGCCCCACTGAATAAAATTGGATGTACTTCTGATCCAAATTTGCTTAGGACTGCTCTGTTAGTAAAATACAGGATTATGCCTATTCCTAAAGTGGTTAAGACGCTGAACTGCAGTGGATGTGGAAGGTCGGTAGTTCAGCAGTTTGAGACCCGAGTGTGCTGCATGACGGAGTGAGCTCCTGTCTCTAGTTCCAGCTCCTGCCAACCTAGCAGTTTGAAAGCAAGAAATTGCAAGTAGATCAATAGGTACCACTTCGATGGGAAGGGAACAGCGTTCCGTGCGCCTGTGTGTTTAGTCATGCCGGCCACATGACCACGGAAACGTCTTCGGACAGCGCTGGCTGTTCGGCTTTGAAACGGAGATGAGCACTGCAACCCTAGAGTCGGATTCGACTGGCTTTCGAGCAAGGGAACCTTTACCTTTAAACTACTAGTAGGGAAAAAATTCCCCCCATTTTTTGGCATTCTATATAATATGCTTCCTAAATCTGCCAATCACATTCTATAAATAAATAAATGACAGTGAGTGGATATTTCTTTAGTAGACCTCATCCCCTCATCAAAATCTCGATTCACATACTGTTGCAGTCATTTTCAGCAGGTAATTCTTTCATACATATCCAGCAGCTCCTATTTGTAAATTACCTGCTTTGGGGTGGTGGTAAATTATATTAAAAATACAATTTAATCGTTTGTAAAGCTTGGCAAGTCACCCTTGTAGGAGAGGGTGCCCGATTGCATAAGCAGGAAAAGGTTTTTCTCTTTTCCAGCCCTAAGTGACGGTATCACCACCACCGGAAAACAAACTGACCACAGCAGCACCTGTACACATCCTTGAGTTGGGCAGGGTTGAGGGTGGCTACCCCTCCAGATGACAGGTGCTGCTGCTGCTGGGAGAGAAGACCAGCTACAACAGTGGCCTTCTTCCTGCTGTGCTGCGTTGTCAACGGGGCTCTCCCTCTCCACCAGTGAGCTGACTTGGGGCTCTCTCTCCAAGGCGACAGGACTGATATTTTTAGTCCCCACGTCGATGCAGCAAAAGCTGCAGAGAGGTCCAAGGTGTCCCCGGCCGCCGGGCCCCCCGGCCGCCCTTCGGCAGGAGTGCCCCCCTCTGCCCCCCCCATCCCATCCGCAGTGTGGGCAAAGGCGGCGGGTGCCCCATCTGCCTGGCCGGCCTGGTGGCCCGGGCCCCCCCCCCCTGCGTCGGATCCCGGGGCCGGGGCGCTGCTCGATGCCCCTGCGCGGTGGGTGGAAACCCACTTCTTCAGGCGGACGGTCCCACACAGACAGAGCTGG